AAGCGGTCAACAAATGCTAATTGAGCCATTGGTCCTACAGGTCGAGAACGAACAGCGCGCCCAACTACCCTCCCGCCAGGGCGCTAGCCCCGAGCAAACCTCCAGTCTGGAGGAGTCCATCTACAAGCTGTCCGCCCAACTCTCCACCGTCTCCCGCAACCAGAAGTACTTCCGCACACGTGAGAACCGTAACTTCAGTACCGTGCGGAGTACCGAGCGTCGGATTTTCAACTTCAGTGTGATCGAGTCTTTGATGATGGTTTCCATGGCTGCGTTGCAGGTCTTTGTTGTGCGCTTCTTCTTCCAGGGTGCCCGGAAAGGTATGTTCACTTACTCCCGGTATTTGAGGGTTGGATATGGGCACAAGGCACGGTTGTGTCCGGACTGCTTTGTTGCTTCTTTCGATCCTATTTGGTGGATTCGTAATAACATTCTTCTCGAACAGGTTACGTGTGATGTGAGCATGAGCATGAACAATAATATGATGCATTTTACTACCTTCTATGTCTGGCGTGTTGACCTAGTTATTTCTGTTGCAAAATCTATGATGTTCTTGTCTGTCTGGACTAAATATGGGAAATATACTTGGTATAGTAGTCGGCTTCGAGCTATTGTGGCCCGTTGATAGTAAGACATGCGAAAAGAAAGCAAGTGAGATGGATATTTGGTTTACAAACCGACTTGGACTCAAGCTGAAGGTCTACGATGTTGTACTAGGTAGGGGGACTTATAACCCACCTATGGAAGATAGATTGACACATCAGCAGACTCAAAAAACACCGGAAGCACATACTCGAGATATCCCAATAGTATACATTGTACGCCCCAGGCTCTATGCTCCGCGCTTGCTGGGATTTAACCCACCAAGGCCAGACGGATTGACAAATCCTTAAGGTCCAAGGACGCCAGGGAAGCGCATGCTCGGGATTTCAGGGTATGCCTCGAGCTCTATGCTCTATAGTCGCAGGGATATAACCGGTTTCCGTCGAAAGAAGGTCGCCATGTGGGAGTTCAGATGGACTGTCGCTGAACAACAGCAGGGAGCACTGGACCCTACCGCAACCGGGAAGGCGAGGGCGATCGTTACTGCATGCCGCATGCCGCTCGCTGGCTGTATGTCCGCAGGGGTAGAACCGGTTTATGTTCGAACGGAGGTTTCTATCGGGGAGCCTAGATGGTCTTTTTCTGAGTCGAGACCGATGAAAAATTGTGTCGATGTTGTGCTGGACCCGTTTCCACGCCTCACGCCTCTCCCGACACCTATCACACTAGATGATCTCGCAGTCGGGGAACCGGGTACTCAATGCTCGCAGCGACGGAACCTGTTTCTAAGCGAAGGAACGCATCCCATTAGTATTTGAAAACGAATATGTGGAATAGCTTACAGCATCGTTGCGACCAGAGCGCAGAGCAGAGGCGAAAGCTCACATATTGATAAGTTTCAAACCGGTTTCATGCGTCAGTTAGACGTTGTCTTCTCCAAATATAATGCTTGGAAAGATGGTAAACACAAGCTCAGATGCATCCATGGACGCTAGCATGTTAGGTGCTGTCCAGCTAAGGGGTAATGTTGAACATGGTGCTTTTCGAGACCGACGTCTGATTCAAAACAGGTTTTTGGCTTCTTGCCCTGGTCCCCCATATACCAGTGCGCGGAGCCAAATCCACAGCCAACAATAAATTTGTGGAGGTAGGTTGTCGCTGGACGCCTAGGGGCATTGGGGCAAGGGCCTATGACGTGAGAAAATACCGGTAAGAATCGGCTCCGTGCAACTAAATTGCTTCCAGCAATATCATATGCTCGCTACGATATACAAGATAGGCGTATAGTATGCATTCATGCTCGTTTGTCTTACAATACATTGTAGGGATCGCCGGCAGAGGCTGCGGTGTGATATCATTTGATATGCGCTGGGAATTGTCAATCTCGGGTATCTACTGTTTCAATTGATCGACATGCAGTACGGAGACATACAGTGTTTGTATTGTATTTGATTTAGGGCAGTCTAGGGCTTATCATACATACCCTGTGGGTTCGTATGTGGCTCAGGGCTTTAGGCCAGGCACGCGATGGAATACCATAATGAAGAAAGTGGACCGTGAAGAATCATTCATTAACATTTATCAGGCAGAGAAAGACCCGCAAGTGCATATTGCGACAACAGCTACGGGGTATGTCTCGCACGCTTGATTTTGACACGTTCGGCTGTTGATACAACATGTGTACATTATCGTATGCTGTCATATCCGGGATCAGACCCTTGAGGTGGAGCGGCGCTATGGTTCAAACTCCATCAGACTATATTGCAAAATGGGCTAAAACATGCATTGTACTCCACAAGTTTCTTTCTACTGACGACATCGTATAGAATTTGAATCAACGCTGATATCACCTGGGTATCATACTCTTTTTACCAACTTGGTGAGAAGATGTCTGAGAGCATGTCTCTCAGTCTGCATATGTATTTGTGGTATGCTAAGCTCACTATATTACCGACTTTGGTCTAGACCATTGCCAGCTGGATTAAACTGCTTCTTCCTTGAAACCAGGCTCGTCTGAAAAATCAGATGGCCGATCATGACTATAAACGACAATATAGGTTATATTTCAAATGCTCGTCTGACGTTGCTGTGTTTAACCTAAATGAAACATCTTATACGCTGGATATGAGCTCCGGCTTGCCCTGGTATGTCACTAAGATTGTAGTACTACAGTATGTAGTGTGGCATCTTCAAGTTGAGCAAAAGAAGAATTATTGTAGAGGGAAACTGTAGATGGATGACTCTGATATATTCGGGGCATGCCGATCTTGCAATAATTTGCCTCCCCCCCGCGACTGGCATCAACTTCCGTCCAGGGTTCATGGATGGCAACCGTCCTACCCGGTTCTTCGATAGAAAACAACCTTGCCACTGACTCCCATGCATCGTACTGATTACTCAGTCCAATCTCTTTTTCTTCTAGAAACAAGCTTGGAGTCTAATGAAGTATCCCAATTTCCATATGTCAGAACACAGTTCGAGCGAGCATCGGCTTGCGTTAGACTCTATTCTTAGACTCTATGGACAATGTGATCTCCTGGTTCTAGTATCATGTCAGACATCTATCTTTACAGGACCAGATGGATTTGTGACTATCTACAAAATAGAATAGATGCAGCAGTATATAATTCAAGTCAGTATGTACTGCATAGTATCATTTAAAGATGAGGGCTCACTGACGTCAGGTGTTTTCTTGCCTCAGGCATCAACGCCAAGACTGTACATTCCCCAAGGCAATCACTAGCTCATCTCCACACGGCATCTCCATTTCTTCCTATTTCGTCCATTTCTGACAATTCTACAGCGAATGAAAACTGTTCAAAGATTAATTAAACCTCCATCCGCTCAAACTGTTTCTCCACTGTGGCTGCAAGCCTCCATGTCTTTGATACGATGTACCAGACTGTTTCGGCTTCAAGCTCATTTTCCGCAGATGTTCCACTTTTGATAATCAAATCAGAGGTAACTCTGATTTCATTCACCATTTCCATGACCGGCAACTATCAGTACTACATACTGTATGTTGTATGTGATCGATGGCCGATAGCCGAATCAAAACCAAATCGATTGCTCGGGTCGCTCCGATGCCTCGGGGTATGACGGCATAGCTCCATTTGACCTGAGCCTCAGCTACTGCACAGCCTTTTTTTTTCTTGTGCTGCAGGCGCATTTACTGCTTTCGGTCACATGAGATTATTATATTGATTTGACATGCATGTCGAGCTGACTACCTGTTTAGTTTGAATCAATCGATCTATCCAGGCCTCTCACTACATCCATGTATTAAAAGCAACCCCCGATCGATGGATTTGTAACAGCGTGTTTATCTCCTGCACCGGATCTCCACCGGCTGTCCACATTTTCCTTCCCGGGGACACCCTATCCCGTATCGACGCAGAATGCGACATGGGTCTCGCCCCTCAAAAGCCCATGATAAACTATGATTCGTCTTGTAGACGTCAGGTAAAGATCTGCAGGGGACCGGACTGTAGTTGTGCCGATCTTAAAAACGCCTTTAGCTCTCAATGGTCATTCACATTCCCCAGTGACCTCATCGGAGCACTGTGACCAATCCACGGGTGGAACAACTGATGATATCGCTCTCAGAGTTCACCAGTCTCCGTGGACATGTGGATATTAGTTTGTTCAAAATGTCCTCTGATGATGATTCGACCCCACACTGTGCTCTACGACGTACCCAATAGGTCGGCAGTGGTCTCTTTCCTACAAATACCTTGTACTGAGGGCTGGGGTTTATGATGCTCCTTATGATGTCGCCTAGGAGAAAATATCCCCCCCCCCCTCTCTCCCCCCCTTTCAGCCAATTATGTCACTGTACTCCGCCCGGTGTAATCGGTAGAGATCTCGTGTGTTTCCCATGGGCGAAGAAGCAATTAGGCAACTTATTGACCTATCAGAGGTTGCAAAGTTGGATGAGTTTGCCATCTTTGACCACCGATGTGATTTCATACTACCTGTGGAGTCATGTCTTATATATAACCTTCCTCGCAAATGGGATCCAATTGCTCATCGTTTCTTCTAAAGTATATGCCCCAACTCCTGAATCTGCCCCATAGCACTTTTCCCTGCCATTTTTGTATTCTTGGCCCGGACAACGTACATATCATTGGACTTCCACCGATTTAATATCCTCTTGCCTACCCCCGACACTTGGTATCATTATTATCCCAACACAACCAGTCAAATTGGTTCGATTTTGAAACATTTCAACTTTACAGGTGAGCAACTGTTGAATTGACTGCGACACCGGTACCGTCCGGATTCCCCACGGCACCCACAACCCAACCTCTACCCCACGGTGATCGTCCTAGACATCAGCCTCATCCCTATGCCACAACCACCCACATCTATTGATCAGCACTCCTAGCACTACCGGATACCTAGTCCTGAAACCTAAGCTGACTGTTTTAAATAAAGACATTTTTTTCCATTCCACCATGACTCACTCCGCTCAACTGCAACAGCCAACTGAAAACCTCAACTCCATGTTCTCGGATTCCGGTGGTGTGGAAAACATGGCCAATGAGACTCTTATCGATTCTTACCGGTCGCTGGATCCCACTCGCGCCTCGCTGGAGGACTACAACCGCTCCATGCTTCAATACACCCAGCGCCAAATGTCCTCCTTTGCCGACACGGACGATTCTCGCCGTGATAGCCAGAGCAGCGGCAAGAGTGGCCGTAGCAGCGCCTCAAGCGGCAGCAACATGTCCCGGCAGGCCAATATGTCCTTCACGCCCGCTAGCGATGCCGGTCACTCTGCTGAGAATAAGTTCAGTAGCCGTGCCACGGCCGATGCCAAGTCGGCTGGATATTAGGGCTGCGCCCTGTTGCAAGGTATGCATGTTCCTCTATGGCGATGGCTTCAATGAATAAGAAAGCTAACGAAAGTCTCCTCAGTGGTCCTTGTCCACCAACACCGTGGTCTAGCACCATAACGGTACCTAGCATTGACGAGGATGGCTCGATAGGGCCATCGACACTCGTGTATACTTTCCGTCAATGCCTACCCCGTTGCAAAATTTTGTGCGGGATTTTATTCGCGCGGGAGAGCGTGCCTGCTTTTCAAGCGATATATCGAAGGCTTTCTTTTGGGTTTGATTTCTACATGGCCTCGACTCGTCGCGGTCACTTACGAAATGGTCCTTCACTTTTCCCCAACCCCTTTCTACCCACTTTTCACGTTTGCATAGCGTTTTCAGGATATCGATTGATCCTCAGCGTCCTTTCTTCGGTCTTTCAGTGCTAGATTACGCATATTTCCACTGTGTATTCCACCACCCCAGATCCCTTGGTCGTGAATCATCGCTTCCATTCTTCCACAGCTCTTATTGCAGAAAAATGTGGCTTTTTTTTCCACTTCTCATTCTTGTCATCTATGACCGTTTTGGAGTTGCTCGTTGCACTGGAGAGCAGTATAAAAACGATTTTCATTCCCATTTCGAACATTTCTCGAACATTGTCCATTCTACCGGGGTCTGGGTAAGCGATCACGTCATGCATGGATCATTTCTGCTTGATATATCTTCTGGGAAGGGATATCAGCCTGTACACTATCTGTATTATTACTTTTTGCGAGCGATTTTGTTTTCTTCTTATCTTTTCCATTTTATGTGATGAACCAACTCTCTCCGAGTCGAGGACACTGGACTGTCCCTCGGAGAACTATACCCTGTTACGATACCACTCAGCCATGTTGGCCATGATCACCTGTACAATTATGCGCAATCAAGCCGGAGCGATCTTGTCTTTCTTCTATTTGTCTGTGTTTATTTGCTTTCTTCTTTTCTTATTGGCTGGATGAAGATCGTAGTGTCGTAGTCCCGCGCAGTACAGATCGCTGGACCGGTACATTAATCCTACTTATCAACTTGGCTACGATATTGAGGTAGTGGCTGAAACAAGACGTATACCACTTCTGAGACAAATTGACGTCAGCACCAGAATTCTATTGTGGCTTAGACTGAGAATATATTGCTTATGGGACCACTTGGCTTTAATTGGCATCTGCTTAAAGTCTTAGTCTCTTTTGTCTTTCCTCGGTGTTTGTTCGGTATATCTTCTAGCCTTTTGTTAAAATATATATATTCAACCCTAGTACTTTTAGTAGCGGGGACCAGTCAAATAGAAATGTGAATAATATATTTTTCTGCAGCTCTGTTGAAAGCACAAGTGATAGATAGGCAGGGTCAATGGGTCCTTCCGGCGGCCCGGAGCCGCATTGATCGGCGAGGGCGACGTTTCAGATATTTGATTAGTGCGAGACAAGAAAGGCCATGTGCATAAGGCGTTTCTCTCACCCCATAAAAGTGTTTGATGACGCGGTGATCAGAGAAGCGAACGAAGTGAGGTAGCCTGGAGTACATAGGGTTGTAGACTTGGTAGGCGCAACTTGATGATCGTATCGAAGCTTATTCTTTCACTGCAAACTCATTAGAATTTGATTTTTGTGCTTGAGATTAACTAGGAAATATATATCTTCAGGGCTAGGCTTGTCAATTAGTCAATTAGGAGAATTCCTCATTTTGGTCCGAAGGATGTCCTTCACACATGTGTAAAATTCACTATTTTGTTGACATGATTGATGGACCAAACTATCTGTTTAACTACTCTAAAGTTATTGACTTTCATAAAGACTGATTTAGTTTTAACATCAGGGTCTTGTCGCACTGCAGTGAAGAGCTGCGTTCAACGCACCCCTTGCATACCACCGACTCTTAGCGAACTTTGTCCTCCCAATGAGTTGTACTATACTATTGAAGATAAAGTGGTCTAAAGAGGCTATGGAATTGTTGCTTTGACTGGGTTAAATTATTGTATTTTATGCTCCAATTTATTCGACTTTATATTGTAGCCAAAATGTATATATTTCCCATTCGGTACGGATAAACAACACACATAATACCAACACCAAAGCCCACATACCAGAGCACAAGCGCCTAAAAGATCCTGTAGAAATAATTGCCCAGCCTGCACATTCCACATGGTTCAACTCAGCAGCGAATCAAGACCACACCGTGCCTTTCTAAACAGAGGGATGAAACCCCTGGAATCTCGGGATTCGACCATGGGCCAACCAAAAGCGCTCAAGGGAGGAAGGCAGAAGAAAATGCGATGGGCCTGTTGAGGCTGGCAGGGCCGCCCAGAAAACCGAGCACTGTATACATCGAGGGTCAAAATCGTGTTCCCGTTTCCTTCCCTTTGACACGCACGCCCATCCGACAACCACCCACGACAACCACTCGGCCTAGCTCCAGCCACTCCTTTTGGTCTCGATTTTGAAGATCATCTCACACTCTTTTAATTGACTGTCTCTAACATTTACATTCACTTCGGATCTTCAAGTCTCACAGCCGCAGAGTGGCAAGTCCTGCAATACTATACATCAACTCACCCTATACTTTTCACAACGACATACACGGACAGATATCACAAAACCAGCAATAATGCAACTCACAACTCTCCTTACGGGCCTCATCTCCGTCCTGTCTGTCACCACCGCCATCCCAATGGGAAGCGAGAGCCCAACTCCTACATCCTCCGTGTCCAAGTCTCTCATCGCGCACTCGAGCTCTGCCTCTGTCTCAGCTTCACCTACCCCTTCGCCCAACCCCTACGAGGCCTACACATGTCCCAAGGATAAGTTCAAGGCCTGCTGCATGTCTGTGCAGCAGACGGGCAAGGACATCGTTAAGCAGCTCGGCGATTTGGTCCCGGTCCTCAGCGGGCTGCAGGTTAGCTCGGCTATCTCTTTCCAGTGTATGTTTCTCCCGTCCTTTATCTAATATAACCTTGGCAAGGTAATTGTATACTAATTCGATTTTTCTTTACAGGCAAGAACATGACCGAACGGGAAGCTCCGGATAGCTGCAACGGGCAAGGTTATACCCCCATGTGTTGCAATACCAAGGTTGAGGTATATATTTCATCTTCCCTTCCCTTGCTTTGTTTTTGTTCTATGTTGTGATGGAAGGAATGTATCTGACTGTCCTTTTCTTCTAGGACACCGGATTCAACACTTGCAAGCCTTTTGAGGATGTCAAGAAGGCTTACTACATGAACAATATGAAGGATATACCAGAGAGCCAGGCTGATATGATCATGGATATTCTCACTTGATGTCATCCACTTAGCCGGTCTGGAACTCTGTGACATGGGATGGGTGCGGCATGTATCTCGGGGTTGTATACTTGTCTCCGAGGAGGAGGGGGAGATAATGGTGGCGTCTTTTGGTTTATTTCTTTTCTACTTCATATTATATGGACCCTTAACCTGTGATAGCTTGATTCTGGTGGTTAAGGTGTGTAATTGCATATGGCACACTTATACAGGTGGTTATTTTCGATTTTTTTATTCTTGCAGGTTCTGGTATACACATATGTAGATTTCTCCCTTTGCTGGTCTATGAATATGAGGCCTATCCGAATTTATCATGTACTTTGTACCAGCTGTTGATATTATCGTCCCCTCTATGTATCTCTAGACATGGGGACTTTCTCGTCTGAGATACACATGACTTGGATGTGTGAGATTATTTTCGATGCAAGCGCTGATCTACGCCGTGGATATTATCGATAGTAAAGAACTTACTCGAATGGAGAAAATATTACATGTACTCTTTCATATTGTACTTTAAATGAACATGAATATCCCGCTGCGGCGGGACCGTAATAATACAAACCGCAGCATTGGAGGGCTGCCCTTCCACCGACTCAACTTAGTTCCATTGCATTTCAAGCATAACTCGTACATCGTTTCATGGGCACATATTGATTACCACCCACGCCCACCCTGGGGAGGAGGAGGAGGTCCCCATGGCGCACCCTGCTGACCGCCGGAGTAGGGAGGAGGGAAGTGGTACTGACCCGGGGGCATACCGTACCCCTGTCGCTGTCCCTGGTTTTGTCCCTGGTTCTGTCCGTGCGGCATGGGAGGAGGATGGTGGTATGGAGGGGGGAAGGCCGAGGAGGACCCTGGTCCGGGTGGGGGGAATGGCATTGTTGGCATGTGCGGAGGAGGCGGAGGCCAAGAACCGTAGTTAGGTGCAGGCACTTGAGGATAGCCAGTGTTGGGACCCATGGGAGGGTGGGAGTACTGTCCACTGGGGGCATGAGTAGTGGGGAATGAGTTGAAGGGCGCGGGAGGATGTTGGGGTTGGTGAGGGGGCGGGAAGTGTGAAGTGGATGGTTCTCGAGGTGTGTATGAACTTTCGCGGCTTCGGGAGCGCTGTGCAGGACGGCTGTTTGATACGTCGCGACGATGGATATCACGTCGGTATGTTCGTGGTCCACTTCGAGATCGTGACTCGGACTGGCTGATGGAGCTGTCGCTGTAGCGTCCGCGCTTGTTATCAATTCGTGATTCACTACGACTACGGCTTCGGCCACGCGAATCGTCGGTTTCTGTATCGGCGGGTTGACAGAATTCAAGTGACCATCCGTGATAGTGTGTGCCATCGAGGATATCGCCTGTGTTCTCACCCCGGATCACTGTCTGACCCAGCTGATCGAGGTATGTATGGCTATCATCCGCAGGGGCTTCCGGGTCAAAGAGCTTGTCCACATCACTGAGAAAGGCTTGGAGAGCTTCTACCGACTTTGCGTCGGCAGGTCCTGCGAGTAATTGGATCGGTTTTGTGGCATCAGGTCGGATGGGAATAGTGGAGTTGGGGATAATGTGGGGATAAATGTTGCCCGCACGAACTTCGTGCCAAGGGGTCGATGGGTCTCCATGTGTAGATGGCATGACAAATGGCACGTTCTTGCGGGACTTCTTGGTTGAGTTTAGCCCATTGGCCGCATCGTTGGAATCCATAGGGACTCCCATGGTCACAACTTCCCGGAGCTTGTCGACCAAATCGGGATGGAAGTATTCGTGCTCAGACCAGATGTCGAGGAGATCGTCTAGCCGTCGATGGTGCCGTGGGTTCTTTTGGCGATCACAGGTCGCTGCGTAGCCGACCAAGTTCACGAGATGTAGCTGCAGGGACCCGCTCACTGTGGACAAGGTTGTAGGGGTGCCTAGGTGGTACTTGCAATGATGCAACAGATCATTGAGCAAGTACAGTATGTGGAGGCGTTGGCGCTTTGGTGAAAGTTTGGATCCAGTGGGCTGTGATGGGAAGGACGCCGCGAGAGCTTCCAGGTAATTGACCAGACCCCCTACCCTATTGGATGAAAACGCAACAAATTGTAGCAGCCAGGCTTTACAGGTCTGTGGGGGGAAAGTTATTTAGTAAAGTGGGGTGTGAGAGTAAACAGAGGTGACAAAGGATCAGACCTGAATATTGCTTGGGGAGCAATGTGACAGCGCGCGCTCGAGGGAGATATGGAAGGAGCTTATCTCATCTCGAGGGACCGAAGTAGGATCTGGACGTAACAGGCAAGCAGCAAACGCGGCCTTAAAAATAACAGCATCATGCGTCGCCATCGTGTGCCAGTGAACCCACGATATTCTGAGGGGGAGAAATGACAGCGATGTAAACCAACTCAATGGATGTTCTCCAATCGCGTTATCGAAGCTCTTATCGCACGTGACTACCCACCACCTCGGAGGTTTGTGTTGTGTAGATACCGCCTTTATCCTGCCCGTCAAATACCACCAATCAAATACCAGGAACCATGGACGGTATGCCCCTTTAGGAAGGCGGTGGACATGTGTGTTGAAAGTATTAACTCAATGTTGTGCGACAATAAAGTTACAACTATCCCCCACGCTGTATGCATTATATACTACTACCAGTCAGTATACCTGCGCATGTATCTCTTCAGTAATTTAGATCAGATTCCATTCACCATATTCACTAGTTGAACTTAGATTCAATTTAGAAGTGAGGTCTTCGGAACTTAGTTCCCGGTCTATACCCATTCCCGCAGTTGACGCGGTGTGAAGTCTTGGTCTTTCTAGACACTAAAAAGATCCCCCACCTATTTTTCGACTTGAAACCCCGCGATGGCGTAAGAGCTTTGCCGAGAGTCTGACAGAAAGCCATTCTATTCGATAGGAAAGGGGGCGATCAGCCATAGTTGCCTGTGTTGTAAACCATCTGATCACGGATGAGGATTCCCATCGGGGATCAGGCCATATACCATAATGCCCCGCAATATCCGGATCATTCGCACGATTGCATGGCCTGACTGCTCATCTGTTAATCTATTTTATATAAAGTCTCTTCTGGTTTTAAATCTGTTTTATCTTTTACCCCTGCTCTATCCTGCTCTACAAGTCTACTCTCAAATCAAATCCAAAACCAATCCAAAGTTAATCCAAAACCATACCCTCAAGCATTCTACCACTATGGCTTCCATCCTCGCCTCCCAGATCGTCCGTCCCTCCATCCGCCACTTCTCAGCTCACCGTCCTCGTCCCGACTCTCGCGCTGCCCGCGCTGTCGCCATGGGTTGCATCGTATCCGGCGTGGTACTTCCATTTGTCCCACCTGCTCTAGAGAGCTCGCGACAACGGAGCTCTGGGCTGTCTACTAGCGCCAAGTAAGTCTTGAAAATCTGCCCCGTTTTACTCTTACAGTCAATGCGAGCTGGTGTGGAGAAACTAACCTGATATACAGGAACCCCCCACTTTGCTTCCATGCGCGCTAGTCGCCACACTTTTGACGACTTGCAACTTTGACGCGGACTATCGGCGCAGGCGCTGATATAGGAGCCGGTTTCCAAGATTGCGATGTGATGCATTATGACCATGGAGTTCAGAATTCGGCGTTTTGGTTCTTTTTTTACCAGCACTATGGGATTGCGCTATTACATACACTATTACTATTGACCGTGGAGACAAGGAGGGAGCGGAGACATGTTAGACATCTCTCTATCATCGCTATGAATGACAGGGATCGTTAGACAGCCAGATTTGTACGAATCGATCCATTATTGAATTGACTCGCAGCTCGAGTGAACTGCAACGAACTAAATGTAGTACAAAGTAGATCGAGTCCGAGGACCTCCCCACCTCCGGAATATCCACTTTGTTCCACAATCCTCTATTTTCGGTTTGCGTACGGAGTCTTCCATATCAAAATAGTATACAATGCGGCAAGCCGATCAACTAAACCGGTTCCCACTCGGAGGCCGGTACGGCTGGGCCGTTTCATATTTCCCCTTCTCCGACACACGGTCGGTCTCGGTCAAAGGTTCGTGCCGGGTAGGTGCCGGGTCGTAAGAAGCTTCGGCACTAGGCGAGGCGGCATCGTCGGGGGCGTTCTGGAACCGGGCCATGCTTGCTCGTTTCGAGCTAGTGTCATTGCCTGGGGGTGGTGTAGACGCCAATTGCGCTTGGCGCTTGTGCTCGTTCTCCATTTGCTTCATTTGCGCCTTGCGCTTGATTTCGGCTTCGAATCGGGCTTGTCGGTCCGCATTGATCGATTGCTTCGCGAAGTAGTAAGCTCCGCCGCCGGCTATAGGAGAAGTGATTAGTGGCTTCGTCGCAGGTGAATTGCTGGATTTGTCGCTGATACTTGACCAGCAGGTAATCGATAGGTCACATACCAAGGCAAAGGGTGCCCCAGCCCATCCTGTTCAAGTGAGAGCCACATCAGTATTTATGTTCCGTATTTCATCTCTCGGATAGAGACATCTTCGCTCACCAGGTAGATCGAATCTAGAAGGCAACATGATTAGCAACGGGAAATGAGTATTGGATAGAGGTAATTACCGTATTCATGGTGAATAATCTAGGAGTTGTGAAGTGTGTGAAGCAAAACAGAAAAGGATGCTCTACGTCAGTCCCTCAGTCCCGAGGGATTCCCGACGTCGGCCGGGCGGCTACGCACGGACCAATGATTGCACCTCATGCCTCAGGCCATAATGGTGCCTCAGGCCAAGGATTATCAACCATCACATCGTCTTTGGAACCTGGGCATTATGTCGTCGACGTTTGCCTTGATCATCTTCTCTATCATATATACATTGTCGCTCTAGTCGACATCCCACCCTCACTAAAGACCTTTCTTTTCTCCCCTTCCATCGTCTCGTGATTTTCGCAATACTCCGCAGATCTTTTTTCGCCGCCAGTTCATCCGGCGCAGCATCTTGGGTCCATGCTGGCGTGAGATACTTTTGACGGGGGGCGTCGCTCCGCCTCACCGGTGACTCACTCACTGAGATACTATTTGATCACACTTTCTACGCTGTTTTGTTTGTCTTGCTGAACACAGTCCAAACATGCCTCCCAAACGCAAAGCGGCCGACAGTAAGTCTCTGGTACACATCTTCAACCGATGGGCGACTAATCATATCTAGCTGGTCGGTCTAGCGGTGCTTCGAAGCGGGCTACACCAGTCCCCGACATCGACATTTCCAGCGGCGATGAATACTCGGACCAGGAAGAGTTGCCGGAGGAGTCCAACTTGAAAGGTACAGTGTGGCAGTCTGCTCACCTAAAGTGAACCAGAGACTAAAATTGGACCATCAAGCGGTTGTCAATAAATTCTCTCTTGAGGCTTTCAGCAAGAAGAACCAAGTGGAGAAGACGGACCCCAGATTTGGATACAAAGATCTTTCTTCGCTTCCGCTGAAGCGCGACCACTACAACCGGCCGTTATGGATCGAGCCTTTGAAAGGCACAATCACCCTCGAGAGTTTCTCCCCGCTGGCACCCCAGGCCCAAGATTTCCTGACCACCATCGCGGAACCGCTTTCCCGTCCGACCCATCTCCACGAATATCGCTTGACCGGGCACAGTTTATATGCGGCGGTCTCGGTCGGTCTCAAACCGCAGGATATCGTTGAGTTCTTGGACCGTCTGTCGAAAACACCGCTGCCCGAAAGCATTCGGACCTTCATCATCGAGTTCACAAAGTCCTATGGAAAAATCAAGATGGTGTTGAGGCATAATCGATACTACGTGGAGACGACAGATCCTGAAATGCTTCAGCGTCTGCTGAAAGACGAAGTGATTGGCCCCCAGAGAATGGATAATACCGAAGGGATTATCGAACGGGCTGCCCCGAAAATGGGTGGACTTGTCATTCCTGGAACGAAAGATGCAGCCGGTGTGCGAGAGACCACTCAACAGGAGGCTGCTGCTGCCATCGCTAGAGATGAGACGGAAGAAGGAGGGGCTGTGAATTATGGCATCGACGATATTGGCGAGGATGAGACTGAAGAATCAACGACTTACAGTTTCGAAATCCCCGCTGCTGGTGTCGAAGTGGTCAAGGCGCGCTGCCAATCGATCGGATGTCCTGCCCTGGAAGAGTACGATTTCCAAGGAGATACAGTCAACCCAAATCTGGACATGGATTTGAAACCCGCGGCGCGCATTCGGTCTTATCAGGAGAAGAGCTTAAGTAAAATGTTCGGTAACGGACGAGCCAAGAGTGGTATCATTGTGCTTCCTTGCGGTGCCGGTAAAACCCTTGTGGGTATCACTGCCGCGGCGACCATCAAGAAAGGCACCATCGTCCTCTGTACCAGTTCCATGTCCGTGGTTCAGTGGCGAAACGAGTTCTTGCGGTGGACAACCATCGACCCAGGTGATATCGCCATTTTCACCTCGGACCACAAAGAAAAATTCAAACGATCAACTGGTATTATTGTGTCCACATATTCAATGGTGTCGCAGACCCGTGCGCGGTCTTATGATGCCCAGAAGATGATGGACTGGCTTCAATCGAGAGAATGGGGTATGATGATTCTCGACGAGGTGCACGTCGTGCCAGCATCGATGTTCCGAAAGGTCACATCTGCAATCGCCGCACAGAGCAAGCTCGGTCTCACTGCGACATTGCTACGTGAGGACGACAAGATCAAAGATTTGAACTTCTTGATCGGACCGAAGCTCTACGAAGCAAACTGGATGGAACTCGCTGCACAGGGCCATATCGCCAAGGTCCAATGTGCTGAGGTGTGGTGCCCAATGACAACTGAGTTCTATTCCGAGTATCTGCGGGAAAGCTCCAGGAAACAAGCTCTGCTCTACATCATGAACCCTCGCAAGTTCCAAGCGTGTCAGTTCCTAATTGATTTCCACGAGAAGCGTGGTGATAAAATCATCGTGTTCTCTGACAATGTTTATGCTCTCGAGCGATATGCGCTGAAGCTGAACAAGGCTTACATTTACGGTGGAACTCCTCAAAATGAGCGCATGCGTATTCTGGAGAATTTCCAACACAACGAGCAGGTCAACACTATCTTCCTGTCCAAGATTGGTGATACCTCACTCGATCTACCCGAGGCCACTTGTCTGATTCAGATCTCGTCTCACTACGGTTCCCGTCGTCAGGAGGCTCAGCGCCTGGGACGAATCCTGCGAGCCAAGCGCCGAAATGACGAGGGCTTCAATGCTTTCTTCTACTCCCTCGTGTCCAAGGACACCAATGAGATGGTGTACTCAGCCAAGCGCCAGGCATTCCTGATCGATCAGGGGTATGCTTTCAAGGTCATCACCCATCTCCAAGGCATAGACAATTATGAAGGACTCTCGTACGCGACACCAGCAGAACGCCGCGAGCTTCTGCAAGAAGTCATGCTGCAGAATGAGTCATCCGCCGACGTCGAACAAGTCAATGATGATCTGTTCTCGATGCGCTCCGGCAAGCGAATTACCTCCAAGAAGGGCGGTGCTAAACGTAGTGCTGCCACTCTTAGTGGTCTGGCTGGTGGTGATGATATGGCCTATATCGAGTACAACAAGAGCAGGAACAAGCAGCTCAAGGATAAGGCTGGACATCACCCCCTGTTCAAGAAGATGGAAAGAGACCGACAACGCCGCAAGAAGGAGAGGGAGACCGAGGACTAAAAGCTGAAATGCGTTTGCTGTTTTTGCTTTCCTTTTTTGGGCGCGTGGTCTTGGACCTTTGTCTTGCACCCCAGAATGACAGATACCCCCCGAATAATCACCATGTGTGTTATAAAAACAAACAGTAAGCCAAAATAAAAAAACATTTGTATTATAGAGCAATCTGGTTCCACAACCCTAATCATCAAATAAGTATGTCAGCACTGAACAACTACGTAGGTACCTCTATGCAGTGTATTTCCTCTGTGGGGTGGTGATCTACGGTATGATCATGCCATTTTACTGTGCTGGTAATGCCTAGTTGATATAAGTTGGTGTTGGGAGGCTCCAGGGCCTTTTCTAGTTGATATGTGTAGTGCCGTCGCTGTTCATCAACAAGATGCCGACACAGAAACCGCTCGAGGAATATGGAATCTCGAATGTATTATAATTGGCATACCCATGGACAAAATCAGAGATAGAACCTTCATCCTTTAAGAATGAGTGCTTAGCGAACTCCCTCGGCGATGTGTTTTAAACTTCCAAGATATATACATAAATTGGGGATCTTCAAAGTGAAAGCTCTATGTTGAATAGTACACTGAAGGGCCGAGCCTTTAGGGTAAATATTATTAGTATTTACTAGCAATTAATACCGGTGTACTACACTGTCCTGCTAAATGTAGTTGTTGTTCTAAGGTCCGAGAATTTCAGCTGGGCATAGCCTCTGTCACCCTAGTTAGGAAAGTTTATTTAAGCCTTGTGGGTCTAGAAAATTGCCCGCGTACTCCCCGAAGACATGAGCCCTTTGCGTTAGTTATCGTATATTTCATGCTAGTAGTGTTTTGGCCATTCTTTGGGGAGGCTAAACCCAGGTTCAACATTTCTTCTATCTAAACCAAAAAAGGCCCAAAGAAGAACCAACTAGATATGTATATGCTCAAACGAGAATAGGTTCTTCGATGATTTCACGTCGTTCTCAACCCAACCAGTGCGATCGATTTGCTCAACTGTCGTGCTAGACAGTTGTTTCAGTGTCGAAGCATTGGCAGCATTTGCTATAAAGCGCTCTCCGTTCTCCAACCGGCCGATCACGTATGCCTGTCCAGGTGAACCACTGCGTTGGAACTCAACCGTGTATGTCTGCACTAGTTAGCCTCGGACGCTTCGATAATACATATGCACCTACCTCGATAACTGCACGACCATTTGCCTTGACTGCAATCGCTGGTGAAGTGGTATCACGCGAGAACTCCGGAAGGGGGTTTTGCGATGGATACGAAGATCCATCTGCGCGCGGCCGAATCGAAAGACACACCGTGTGGTGGTAGGATAGGATACCGCCGTTGGCAAGAACGAGCCCGTGTATACCGCGACGAGAGCGTAGGTCGCGGACGACTTGCGTTATGGCCTGTTGTGAATTGGTTAGAGTTGCATCATTCGGGGAACTGGGAGTCATACATGGAGGGAATAGTTGTTTCCCGCGCCGCCAAAGGAGGTCAGCCCGCCTAGTACCGTCAGAGGACGATCTCCCCTGGTGATGGGGAGATTGAGGTGCTGAGCGGCTAGTTTGGGGACGATGGGGAAGCAGCTTTATAAGTTAATTGTGTAATGGTGCAATCGCGGGAAGGAAGCATACGAATAGAAGTCGTAAATATCGATGTCCTCTTTGGTTAAACCAGACACTCTGAGAGCTTCGTCGAGCGAATTCGAGATACTTGGACTAGAGTGAAAGTTGGTGCGTTCCCAGACTGTATGCACTCTCGTTAGTTTCACCGTATGGGGGAGATGCTGCACGTACAATTGCTGGCGTCGCTGGTTCCGGCACCTCCAAGAGGGTAGATCCAGCGAGATTCTGAAACTCCCAGTTCACGCGCAAATTCCACTGAAGTCAAAATACACGTGGCTGCTAGATTGACATTGTTGAAGGGATTCATTAACAGGGGATCTGCGGGTTGTCAATGCCATTCTGTGGTATATCAACCGTTGGGTTTAACCTACATGGGGAACAAATCATTCTGTTATTCTTCGTTACTGTGGCAATAGATTCGACTGTGGCAGCGCGCTTGCCATAATTCCACGAGAGAGGATTATTCTGGGCAATTTGAGCAAAGTTGGCATACAGCTCTGCGGACTCCTGATGATTTTCGGCATAACTCTGTTTACGATGGGCCCGAAATCCTGCTTCGTACAAGGGATACACTTGAATAGGAAGTCCAATGGAATGCAGTGTTCCGAGGTCTGATGTGAGTTAGAAATTTCCCCTATTCTCTCTTCAAGTTGTACGAACCGTGACGTTGTGACCGTTCCCATATAGAAGAATAGTCTTTTACCTCAGTCCAATTTTTAGGAGGGAAATCTTTCGTTGCAGTCAATGCAGCCACTATATTCCACTTTCATTAGATCTTCCTTTTCCCAGAACACTATATCAAAACAAAGGAGTAAACGAACGGGTTGCAAGGGCTTCACCACCAGTCACAATAGCAAGACGGGATTCGCCCTTCGATACTCGTCTAGCAGCCTCGTCAAACAGTTTCGCGGGAGCATTTCCACCGTGCCCACTTTCATGTTTATGCACCAGTTTCACTCCGAGCTTCTCGGCCAAAAGATCCGCAATATTAGGGTACGGCCAAGTCCAGTTTGCAACGACATCAATGCTATCAATGGCCGGAAGTATCTTTGTTCTCATCGCTGAGCTGTCATCGATGGCAGCGCTAATGGATTGGAGCATAAGCTCGAGCGGTTCATATGCATGTTCTGGTTTCAAGGAAGTGTTCTTGATGTCTCCGACTCCGATTACTACGGGTGTCAAATTGGCGGTGCGCATCGTTCTTGAATTAGAGCAGATAGTTCTCTCAATTATGATGTTGGAAAGATAGTCCTAGGATACTGAATTCCCAGGATTAACATCGCCATGATATGGCCATACTGTAGCCGCTACTGCCTCAGCATGTCCCCTAGTCTAGACCGAATACTTCCCGAATCACCTCGGTAGTGGATTTCATTGGCCACTTAGTAGCCACTTACCCCGACACAAATCTGTGAGAAAGATATACCATGTTAATGCATGCTGCACAAAGCATCCTTGTGTGTTAGGTTGATCTACCTTAATGCACCGCAAGATGTTGGCTTGGCTATACGAGAGATGGCTCCCTACCATGTAGGTAGTAACATAGTACTACATAATAGATAGTTCCTGCCAGTGCGCCTTGGTTAGGAGTAAGTTGCCACTGCAAGGTCGAACGCCGACACTTGCATTTCCTATGAATACTGGGATTTATGCCTAGATAAATGCATTAATCTGAGATACATTGTATGTTGTAGGTGAATAATGTGGTCTTGGCACGGCATAGACCGAGGACCGCGGGTAATTCCAATCCACCACGACGGTACACAAGTATGGGGTAAAACTAATATGACGTGTTCCTTATACCATCTTAAACTCCTAAATTCATCGTGCGGCTTTTTTGTGCTGGTAGTTCTCAAACATACTCATCATGGCTGCATCGTTGAAGACCCAACCCCCACTGACAGAGCATTATACTGTATCCTTTCCTCACCCCCAGACCCTCCTAGTCACTATCAACCGCGAGAAACAACGAAACTCTCTACCCTCAGATGCCCATTGGGAAGCCCATGAGCTCTTTACGTGGTTCGATCATGAGCCATCCCTACTCGTTGCTGTAATCACCGGCGTGGGGAAGAAGGCCTTTTGCGCGGGTCAAGATTTGCAGGAACAGAACTCGAAACAGGCTAGACACTTATCCCCGGCTCAGAGGGCAGTGTATGCGCATCCACCTACTGGCTTTGCAGGATTGAGTCAGAGGAAAGGCTTGAAGCCTGTATTGGCCGCTGTGAATGGGTTCGCCCTCGGCGGAGGATTTGAGATTTGTCTTAATTGGTAAGTCTGGGTCTTCACTTCCCTTTGCCTTGAATATATTGATGTGTCTCGCCATTTATGCTGCTTATCCTATCAGACACTAACATGTTTTTTCCTCAAGCGATATCGTAGTTGCTTCACCCACAGCCGAGTTTGGTCTTCCGGAAGCAGGAGTTGGGTTATTTGCCGCGGCTGGGGGTCTACCACGCCTTGCAAGAGTATGTAGTATGCAAATCGCTACTGAGCTGGCGTTGACCTGCCGTCGCTTACCCGCACAAGAAGCTCTGGGTCTTCGCTTGATTAACAGGATCTCCAAGACGCCCGAGTCTCTGCTGGAGGAGACCTTGGCCATCGCAAAGCGAATCACTGAATTCTCTCCGGACGCTATCTTAGTCACGAGACAGGGTTTGAGGGAGGCATGGGAGACCTCAAGTGTTCAGCATGCGACCTCACGAGTTTATGAGGCGTATGTGGACCGGGTGGTCAAAGGGGAGAACTTTAAGATTGGGGTGGAGGCTTTTGCAAAGAAGATCCAGCCACATTGGGTAGAGTCTAAACTTTGAACATTCTCTTCAGTTGGCTGCGCTGGATGTGGGAAGAACCTCGGGTTATAACCAATATGACCGATATCATTGGTTTCATTGGTGTATATATATCGCTAGCTAGGGCCATAAATTAGAACTCTATATATCCTAAAGCTACCGCACGTTTTCTATTATGCACTTGACTTGATTTTTTTCTCTATGTATTTTGTTACTTGTCCCCTTATCGCCTATTCGTATCCACCTGGAATGCATTGGGGAATATTCTTGTCTTACCAGGCCTTTCAAATAGGTTTATCTAGAATCTCTCAATATTTCACTAATATTGCAGCGTTTAAAAAGTCCAAGTAGATTTCGATCCAAGGTACTTCGGTTCTTTGACCCTTCCAAATGAACGTAGAATAATGTGGCTTCAAAATAATACTGATATTATTCAATGGAATTTGCATATGTCCATCAATATAATAGGCAAGAAGAATCAAAATCCACAAAGATAGTAAGAAGGCAACAAGATGAAACATAAAAATCAAATAGAAAGGTTCACAATATCAAAATCAGGAAGTCACGGTGAAGGAAGACAAGAAAGCCATCCGACCATCTTTATCGACATCTCCTAAACATTGTGTAGGTAGGTGAGTGTAAGGCATATGCACGGATGGTGTGGTTAGTGATTCCAGCCCAGTTGTCTGAAACTAGCTGAGGGTTTGATCCCACAACAAGAATTTCATGCCATGAATAGGCTATCCCAGGTTACCAGCTCTCCTTAAGCTTGAACTGCTCCCAGAGTCCTGAGCCAGCGGGCAAGGCCTGTCCTGCCAATGTACCAGTCACCGGGCCAATAAATCTCTGGTACGGGTTACCGAGTGTGGTAACAAGAGCACCGTTGGTCACGTTCACAAGCAACTTGCCCTCAACTGGGAGATCGATCTCCAGGTGGTAGCCAGTTGGGCTGCCAGTGGAAACCACAGGAGGATAGGTGGAGTTGTCACCGTATGGACGGATCTTGAGACCAGAGCATTGACGTGTAAGCACCTCTACAGCCTTTGAAACATAAGCGGATACGTATTCGGTGGCCTCAGTGTCAAGAGTATTGAACCAAACGATGGAATACTCTCCAAGGCGTGCATGGCCCCAGTACCATGAACCAACACTTTCGGGGAAAGGACGAGATCCCCAGTTCTGAACACGTAATCGGAGTGTAAGTATTGATGTTAATGACTGTGAGTAGGTTCACTTGCCTTATCATGGTAACCGTATCCGGTAAAAGACATTACGTCGTCTCCGATCTTGAATTCGACCTTTCCTTCAGAATCCGGCATAGAGTTCGCCCAGCCGACGCCAGGAACAACTTCCTCTGACTGGCCCTTGATGGGCGGTCCGCAGGGATAATGGGCTGGGGCAACCTGTTTCATAGGTAAGTAAATGTGTACCCTTAGGCTGGCTTGAGTTTTCTTACCGAACGAAGGCTCATGGAACCGCTGAATCCGCTGCCAGTATCCTTTGCTTTGATGCGATACTTAAGAAGATCTTCAGAGCCGGACCAGCTAAATCCGCTTCCAACCCAGGAGCCAGATGAACCATCTCCAACAGTTCTCACATAGCTATCTTCCGCTACGACGGCCGAATTGAACATGGTCCCGTTAGGGAAAACGCCAGAGACATGAACGTAGTTGATAGAGTCCAGCTCGGCACCAAATCCAAGAGCAGAGTGGGGAGCGGAGTAGAAGTTGACAGTAAGAGATTGCGACGCATCCTCACTAACAACATCAAAGTACCACCAATCAAAGGTTGAGGCATTCACGGGAATCACCTTCGGTCCATCGAACGGAGCTTTGGTAGAGAGCATCTCAACCACACTCGGTTCGTTGGCGACAGTATCGGCTTCGTGGGTCAAGCCGGTGTATCGAGCTGCAGCAAAGCCTGCAGCTCCAAGGATGAACAATGGCTTCATCATGATGCTAAAAGTCCAACTAAGTGTTGATGATCTTTTGATTCTGTATTGATGGTTGAAATGTTGTTGCGTAGAACTTTGGTCAAGCAGGCTGGAAGACCTTTATGTACTTTTTGTTCCCATCTCTAGTGATCATTGGCAATCTCATCTTAATCGAGCCGAGTGAGCTCCAGACGGCAAATGAAGCTAGCACCCGGTGCACCCGGTGAGTTATTTGTTTGCTCCGTGGCCCGCGGGATTTTCAAAAACGGCATCCGTTTGATGTTGAACTGAACGGGCATCTTCAACATCCAATACACCTAAACCGAGATTGGGCCGTTGGTCCGCCGATTATACACCGAGAGCCTGGTTGACATGTTGACGGGTTGTGTAGATCGTGGAAAAAAGGGGAAAGCTTGGCCCTGAACTGATAAGTAACGGCAAAATAGTTACCGTAACCTTGTCATAGTGGCTTTATGGTGACGTGGAGTACTCTGCGAACTGACTAAAGCTTTTTTATAATAAACTTAGAGTCATGGGGACCTAAAAAGGATTACTTGTTGAGACCGCGTTTCTGCCTCAGGTGGATAGGACCTTGGTAATCTTGATCCGTACCTGACTATTCTTTCTCTCTCCCTCTCCCTCTCTCTCTCTCTCTCTAAAATCACATTTAACATGAGACAAAGGGAGAAAATAGCCAAAGTTTCATGTTCTAGGACGCTGGTAAGTGTACTATCTATTGATCAGGTCTCGCAGCCGGGATAGAAAGAGGTTCTACGCCCTGATAGGGACCGATGTCCGACTGATAAATGTCGTTCATGGTGAAAGGAGCCAACAAAAAGATGACTATCCTTGATGTTCTATTGGTGATATCGGATGTCTTTATATTCTATTTCTAAATTGACTTACAGCCAACCCGGCCCCACGGGGCAAGCGTCAACCGAGCCATCCCTCCGTCAACTACTGGTTGAAGGTAAACAGGGTCTTTGTTATAATTCACTTGTAAGGCTCTGGCTCAGAGAGTTAGATTTGAAAGAGTCTCTAATGGTAGCACAAGAATTCAATCACCGATCCGCCGCCAAGCCCTCGGTCCTCGGCCTGTCGATCGATGAACACAAGCACCGATCCAGTACTTTAAGAAGGCATGGAGGGCTTGCTGTATGAATTAGAAGATATTCCTACGATAATAGCTAGATTTCTCGCATCTCAGCACTTTTCTGCTAACACACATCATGCCCTCAGATCCGAAACTCGATCTCGACGATAATACGCCATGGAGCGAACCTGCCTGGTACAGGACTTTGGACTCGCCATACTACAACGAATCCCATCGAAGGCTTAGAGACAACATCCGAAAATACCACGATACGCATATTTTACCCCACTCTCTGGAATGGGAGGAGAAGGGCGATGTACCCCGGGAAGAAGCGCTGCGGTACGCTCAGTCAGGGATCCCCTTTGATGATGTCCCTATTGAATATCGACCCTCCCACATCCCCAACTTGGCCGGCATTCCTCACCAAGAGATGGACGTGTTTCATCTCCTAATTCGCATTGACGAGACGGCCAGAACGGAGGGCGGGGTGTCAATTGCGCTTGGCGGTGCATCAACGATTGGTATTCCTCCCATTATACACCATGGCTCTGAGGAGCAGAAGGCCAAATGGCTTCCTGGGCTCTTCTCATGGGAGACTAGTTTCTGCCTGGGAGTGACAGAGCCTAATGGTGGGTCTGATGTCGCTAATATCAAAACCACCGCGGTCAAATCTCCCGACGGTAAATATTACATCGTCAACGGCGTTAAGAAATGGATTACAGGTGCCCCGTGGGCTACGCACATGACAACGGCCGTCCGGACAGGAGCGGATGGATCCGGTGCGCGTGGCATTTCAGTGCTCGTAATTCCCATGAGATCCGAGGGAGCCACGACTCAAAAGATCTATAACAGTGGTCAGAATGCTGGCGGATCGTCGTTTGTGGATATGGAAGATGTGCGGGTGCCCGTGGAGAACCTGATCGGAGAGGAAAACAAGGGGTTCCCAATCATTATGAGAAACTTCAACAAGGAGAGATATGTCATGGCTGTTCAGTGTAACAGGAAGAGTCGAACGTGTCTCGCCCTCGCTCTGTCATATGCTTTGAGGCGCGAGACCTTTGGACAACCGTTGATCCAAAATCAGATCATCCGGCGGAAGCTAGCTGAGCTAGCCCATCGGGTAGAAGCGCACTGGGCCTGGTTGGAACAACTGGCATTCTACATCAATTCTGCGCCCTTGGGCTGGCAGAGCCCTCGGATTGCAAGCCGCATTGCCCTGCTCAAGGTCCAGGGGGGGCAGATGCTGGAATTAGCCGCGCGGGAGGCACAGCAAATCTTCGGGGGTGCAGGGTATCAGAAAGGTGGAGCAGGAGCAACCGTAGAACAGATCAGTAGAGATCTACGAATGATGGTAAGCTTGCCCCTATTCGGCATGGGTTGATTTGTTGATAGGCTGACCACTTTCTCGCCGGATTTTAGGTGGTGGGTGGTGGGAGTGAGGAAATCATCGCAGATCTTGCCATACGCCAGGAAGTGTCTATGCTCGAAAGGAAGGACAAATTGTAGGATTAGCCAGGTGTTCCAAATAAGAAAATATGGGGAAACGAAATAATTGGGAGTTTCCCCTTTTCGGACCTACCTTCCTATTCGAGAAGGGGAAGATAACGGAGTCTATCACTTCAATAGAAGACCCCACTTGAATTACTACCCCCTCATATCAAAGATAAATATTCTTATACTGTGCCGAATGTTCGACCCTGTACAAAATCATTAACTACTACTTGTTCACTATGTACGACACCATTATAATCGGCGCTGGGCTCAGCGGTCTCCAAGCTGCACTCAATATCCACGAAGCCGGTCACTCAGTCCTCGTATTGGAAGCGCGTGACAGGGTCGGTGGTAAAACATGCACGGCATCTCTTGAGACAGGCGGATGTGTGGATCTCGGTGCTGCCTGGATCAATGACACAAACCAGTACCGCATGCATGGCTATGCACAGCGCTTTGGGCTCGAGCTCATCAAGCAGAACACAGAGGGGAATGGTTTGATGCAAGATCTAGATGGAACAATCATTCCATTTGCATATGGCACTACACCACCGGTATGTATATGTACACCACCACCGGAGCCCACACAGAGAGGGAACTGACGAATAATCCAGTTTGCAAATGTATCGGATGTTCAAGATCTTGAAAGAATCAGAGATACAATTCACGACCTTTCTGTTCAGGCTCGAGAATCTCTACTTGCAGGCTCGGCAAATGGGCAAGTTCTAGAGCTTGATCAGATCACCTTGAATGAATATGTTCAACGTCAGCGGGGAAGCGAAAGAACCTTGAAGATGGTCAATCTCTGGACCCAAGTCATGCTTGGCGTGGACTCGGACGAAATCAGTGCCGGGTGCTTTGTGGATTATTGCGCAAAGGGAGGTGGCTTGATGCAAATGCGCTCTGATAGCAAGCACGGAGGACAATATCTGCGTTTCCGCAAAGGTAGGTCATTTGCGAATTCAAAATACCATAAATCAGAGCGGAAGTGGCTAAAGTGATAGATAGGCACCCAATCAGTGGCCAAGAACCTGGCCAAACTACTCCCACCGGGATCCATCCAGCTTGGATCGCCAGTGAAAGCTGTATCTGACCACGGGACAAAAGTACAAGTGACCGTGTCATCGCCTCTCTCAATTGACAAAGTCTTCACGGCTCGAAAACTGATTATCTCAATCCCCACTCCGCTTTATAAAGATATCACTTTCTCTCCCGCACTTCCAGCTCGCAAGTGGACCGCTAGCACGAGTACCAACCTGGGCACCTATACCAAATCCATTCTTGTCTACAAGGAGCCATGGTGGGTCGAGAAGAATCTCTGCGGACTTATTCTTAGCTATGACGGACCCATCGTTGTGGCTCGGGATACTAGCAGCGCTGTCGACGGTCAATATTCATTGACCTGCTTTGTGAATGGCTCTATCGGTCGGAAGTGGAGCGAGATGGCTCCGTTCAAAAGGCAGGCTGCGGTCTTGGAGCACCTCTATCAAATCACTGGAGACAAGAAAGCTTTAGAGCCGATTGATATTTTGGAGCGACAGTGGATGAATGAAGAATGGAGTCAGGGTGCCGTGTGTCCGATTAGTGGGCCTGGAGTCATGAGTTCTGTCGGAAACCTTTGGAAGGTTCCGATTGGCAACATCCATTTTGTTGGAACTGAGTTTGCTAAGGAGTGGAAGGGATATATGGAAGGAGCTGTTAGCTCGGGTGAGGAAGGTGCGAAGGAAGTGTTGAAGCTCTTACAGAGAGGTCCAAATTTGTAAACATACAAGTCTTTGAATGTGATAAGGAGGAATATATAGAAGTTGATTGTTAAAAGAGGTCTTAGAAATCAAACCTGAAAAACCACACTTTAGGGAACTATCTACTATTTTTGAGAAGCCACTGTTTTCACTAATGTAATAGAATCGAAGATAAACATCAATAATATTGATTTATAAACCCCCAGCTATCTCTTTGTCTAACAATCAGAATACAAGAGTTTCTCACCCGGTACATATGTATATAGATACAGTTACCATAGCCTAATATATGTCCCGAACCGTCGCCAGAAGGGACGCTCATAATAAGCATCTAGCTGTCGAATCTCTTCAGTCGTTAATGCTCGATGACCAGTAACCAAATCAGCTGTTGCCGGATCACGCCAAGGCGTTCGGAAGATGATCTTGTATGCGATGGTTGAGAATAGAATCAGGAACAAGCCGATCGTATAAGAAAAGAAGTTATAAGCTGTGAATCCACCAGTCTACCATGGAATCTTGTGAGTCAACAAAACAAAAGGAGAGCTAACAAGCTCAAAGGATTTCAGGCTCACATACCGCCGGTTTTATGCTCTTATAAAGAAGACAGATCAACAGTAGAGTTGATATGATAAGGATTAATACCGGAGCAACAGGCCAGAAGTTTGATTTCCAGCCGTACTGGTGACCGAAAATGGGACTGTTCTGTGCTTTCACTGCGGCTCGGAACCGGAAAGATGTGAAGCCAATAATGGCCCAGTTGGTGAAGAAGGATGCACTTGTGATGGCGATAAGCCAGTTCAGGACTTCCAGTCCCCCGGCTAAATTCTTTTATTAGCGGCCGGGTATTTGTGAAAGAGAAACCAAAAAAGGGAACATACCGCTCAAACTCATGTATGTTAAAAGAACTGCTACGAGCGCTGTGATAGTAAGTGCCCATCTTGGCCGACCTCGTTCGTCAACTTTGGCAATGAAAGACGGTAGAAGTTTTTGCAGGGCCATTGTTCGGAGAATTCTTGATGGTAGGAAAATGCATTCCAGAGCAATGGCCAAAACTCCAATGATCATGCAAATATTGATTAAGTCAGGGATGCCTTTAATCCCTGCATCTTGGACGGAGATTACGAACGGAGAGGCGGCAACGCCTGAGCCACCTAAGAGACGTGGATCATTTGAAGGAACAATGATAGAAACGAGCACAGTCGAGACCAGGTAGAATACTGCCACTCGCCAGGGGATCAGATTTGCTGAGTGTGCCATAGAGTAGCGAGGTGACTCGGCTTCACCACCCATGACACCGATAAAAACTTGGTCGCCGATGGCCCAGATTCCGAGGAGCGCAGCATTTGCAAATCCCTAGATTGAAAGGTTAGATTGGAGACAACTCATGAGGAGATTCCAAGCCAGAACATACCCCAAAGCCATTTTTGAAAGTTGGTAAATCGGTCCAGGTACTTCCATCACGCACGTAGCCTTTTGACCCAGCTCCTCCAATGATTGCGAGGGAGATAATAACAATGAATATGAATAAGAAGACCTTGACAAGTGATCCAAAGTATTCGAGCCATCCGAAGAACTTGTTGGGCATGAAGAATACCGTGAGACATATGACCAAGAAAATACTGACTGTTAAAGTGGTTTAGTAGAGAACAGTTCAACACATAAAATAAATACTTACGCAACGCTGCATCTGGGACAGCACCTCCAGCCCAGAAGTTGACTAAAATAACGAAAAACGTCGCCTCTGAAGCGAAAACAGATGTCCAACCTATACTTTCAGGTAAGTCGACATTTTCTTGAGGAGAGTCGAACATGATTTCACCCACCTAACCATTCAGCCACACCAGCTCCAAACGCCAATGCAGGGTCAACCCAGCGATCTGCATAGTCGATATAGTTTCCCGACGTTGGGAAGGCAATAGTCATCTCCGTTAGGTTCTGAAGATTGGCCCAGACACCAATACATACAACTAGGTAGCCCAAGAACATACTTCCAGGGCCACCATCTGCCAACGCCTTTCCTGTTGCAATGAATAGGCCACTGCCCACATTTGACCCAAGGGAAATGACCTTGTAATGCGTTAGCGTTTAAAAGTATCCAAGTATTGCATGATTCACTATGCACGTACATGAATCAAACGTGGAGTCAAGGTCCGATGGAGAGAACCAAATTTCTCCACATCTGCCTCCACTTGACCTTCTCCAACAGAAACGACGTGGTTCAAGCTAGTTTGCTTCTCGCCCATATCTCCAAGACCATTAAGGTCTTTTGGTTTGTCCATAACAAAAAGTTTCTTCAAGTGTCAATAGTAAAGGAATTGTAAATCCGGGGTTGGCAAAAGTGAATGAACCCGGGGAGTTTTATAAAAAAAGATGATTAGTGTTTCGATTTGAGCTTCCTCTCAGTGGCTATCTCAACTTCGGCCTCGCCTTCCGAATACAATTTCCCCCCACGATAAGAGTGGAATGAGGGGGAATTTATCAAAAACCTACGGGAAAACCATTTCGTCTCTTATTTTATCTGAGATTTTACTTTTGACTTCTATTTTGGTTATCATTATCCGCCACCATGGCACCCTCTATCGACGATGGCGCCAAAGTTACAGGCCTCGCTGCCTTGTCCCAGGGCACTCCGCTCCCTGGTGTACCCAAATTTAAGAACTTCGAGGCCCAGAGGGAATATATGTTGAATCACATGGCGGGTGCTTTCAGAGTATTCGCTAGACACGGGTTCGTCGAAGGGATGGCGGGCCATATCAGTATGCGCGACCCCGAAAATCCCGATCTTTTCTGGACAAATCCGTAAGTAGAACTTGCAATTCAATATTTGGAAAAATACTAAACACTCATTTCTCAAGTCTGGGGATTCACTTTGGTCTTATCAATCCATCCGATATGATTTTAGTCAATGAAGATGGAGTCGCCGTTGGCGGGAATATGTCTCGACCAGCAAATGCGGCCGGGTTCCTGATTCACAGCGCAATCCATCGAGCTCGACCAGATGTCAATGCCGCATGTCACTTTCATTCCACTTATGGAAAAGCTTGGTCGACATTTGCTCAGCCCCTGGAAATGCTGAATCAAGACGTTGCGATTTTCTACGGAGCGGCACAAAGTGTCTATGAAGAATTTGGAGGGATTGTTCTTAGAGAGGAAGAATCTGCCGCATTAGCTGAGAGACTTGGTGAAGGGAAAGTGATGATATTACGGAATCATGGTCTCCTAACTGTTGGCAGGACGGTGGATGAAGCCGCCTATCTCTTTTTGCTGATGGAAAAAAGTTGCAAGATCCAACTAGCTGCTGATGCCGCCGCTGCGTCTGGCCGGAAAAAATTGTACATTGATGGTGAAGCGGCGAAATTTACTTATGAGAATACTAGTGACCCAGTAAGTATATAGACTATCCATCCTGGCTCAATTTCTATGACTGACAATCGAACAGGAGAGCCTATTCGCGGAGTTCCAGGGATATTTGCAGTGGGAATCAGCTATATCACACGACGGATACAAGGCTATGGGATGTTGAGATACAAGGAAAACCTAATCCATTGTTTCGAATATCGCTCAACTCAGTACAAGTACCCTTAGCTCACTAAACTCCTCCAAGACTTGATTCCAAGGGGCGTTCTGCATCCCCGGAAGACTTCGAGTCTGCCAAACTTTCTGCAAAGCTTCCAGAGCCACAATAAACATGCGAATTCCAGTAGATCGACCAGACCGCTCAAGCCAATCGGAGATCTGCTCTCTGAGTTTAGGATTGAGTGCCTCGCATCCTGCGATAAACCCAGGCCAACAAGTATTAGCAGATTGATCCTTGTGTTTCTGTTTCTTTTTGTCATATTCGAAAAGATGATCAATTATCTCCTGAACGTAGAATTGCAGTATCGCAGCGTTTACATCTCTGACGCTGCGGTAAAAATAAACAATCAGCGCTTTATACATTGCCTGCACGAAATGATATGGGAAAATCTCTCTCTGCGGCAAAGGAGTGTGAGCAGAGTGCCCGAGGTTGCCTTGGGGCTCGTATTCCCAAGAGCAAATCCTGCTCTCCAGATCTTTCACTTGCCCTGACAATGAACCGTGGTCGATGTTATATGTCCCGGACTTTTGCATTTTGTTAATTAATACCGACAAGTGTGTTGTTTGGAGGATCAATTTAAACAACGACTGGGGCGCTGAGTAAATTTCCTCAAACGTAGATTTGGACGGTGTATCCAAGTTAAAATTCTCCTCAGTCAAAGGGGAAGAGAACCCGATGAGACGATCCCAACTAGAAATGTCTTGAGCTGATGAGGAAATGGACATAGTCATAGAGTTTTCGAAAATATTCGGCTGAGATCGGCCCTCGATACAAGTTCGCTCAGTCACAACCCGAAGATAAAGATAGATACTGTGAAGCATGCGCACTTTTGACGATTGGGAAACCTTTTGGACTCCATGCAAATTAATGATCTCTTCAATATCTCGTAGGTAATGAGCCGCATTTCCCATCTTCCCACTGACCACCTGTCCATAGGGGTTAGCAATTGACCGTAAAAAGTTGTATTTCTAGAACTCACACAGATAGTGACCATGCTCAGAAGTGCCATCAGAATATCCTTGTATTTCTCCTTCTTTGCTCTGTCATGAGATAGATCGAAGAGCGATCGTTTCAATCGTCTGGAAGCTCTTTCACGATACATTTCCCCAAGAGCGTTCCAATCTTGGTACCCTCGCTCCGTTAGGGAAGAGCTTTGGTTTTGGCTAAAAGCACTAATTGCAAATACTGCGAATAGTAAGGAGACCTTTGCATTACTGCTGTCTCCCGCTAACCCGATTTCGCCCACCGTGCTGAGCAAGCTGGGGATGTAGATGGCTTCCCATGGTGACTTAGCCTCAACCCGAGCAGGAGTGAAAAATGTCACCATTGTATGGCGATAGTGATCAAGGAGTATTTTGGCAAGTGGCATAGTAAAATCTTCCAGATCTGATGCAGATGAGCGGGAGGGAGATGATGGGAGGGAAATAACAGATTGTGTAGCCGCGGGAGTCGATGGACACACGAAGTCAATATTTTCCAAGATGAATGTCTCAGATGCTAAGCGATCTTCCATAGTCAGGAACTCTGGTGTTTTTGCAAGCGGATCAGGACTGTACTCGTTCTCTTCATCCATCATCTCGGCAACATTTGATAGACTAGGATTCCAGAGCTCTGGGTCGAAGATATCCGAAAGGGCTTCGAGTTGAGTAGTGGATAGCATTTCCGTGGCTTGAAATACATGGAATGGACCATTGCACAACGTCTGATGGTTTCCAATACCATCGGTTTGCTGGTCTAATTCATCTAGAATTGACACGACTGTGTTATCTCCCGTGATGAATATCAATTCAGCAGCATTTTGGGCTAGATCATTGGCTATTGAATTTTGAGTCTTCTATCCAATTGAAAATTTGTTTGTGTTTTGGTTTCTCGACATTGACTTACCAGTGAACAAAGGCCGTCGCCTTGCATGCAAGTCCTCCACATCGTCATCAGGAACCTCATGCAGGCGCGGACGTAGCCAACGCACCCTTGGCGGGGCTACTGGAATCTCGCAGTTGAGCTTCCGCTTCTTGCATGGCGAACATTGTGGTGATATTCGGTCGCACTTGACCTTTCTGGCGCGGCAGCTCAAACAGGAATTTTCACCCTGAGTGCTGGGTGACATGGTGCGGCATGAGTAACCTGATGCACAATCTGATAAAAACGGGGAAGACGAAAGTCCAAGATGATAATTGTACCCGAGGTCATTGGCTCCGTTATCCTATCTTCAACTACTATCTGAAATGCGGAGAACTTACTGAGCGATTGGCTACATCGGCTCCACCTTCCCGGAAAGTTGAGATTACAGAATGATCAGTATACTCCGAATAGGGGATTTTTGTGAAGGTTATCAATATTTAAGAGATCTAGTCATGACTCTTGTATCTCAAGCAATAATCTCACAATCATGGCCGTCAAGCAACCTCAAGTCCAACGTATCGACCGAGCCAATGTGGCCGATATCATTCAAGCCATCATTGAAGATGGCTGCTGTGTGATCAAAAACTTTACCAGTGTGGAAACGATAAATAATGTCAATGCGGAGGCTCAGCCTTACATCGATGCGGATAAGCCATGGAAGGTAAGTCGTGCTCCAACATACATTGAACAGCCATGTCCACATGCTAAATAAACAAAAGGGCGACCTTTTCCCACCGGAAACTCGACGATGTGCCAATCTCATGGGCCGAAGTAAGACAGCCAGAGAACAATGGCTGGTCGATCCCCTCGTTCGCACATTGACTGCAAAATTCGTGGACAAGACCACATCAAATTTCTACGGTGAAACTAAACACACCTATACGAGCGAGGCAATCTGCTCGATTGCGATGACATTCGACGTCGGACCAGGTGCCAAAGCACAACGACTGCATAGAGACGACAAGAACTTCCACGTGAATCACGAAGATCAAATTTCCACGGGATATCGTGTAGGCTCGGATGTGATGATGGCATTTATGATCCCTGGAGTCAAGACTACCGTGGAGAACGGCGCTACGATAGCCATTCCCGGTAGTCATCTTTGGGGCGCTGATCGAGCCCCAAAGCTACACGAGGCCGGGCCTGCACTTATGGATTTAACCGACTGTTGGGTCATGTTGGGCGGATTGTATCACGCTGGAGGAGCAAATATCACCCCCGATGAGCAGAGGACTTTACATGGGATGTTTTTCACTCGCGGTTTCTATCGACAGGAGGAGAATATTTATCTGACCAACTCTGCTGAGGATGTTCTGAGCTGGTCACCAGAGGCTCAAAAGGCCTTGGGGTACGAGCTGTCAAGTCCGAATATTGGATTCGTGGAGTTTAAGACGCCGATGCAGTACCTTCGGGGAGCAGATGTCGACGCATTCGGGGATTTCGACCCCTCACAAGAGGGGAAGTCTTGATAGAGGGGAAGATTGATAGATATATAAATGTAGATAGTGATTAATGCACAAATTGATAAGCGAATGGGATTGCTAAGGCTTTAAGATCTCAAGTAGTCTTTGAAGGCCGATCGATTGGGGAAGGAACCACCGAGAGGGGATCACACAGTGGCATTAATAAATATCGTGATAAACCCCATATCTTCTCGTTTTTCGTTTTGCAGTGATGTCAGAAAAAGCCCAAGTTCTGCTCGTCGGCTGCGGTGGTGTGGGGGCCATCGCAGCGCTAAATCTTGAAACTGGCGGCCAAGCTGCTGTAACAGCGGTCCTTCGGTCAAATTACTCGAAAGTCATTTCGGATGGATTTCACATTAAGTCCTGCGATCATGGAGATATTTCCGGTTGGAAACCTAGCAAAGGTGGGGAACCATCAATCCGACTGCGTGATCTAGTCTAATCAATTCACAGTGGTGAACACAATCCCCACACAATCTGAGATGTGCTTCGATTATGTGGTTATCACGGCCAAAAACACCCCAGATAATCCCCCAACCATAGCAGATTTGATTGAGCCTGCTATTGTTCCTGGGAAAACTGTCATTGTTCTCATTCAGAACGGATTGAATATTGAGAAGCCATTCCTGGAGAAGTACCCCAACAATATATGTTTATCCGGTGTCAGCCTCATCGGATCCCATGAAACAGCACCGGCTGTCATTGAGCATGAAGAATCCGATCGGCTTATTATCGGTGCATTCCAAAGTTCACATTTGCCCACCGAAGCAGGAGATGCTATAGCTCATCAGTTTGTCAAGATGTATGCCGGAGGCGGAAAAACAGACTGCATCTTCACTTTTGATGTCCCATTCCATCGATGGCAAAAGCTAGTTTACAATGCGTGTCTGAATCCGATTTGCGCAATAACGGGATTGGACACTGGACGCATTCGCCTTGCGGAAGACACTGTTTCCACTTTGTTGCGACCTGCGATGCAAGAAGTGGTGGCTGCTGCAAAGGCTGTAGGAGTCATTCTTCCTTCGGGCATTGAGGATCGAATAATCAATGTGGATCCCCTAACCATGTATTTCCGGCCAAGCATGCTAGAGGATGTTCAAAAGGTATGATCTCGTTATATTGCACCTTACCAGATATCTTACTAAAAGCTCATCATTATAGGGCAATCTTGTTGAATTTGAGACCCTCGTGGGGGAGCCGTTAAGAGAAGGCTTATCACACGGGGTGTCGATGCCAACATTGACAGTCTTGTATCACACCCTGAAGGCTATGCAGTGGAGGTTTAAGGAGCAAAGGGGAATAATTAATGTTCCCGCAAAGGGTGGATATCTCGAGAATGGCTCGAAATGACACAGGCTCGGTCAATATTAATATTGTTCTGAATTAGTTGACCATATAACCTAAACTCAGGAGAGATTGAATTTCCCACTCTATATTTGGCCGTACTTAAACCAGGGGGTGTCGTCATCTTAGGTATGATATACAGAGCTTGAGCGGTATTTCACGCCTTCAGCATTGCCCACGAATCTAAGTAGTAGGATTAGTGCTACAATATGCCGGAGCCAAGGTTTTACCTGTCTAGATGAAGCTATTGATAGATCTAAGCATAAGTATGTACATTGTTGATGGTGGCACCCATCCTTCTTCGGCATGCAGATATACAAGAAATATACATGGCCCAGAAAAACGCAAAGACTTTGTCTGGACGGAAGGAGCCTCAACGAGAGTAATCAAAGTACCCAAATTCATTGCTGCACTGAGCAACCACACCGTCCAAATACCGTGCGTATATACTTACTTCTTGATGGTGAACATAAGCAGCAACCCCACTGCCAAAGATCCGGTCTCTCACAAGCTAGTTGGCCGACTCGACGATCCAAGTCTGGCAGTTTCTCTGAGTGAGCCTGCTAGGCACCGCAGTAACCTAATATCATAGTCAGCTTCCGTACTCCAGCAGGAGTAAAGTCGGATAGGACGTTGGCAATACAATCCAACGACCAAGGGAGTGTTTGCTGCTCAATAGATTATGTTGGGAAGAAGTAATATGTCATTGACAGCCCTCAAAGTTTTCTTAGGAATTTTGATCTTGTGTGCACTGGACAGTATATCACCCTTGGCTGTGGTTTGTCCTGTCCAAAGGTATTTAGTTGTGCGAATGAAGATGCTCATTGGGGCTATACAACCGTCAGTAGACAGAAAATATACCGTTGACTGACAATTATCGTTAACTAGGGGGCACCAACACAGGGTATGTGTGTTTGGCGCTTGGCACAGCTATTCGACGCTATAATAAATGGTGGAAGGAAACAGCGAAGGAAGAGTCCACCCTCAGTTTACAATTACTATATATAAGAATAGTCAGCCGCCTTTGCGACCTTGTGCCGTCTTTTGAGATATCTTTTTAGCTGGTCTTTTTAATGTCTTTCTAAATGTATGTGAAGGCGGTAAAAAACGCATACTTTGTGTAAGGGACTCTTTTATAATTTATGACTAGCCCTACTATATGTTCCTCTCCTATCCATAACATGATACATACGACCATAGGGTGTGGAAAACAGGGCTTCCCGTCCGCTCAGCCGTACTTAAGCCACACGCCGGTGAGTTAGTAGTTGGGTGGGTGACCACCAGCGAATCCTCACTGTTGTATGTTTTTGTTTTTGCTATTTTGTTCTTCTAGATCAGCCGCGTTTGCGGTGTGATGTCTTAGTGGTTTTTAGACGTGTGATTGTAAGCGACTTTTCTATGTATTACCTGTCATATGTATGATCTCTAAGTGCGTTTAATTGATTATTTACAGATATATTTAACTGATATTTCACAAGTGCATACACTATAGGAACTTCATAGTGTTAAAGTAGATACTTGTTTGTAAGCACAAAAGCTATATAACTAATAGTTAGTAGTAATAAAATCTATCAAAATGTAGTATAAAGATCCCCAATATGAAAGACACTAAGCAAGACATATAGTTTATAGTGTTGAACCATAAGCTATACTAGGCTGCCGCCTACCTTTCCTACACTTATTGGCTACCCCGTTTTGCTCGAGTGCATAGTACCGAGGGGAGATGATTGCTGACTCGGGTATGCCCGCTTCCTTGCCTGTTCTAAAAGTTGAAATTCGTACAACATATACAGATCGAAAATAACATGTATGCATCGACGGAGCGGTGAGACTAGCGGTCAGGTAGTACCAAATGAGAGAGCTATGCCCCGGTAGCATACTTGGAGGGTTGGAAGGTTAGTCGCAGCCCTCACTACCTAGGAGAGCCAATGACATGATGCTACGCGTGAGCACATATTTTACGTGCCAATAATATCAGGATATATATAATTGTCGACTTGAACTTATTTTTGACTTGATATCTTTTACAACCGCTTAGACCTCAGTGTAGGCACCTCTCAACTCCATTCAAAATTTCTGAGTATATGAGCCCGTTCGTCATGGAGGAAGGGGACACTTGGGCGACTTTATTTTTCTCTGGTAGCCCTCTAGATATTCTGCAAACCAGCGAACTCGACAATAAAACGTTCCGGCCATTCTGTGCCGAAGACGATAAATGGAAACTCAGGTCCCGAGTCGACATTCAAAGAGCATCGGATGCAAATGCCATACAGGTATTTTGGCTTTGGATCAATGGACACAGAAAATATATAGGCAAGGTTGTAAGTAGTGACAATAACTCTATACGTGGTCTGAATTAATCATATTATACGGAGTAGTTTCCTACCTATACTGAGGAAGACGCCAAAATTCAGCTTCATCGTATTAGTGTATACCCGACCCCGGAAATGATAAGCAATGCTATGCATGAGTTCGATAGATTTTCCCGGGAGGCTCGAGCATATAGTCATATTGACCTGTATTGCTCCAGCCGTGAAAGAGTATATTTCCCACGATTCTACGGAGTGGTCACTGATATGCCGCGATCCCGATTACGTTCGGGATATTGGCACCAGCGAGCGGTTATACTTGAGGCTATTAGATCGGACTTGGGCTCTCGACGTGTTCTTAGTCAAGATGTCGATCTTAGTCGGGATATCGATCAACTGCCCGAAGGATTCTTGACGACTCTTGAAAGGCTATCCAAAAGGCTTTGGACCATCACCGAAACGATGTTTCTAAGTCCATTTGAACAGGAGTGGTATCAGTCTTTACTAAAAGACCGACTTCGTCGCTTAAATGCTCTGCATCGAGTTGGGATAACCCATGGAGATATCCATGACTTTCATTTCCGACTTCCCGATGACTTTTACGATACTGTTCTATACGACTTCTCCGCGTCGTATACATTCTCTGAAACGAAGCCTTTTCGGGTGAATTCTGGGAGACCTCGGCCTTTAAGTCGTATCTCAGAGGGTGAACGTGAACGTGTCCTACTGAGCATACAAGATCGGTAAGAAAGAAGAGTGAATCCCTTATATTATAACTAACATACATTTAGAGCCGCCTCTCGGGACCTTCGTCTCTACCTTACAACATCAAATTCGGGAACTTCGGTTGATAATGCACTCTGGCAGCCTCTTGACAAAGAGGAGGGATTGTTGGAGTTGATCATAATAAAAGTATCCCATCGCCCAGATGGTCAGTCTTTGTTGACCCTTTCCCACCGTTTATGTATACATTACTAACTATGCTAGGCTTTTCAATGCCCACCTTGAATTCTATTTTCCCTTTCCTAGAAGCGGTTTGCCCAAAGTCTGACCTATGTTGGCATATTCGCAGAGGCAGGCTTTTACATCACTATAAATCAGTTTGGGCAGTATCTCGGGACGAAGAAACCCAACCTATATCCTTTGATTGTGAGCGGGAATTCAGAACGATCGAGACAACGAAGGACTCTCGCTTTATGCTCTGCTTAGTGCCAAATTCGTGGATTATATCATTGAAGATGAATCCTGATGTTAGCGGACATTATGACAGGCTACAGCAATTTTGCTCGAGTCTTATTTCAGCCGAATCCCCCGGTGTGGTTATTGGAAGAGGTGAATTTTTGAAAGATGCGGAGATCACAAAGACTCCTATATGAGCAATATTGTATAATAGAAGGCTAAGCCCTTTTTCAAATTGCATCAATAAGCACAGGAAGTACATTATTGTTACCCGTAGGATGCGTTTTGGCACAAAAGTCGTGTCGACATATCATTTAGTGTTCATCCACGATTTAAGGTCCCCTACCTGAGTTTCGGTGGAATAGAGTGAAATTACCATCAAATTAGCCAGGTTTCTAACTAATTTGACTTAACCATGAACTGTTGGCTAGCTATTTATTATACAGGAGGTCCGCAGAAAATTGCAAGACTCAGTCTCTCGCTTATAACGCATGCGTTACCTATATGTGTAGGACCGCGAACTCTGTGCACACATGCACGCACTTTGCCTTTGCCCAGAAGACGTTGTAAACGGGTTCCTGCCAACATAATAACTTCATCAGGCATTGCTGGGACGGAAATGAAAGAGGCATCCAATCCTATACCCTCACTGTCAAGGATTTCAGTTGTCCTAAGATCAGCGATCTCCAAGCCATCATGTGCTTCTGTTGCCCGGACCAGAATTGTTATTATGCCACTGTCCATATGAGCTGGACTAAAATGGACTCTGTCGCAGCCCAGCCTATCAGAGTCATAGAAGTTGACGCCCAAAGATTCATAGTCAAGAGACGGGGTCCCTACTAAAGGCTCCGCTGAGTCTATAATAGTAGATAAGGTGCTGAAAAGTTGACTTCGCAAATTGGTCCACTCCTTTTTGTAGGAAAAATTAGCTCTAACGTAACACAAGAGCTTTGCTTTGTAGCCAAGTCGATAAGAGGAAGGCAATCTTTTGCGAACAGAATGTTAAGCAATAATAGTGAGGACTCATCTATATTATATCGCCAGGGGAGATTTCCCGCCTTCTTCTACGGAAGGGGTCCATTAGGCTAAATCGATAAAAACCACCTTACGTAGGGCGCTTCTTCACCAGCATTTCTCACTTGTTCCCTTTCATCTTTAATCTTTTTATTTCTTTTTTATAAATTTATATAAAAAGCTTTATTGCAATAGTCAGCATGATCATGAATTCTTGATCACTTCTTGAATTTCTTGCTTCTTATCGTACCACCGTACTGGGCGTTTCTAAGTATTGCTCATGACCGATAAAGGATCGCTTTGCTACTCTTCATATCCAAGCTGTTATATCGAGAGAAGAACATCTCGGCGAAGGTTGAGTTGTCGGGTGGTGGGACCATGGGGTAGAAGGCTATCGCCAAGGCAACATTCCCTATAGCATCGGTCTGAGGTCTATCTGTGTCAAATCCTCCGACATCTCGCAAAGAACTCAGAGAGCCGTCTCAACCAAGTTGTCAACATTTGGGAGGTTGAAATAAGTCATCGGCCTAGTAAAGGATTCCCCGATGGACCTTTGAACATAGTTATAGCAGTCAGATTCAAAACTAGTCTCACTTCGTCGGATACCGTGACATATACCGGCGATAATAGAAACTATATTTTCTCTCTGTTCAACTGCATTGCAGAAGCAAAATTCTCAAACTTCTGACCCGTAGATTTATATCTCTCATCTGGGGGTCTTATATCACGCCCTCATCGAATGTCTCGAACGATCGTCGGAAGCGAAACTCATATCAATTACCGCTATAACGAACCCGAATTATCAGTTCCCATACCAAACAACCTTATATGACCACCACATGGAGATAGAATGAGCCTATAATTAACCCGTTCGCACAATTACTTAGCTATGATTGAATGAGGCCACCTCCAACAGAGCATACCTTTTTGCATAACTTACATATAAATATATATATATATATAGGCCCAAGCATATCATCTTCTGTTGACACAGTCATAAAGGACTCAGGAGAAATGGACTTTGAAAAGACTATTAGCTTTGAGTATGAGGCTCTATGGCATTAGGTCCAGTTTCGGTATAGCTGACTCACAGTGTACAGAAGCTATTGAGTGCTGACCTGAGTTCCAGTCTTGTACCTGCCATATTTGCAACCCACTACTTTTCCTTCACTTCTCCTTCACTTCTTTCTCTTCTTCCCTTCTATCTATCTATCATCCATCTGATCTACCCAATCACGAGATGACGGAGTGAGAAAACCGCCCTTCTTTGCATTGTTATCGTGGGGGTTTCAGACTAACATTGAAAGTAGCCGCAACGATCGTGCTCCTCCCGTGGGTGACCCTCCCACCGATACTCCCCCTGTCAACAATCCCCACAACGCCGAATCTCATGAAAATCCGCCTCATCCGCCCAGCGATGAGCCTGCGGATGTCAACCCAGGGTTGTGATATACCCCAGCCTCGAGTATCTCGACTGGAGACAAATACTAATCCATATCAATAGGACAACCCGAGGTCTTGATCACCGAGCTACTGGGGTCAATACGAATATCCCAGCACTGATGACGGGCACAGGTGCAGCCCCGGCGGGTCCATGGGCGGCATATATCAAGGCACCACCATTCAACACCACCACTAAGGGCGAGCCGCTAAACTCCGAGCTCCTTTGCAAGCTCTCGCCTAAGACAGCTATCAACGAGCCACCACTTCGCCCACGGCTTGCTCACTACTGGAATCCGGCTGGGTTCGTTGCGGAGATTACCGCCTCAATTGCGCGAGTTGAGGGCGCAACAACCCAGGTTGTGGGATACGAGGTCCTGCAGCAATGTGAAAGCTGCAAAGAAGATGAAGGCCCATTTTCTCATTGTGTTTGGGACTCAGACGCCGATAAATGCAGTAACTGTCATTGGCTGGGAAATAACCACCACTTCTCGCTGAGCAGACTGCCTGTCCCCCCCACCACGCCTAGCCTGACCGGCCAACGCCTCCTCTCAACAACCGAACTGGCCGAAGCTCGTACCGAGCTGACAAGCCTACTTATGCAGCGTGATATCCTCAACGAACGATACAGTCAGCTTGATTTTAGTCTAGCTCGAGTCCACATCGCGATCTTTTGGCTATACGATGATCATAATCTCATGAACAGTGCCGTAATCCATCATAATTACGCCGAAGTTAGCGAGGGACTAGAGGGGCTGGAGGTCAGCATTCATGATCTTTGGGTGATCCAGATGGAGCTGTAGACAGACATAGGTGAAGTCCGCTCGGCTCAAAATTACGTGACAAATCGCATTTTTGCATTGAGTGAGATGTTCTGCTGGTAAGCACTTCAGCATACCCCTCATAAGGTCGAAATTGGAAAGCAGACACAGCTACGTGGCTAGTCTCTTCTAGGCCAACATTGCTTCCTATTTGTATCCAATGACTATGAATTTGAACCTCTGATTGTGAATTTCTATTTCCTTCGTCGGTATCCTTTCCTGATAATTTTGTACGATCACCCGTTGCGAAGACTAGACAAAGCAGGACCCTGACATGAAGCGGCGGCAGCTGGATCGGGAAAGTCGCTTCTGCAGCCTAAAATTCGGTATATAGAGCCACATAGTTACAGAGGTGTACCATTCATCAATTATAGACTGAGATTGAGTAGAATGGACACATAATTGACCTGAAATATGACTATGATCTTTTCAATCTATGTGAAATTGATTCTCCGATGCTCCATTATTGCACCATTTCGGATCAATCAGGCCAGGGTATTATGAGCAATAGACAATTTGTAAAACGCCATCAAACTGTACAATATAAAATCACCAGTTGAACAGAGAACTACATTCTCTTGGCGTCGAAGTGAGGGGCTTATTCCCCAATTGCGTTTTGAATATAAATACGATGCGGGGAACATTTGATCCTACATTCTGCCTTCACAATATTATCCGATTTCAATTCCAAACCTCACAACTATATCGCAATGTCTGAACAACAAACTCCCATCCTGGACCATATCGTCCTGCTCGTTTCTCACAAAACACTCCTCGGAATCTCCGAGCATATTGAGGGCCAATTCACCCTAGCACCAGGTGGAACCCACGCCGATGGACTCACCACGAACAAACTGATTCTCCTCCCGGATGGCGTCTACCTTGAAATAATTGCCTTCTTCGACGATATCGACCCTGAAAAACGCCGCAATCATCGCTGGGGAAACGAGAAAGAAGACACCATCGTCGACTGGGCATTCACTTTGCGATCGGAAACCGACTTTAGCGCCGTTCAACAGCGATTCCAGGGCGCTGATACCAATGCTTCCTATACAGACCCTATCGCCGGCGGTCGGACTAAGCCAGACGGCACAGTGTTGAAATGGGCAGTTGCTGTCCCTAAAGATGGTCAAGGAAAGGTGGTTCCCGGATCTCTGCCCTTCTGGTGTCTGGACAGAACACCCCGTGCAAATCGAGTCCCTTATGAGGTTGAGCCAAATCTCGCTCAACATCCGAATGGCGTGCAGGGCGTTTCTTCTGTGTCGGTGCAAGTCCCTGAGGGAGAGATTTCGAATTTCAAGGGTGCATATGATGCGATATTTGGCGGGCCCTGGAATTATGAAGTTCCTTCTGGCTCGACGGCTGGCAAGCATGGGATTTCTCTGTCTGGGGGAAATGCGTCTATTCGCCTGGTGTTTAATGGGTTGAAGGAAGGAAAGGTTGAGCTTCTACCTGGACTCTTCTTTGACATTGAGAAATTGGACTCACTATAAGTGTGGCAAGGGGGTAATAGATAGATTAGAAAGATTGGTTATACTTGAGATCACTGGCTGTGTATAGTAGATTTCTGAAGTAGCCAATTCTTTGAAGAACCATCACTTCAATAAATAACACAGTGTGTGAGGGTTATCTTTCTTTCTGTGGTCAATGTGATGGTAAGGTGAGGACCGATCGCAGCAAGGGAAATATTAAGTTTCCGGAAACTAGGTTGGAATCTAGTTCGCCCGGCAGAGCCAGGATCCGGGGTAGGACTCAATCAGGTCAGACATCTTAGGCTAGGCAACATGATACATTTCGAGGCCCGTGCTTACATCCATCCAACATAGGTCCACCTGGGCACTGGCCAATGCTTAGCAAACAGGAGGCTTAAAACTCGCCTGCCTAGGTGGCCAGTTTGCAGATTATATTACCACTAGCTTCCACCTGGATCAAATCACGGTCGTAGTTAGATACATAGCTGACAAGATCACTTTGTGGAAGTTCCAAGTATATATTGTCGTTCGAGTGTGCATATGCAGTGTAGTATGTAAATATCACCATCTCTTGGTTACTGTTATTTCGCCGAATTAAATGTCCAACTGGGATAGCTCCGCCGCAATGCATCTAAGCGTTCGTTCCACGATGTGTTTAGGTCCAACTCTTCCAGTGGAACGATGGTCTTAATACCATCTTCCACATTGAATCCCCATGCGAATCCCAGAATGGGTGTGACTTGTCGAGTGATGAGAGCATCAGAGATATATGTCAGATAAGTCTGTGCCCTCCATTTGAAATCTGTCTTTCCGATGCGTGTGGGGGCATCGAACAGCGTAGGATCAGAGCCAAAATATGTGAATGGTATGTCTGAGTCTTGAAAGATGGGTGCCAAGTCAAGCTGCCAGTCCAAGTCGGAACAGCCATCCTGAACACCGGTGGGCTCGCGATCATGAGATGGAACTTCATCATTGCTGGTGCATTTCACGAATTGGATCCAGCCATACATTGAGCCGTAACCTGCATGGTCGGAGTGCACCGTTGCTCTTATCACCGGATAGCCAATGAAGTCTTCCGGCTTGTATTGAGGGAGGATGATGGTTGATCCAGAAGCAATTGGATCGGTGTTGGGCATCAAGATGGCACGCATAATGCCATTCTGGCCGCTATATGCTTGGAAAGGCCGCTCGAAGAGCTGTATCGGAGACGACATTGGTATAGGCGACTATGTTGAGAATATGCGGTTGGGGAGATAGCTTTCTTGCGTTTGGCTAAACATTCATGAGGCTTGCTGGGTATTCTTATTTGTATGTGCGAAGAAAAAACTTGGTTTTAGGCAGCCGTGGCGCTAAAATAAGTACTAGATAATTCACTACTGTTCTAACTTCGGAGTGTCAGCAGCAGGGGTGCATCGACTCTTGGTCCCCCTCATGCTGAGAAGCCTATGACACTTGTTGGATTTGATTTAGTCCGCTTTTGAATACCTGTTGCCTACAGCGTATATTATATTGTGCCACACATATAATTTCATACAGATTTCCGGTAGTAGTCTATAATCCACGGAGCTAATTGTCCAGCTGTTTGTTACTCTCAGATGTCACATGATCGGCCATCCCATAGTGTTACTAGCTATATAGCTAGTATCCTTTCCTCACTTTGTACAAAATCTCACACAATACATTACATTGTGCCTTACCATCTACTATCGTAGACATCAACACTAGCCTCGCTCATTGCAACCATCTCGTAATCAAGATGGGAATCTGACCTTCCTGGAGTCGAGCTAAGTTGTCCCAGGATGGTTTTATACAATTAGAGCACGTATCGTGTCCGACTAAACGGCAGGACTATAGAGCTCAGACTAAATACAGAGCGTATTGGTTTTGTCAGTTATGGCGGCCGTACGCTCAATTGTAGTGTCCGATGGCTTCTGAAGACGGTAGGCAGGTAATATACACAGTTTGGAAAAAGGGCAAGATATATAACGGCGTCACGACCCCATCACACCTTTCGATAGAAATATTGTGAAAGGATTCACTAAATTAGAGGTATGTCGACTTAGCAAAATTGAAATAATTTAGCGTACACACACTAGTTGAAGGGGAAGCCATAATCTTCCCTGATATTTGATGGGCTACCGAGAGCTAACTAATCTATGTATCATCAGATCATGTGCGATACCCATGTAGATGCTTAGTGAGCAAGAGCATGATACCCATGGCTGGACGGGCCCCGCTAGCCCCTGCTGACTGATTCCTGCATAGTATGACGTTGGTCGCAACGGAAAGCCGAACGCCCGATTTCTCCGCTTTTCATGTCTAGAGCTCCATTATTATTCATGTTGAATAATTGTACCACTCTGATAGGCTCCATTGCTGGATTGGAATTGCTGTAGAACCGTCTAGCTACTCTGACAGTTGTACCACTCCAATCATACACGGAGCGGATGGCTCGAGCTATATAAAGGACATGCTTCCCCGCGTTCTTCAGTATCACGGACATCATTTCTTCAGATCAAAATCTACAGCTACTAGCAAGCCTCAGCTTCTCTTACTGACCAGCACTCGCTACTATTCGAGTGTACATCCACCGTTTCAGACCGCCATCTCTTCGGCATTGACAGCTCCACCTGTTCTACCCCTTCCGCGACTAGCCGCACAATACAGCTTGTATAGTTCCAACACCGGGAGCCTTTCCCGAATTACCTCATCTAAAATGGCCACCGCTACTAAGATTAATCTATCGCCGATCACAGATTCTGGTATTTACAGCTCAAGAGTGAGGGAAGATACTGCACGGACAGTGAGCGAGATCCTACAGGAAGATTTAGCCAGTCACCATGTCTTCTTCAATGACCAACACTTTCATAGTATGTCCTTTTTACGCTATATTTTCACCAAGAACAATCTCTAATATAGAGACAGATCACATACCTCATCAGCTCCTTAGTATTTATGCTCTTGGCGCCGCACCGGAGGATGTTAAGGCTTGCTATGAACGAAATAAGACTTATCAGAGACCCGCCCTTCCGGCAAACCAAGAGATCATCCAATCCATGCACGATGTCGCTAAATTCCAAGAGTACTTTGGGAAGGAAGAACATTATCCTAATTACCTCGCCTTTTTCCAGCACGAGATCGATGCCAAGGGTGTTGGTGAGGTTCTAGGGAAGTATATCTTCGCCGGGGATGAGCGAGCTGAGAGTATGATGTGTCGGATGTTTGGCGGTAAGCATTTATTCTAGTTAGACTGGGTTATATTGATGTTGTATTTCCCTCAGGCTAATACATCCAGGACTTGTTCACCCACTCATCCACCTCGGTTTCGGTATAGAGTTCAACCAGCCTGCCATTGTAGCCCAAGGTCTTGCTCAGACAGCAGTGCACGATGACTGGTTGGGTCGTGCTTTCTTCCTACCCGCAGAGAAGATGGCTGGCGGCATCGGAAAGCCAGGGCAGAAGTCGACGTTCCAGCTAATCAATGAGATGCGGGCAGATACGGCTCTTGTTAAGAGTGTACAGTGGGCCGACGGCAATAAGATCAAGGATGGAGTTCTCCACAGAGCACCTGAGCAGATGCTGAAGTATGCTTCTCAATTCACTGTGTCCGAGGATCAGATAGAGGAGCGGCTGGCGGGTATGATCAATACTGTTGGTAAGTCTAGCCTCCAAAGTACTTGCCGATGATGTTTGAGTGATTCCAGCGCGGACATATTGCTGAATTATGTCGTCAGTCTACTATACTAGTGCCGCCCAGCGTCCGACTAGAGAGATGTGGCTTGATTTCTTCTTCATCCATTGCGTCAATTCGTCTATCTTCTTCTCTAAGATTATCAATCTCCCATTCTTGAATCAGCGATCCAAGCTGCGCATGCTGGAATGGAAGGGACGCATCGATCTCCTGATGTATACTTCGCGTGGAACACCGGATCTTCTGTTGGATGAGGTGGCCAATTATCCCATAAAGGAGGACTGGTCACAGATATTTGCGCGAAGTATCGCCCACCCCGGTGATGATGGACATCTAGCTAAGCTAGCACGGGCTTTGGCGCATGGTCAGGAGGTCTGCCAGGCATATGAGAGCAAAACCCCCGAGATGCCGATCAAGGGAGATATGTGGCTTAGGATTGGGAATATAGGTACGCAGCAGAACCTGACATTACAAATCTATTACCTTACTGACAGCTCGGCAGCTGTTGACTCTACTGTCCAAGAGGGAGATAGACCAATGTGGGTCCGTTCGACTGGATTTGATGAAGCATGGGAGCCGGAACGACAGGCACATATGTGAGATGGGCAACACGTCGCTTTCGTGAGAATATTTGGTTTCTTTTCTTTCAACCTGTCCTTACTTCAATCCTTCAATACTAAATTGATATAACAATGTACAAACATACGATGTTATTATTCTAGATTACATACATTATGTGCAAGATTTTGTATTACACGTGAAGAAAGAAGCATGTAAAAACAATATTGGCACAGTGGAAATGACGCATGCGTGGTTGTCCACGGGTATCATTAAACCCCGGGCCCAGATTCTTCAGTCGGAAGGATAAAATGTCGGAACACTTGGGCAGGGTCCATCAGGAACGCATTTAAGACAAGACTTTGAGTTGAAGAAGGCAAACGCCGCGTTCTGCTTTGGAATGGGGTTGTTTATGAGATAGAGCGAATGATACATTGAATGGGAATTGAAATAACAAGAGTAGGGATGTGAGTTTATTTGGGTCTTCTGATGTTGCTCCTTAAGCTCGGTTGTATTAGCAATAAACTCTTCTACAACACTGATGCTAGAATTGTGGTTGGTCCAAGTCTGTCATCATATATACCTAGATCGTTAATGGCACATTCAACGGAACGAATATGAAGTTACATACTGAGGATCGACCATACTGAAGACAATATCGATATTTCCGATTTAGAGACATTTAAATATCTCTTCGTTTATTTTGAAATCGCTCATTAAACATTCTGGGCGCCACTGAGCTCTCCTATCCTTCTCTAAAAATGTATATTTTTGACTCTTATCACAATTATACATAGAAACGTCGCTTGCACAAAGTATGCTTTTCTTTACCACATTCACATACATCTAGAAAAACTACCTAAAAAGATACCTAAAAAGATATCTAAAAAGACAGTTAAAAATATATCACAAGGCCGCGTTTGCGGCCTTGTCCCCCATACTTCGGAGATTGAACTATGGTTCCCGCTTTAGCTGCTGTGGGTCTCTAACCTTCGAATGACGCCAGCGGCTCAACAAAATTGTGTTTGTGTATGGTTTTCGAGTCAAATTAAATTCAAATGAAAAAAGAACAGAGAGTAGCATATATTCTAAAGTCACACCGAATTGGAAATGTAAAGAAAACAAAACAGTGAAAAAACGAGGTGAAAACAAAAATACATTGGGGATCACGTGAGGCCAAGTGGGGCTCCCCAACATGTATTCAAGTCTGCATCTCCTCACTTTTCCCTCCATCAGCCTTTCAAGGTAGTATCGATTGTTATTCTTCTGGTGTTATCATAATCATGGGCAACGAAGACATCAACCGCAAGGACGTTTCGACTCAGAAGGACTGGCCTGATGATGAGAACAACCCGTTCGTCGCCTTCCGGCGCTACGCCGATGAGCAGGTCTCCACCATGCTTCAATCTATCACGGGCCTCCCTTCGATGGTGACCCAACCTCACAACGGCCACTGGGATATATTTGCGGATAATCACGGCTACCAGAATCGAATGGCTCGCCAAAGAACCGGTGATAATACGGAGAACAGCAGCTATCCAACGGATCGAGAAAGTGCGAGTGGTTATCCGGGCAACAGAGATGGAGACGATCCACGCAACTATGCAAAGAACTCACTATCACCTTCGCCTGAAAGCGATGATTCCTGGAGAAAGTGGTGTAATGGACCATCCGATTTCTTTGGCCTCGATTCCTTCTTCGACCGATTCTTTGAGGACCGCTTCTTCCCTTTCGCATCGCAACTCCTACACTCCGGCCATAACCTTCTCCTCCGGGATATGTTTGAGGACACTGACTCGCCCACCTGGCCGATCGGGTATATCCTGTTCAGTCCATACTCGCCTCTGCATCTAGAACGCCAAGCACAATACCAAGCGCACCGCGACAAGGGCGTTTTCTCATCTCTCATGTCATCCTTGCATCTCAACTCCGACCGTGACCCTTCCGAACCACAGTGGCGAGAAGCCTTCGAGGATTTACTCCGACTCGAAAACGATAAGCCGATGCTCGATGGCAATGCCCCCGCCACGAGATCCGAGTCTGGAAAGGATTGGCTACAGGGGCTTGTTAAAAGAGGCAGCTTGGGAGATAAGTGGAAGTATGTGCCTCGCACAAATGGCCAGCCTTGGTCAGGCATTACGTTGTCTAGCCGTGCAGGCCCAGAGCAAGACCAGTCTCAGTCTCGATCTCTACCCGAGAAAGAGAAAGAATCAGCAGATACGAAGGAGGCTGACAGCGAGCTGGACCTGTATGAGCGCTTCTTGCATGATATCGAAAATCGTGAACGGGAATTCTTCCGCGGTGTCTCCGAAAGCCCTCTTCTGCGTCTCCTCCTTGAGGAGCGACGGCAGCAACAGGAGGAACTTGAGAAATACAGACGCAGTCCTCCAACTCCCGATGATCAACACAGTCATGACGATAATGAGAATTGGATAGATCTTGTATCTGGCGGCAACAAGAAATCTGTCCCTGAAACACCCAGGGATTTGCCGGCCGAAATCGACTCCAAGCCAACTGAAGCTGTCTCGGAACCAGTGCAGTCCCGTGTCATCTCCACTATGACTCGAACGGAACGTGTTCGGCTTCCGGATGGGTCGGTTGAGAGTAAGATCGTCAATACGAGGCGTTTCGCAGATGGCCGAGAGGAAAGTAACGAGTCTGTTGAGGTGTCTCATCCCCAGGAAAGCTCCAAGCTTGAGTCCGATTCATCCAAAAACGGTTGGTTCTGGAGAGACTAGGACTCTGTTTGGACAACATCTACGACGAACGCCGATCTTCCTTGGCTATGACCTTTAATATGACCTCCTTTAATATGACTCTTCAGCGCGTTTCCTCGATTTACAATTTGAATGTTCCACTGTTTTCCGGATGGCGTTCCTTTCATATCTTTGCAATCTGCTTCCCGATGTCCTTTCGAGCCACGCGGCTCTATGTACATTCATTCGTTTTCCTTTTCCCCCAAATGCTGCATTAAAAAGTAAATACCAGCAGGTTCTATATTTCATAGCAAATTATTAAGCATCTACATATTATCCAATCTTAACTGCTACGGAGACTTGAATATCAAGCAATACTTTGGTTTTTAGCAAGGTAAACAAAACATCTTGAAAATTCTAAACCCAACACGATCTACATCTAATCAGCCTTGACACTCTTCTTCGCTCCCTTGGCAGTAGTCCACCCTTTAGATTCCCAGTACTTAACATTATCTTCCATCTTCTTGTACGCCCAAGTAAACGGCGGGTCTACACAGTTAAAGTTAGCATCAACACACAAACCCAAGAACGAGAGAAGAACATACAAAGGAACTGCCTCAGATCATGACGATTGTCATCAGGGGAGTACTGCTCAGCGTGATAGCTAGGCGTAATAACAGTCATCTTATGTCTGTTAATGGAGTAGTAGTAGAAGAAATGGCGGGTCTTCTCGTAGATCTCGCGCGGGCTGTATTCGTTACCCCACAGGTGGAGCAGCTTCTCGTACATAGAGTACGGGCCTAGCTTGGAGACCTTCCTCAGGTACCCGAAAACGCCCAGCTGCGCGTATGTAACGCCCATGTCGGCTTCGTCGGACTGAACATAGTCGTGTGTGATGGGTTCCAACTCGGCGGTGGGTGTTGCGTGGATGAATTCTTCGAGGATTGGGAGGCCGAAGCTGCGGCCGGACCAGGAAATGAATTTCTTCAGGTCGACTTTGCTTACGGAGCCGATGGGGTTGAGCTGGTTGTTTGGTTAGTTTGAAGTAGGAGGTGTGCTGGACTTGTGGAAAATGATGCTTACATCGGCGGAACTGGCATCGTACTTCGTGAGATAGCCTCGCAAGCTAGATGGGTTGAGTTAGTCATGTGGAAGGAGATTAGTGTATTTGCTTTGGCATACCATTCTGCAATAACGGTTAGTGAAGGTGCTCAGCAAAGTACAAGGTAGGTGTTTGGGCTTACCATCAACGTTAGACGATGCGAGAACGAGCAAGCCACCACCACCAGGGCGTTGACGCACAGTCGGCAATAATGAGGCAAACAGATATGAGAGGACCATTCTGAGTCGAGCCTGCACATTCTGAAGGGCGGCATTCTCCGCAGGAGATCCACCGTGCATTTTGAAACGAGGCTGGAAGTTAGTGATAACTGTAAAGAGATTCATGATAGAAGTGACCACAGTATCGAAATTGAAGTCAATGTGGTAAGAACCAATATCACTGGCCAGTCGGGTCGCTCTGTCTCGTGTCTCCTTTCCTGAGTTTTGTGTGCCCATGTAGCTGGTATGGAAGATAGATCTGGAAGAATTGGTCAATGTTGCCCAACATGACCACAGAGAAATTTGGCCTGATGCAGGCTCAACAGTTGGAAGACTTACTTGCAAATTTCCTGAGTGGTCGTAGGAAGCCACTCTGAATCTTCTGGCTTCGCACACAAACGGCGGACATCCTTGATGACCTGCTCATTACCTTCGCCCACTGCCTTGAGTACTTCGCGACACATGGAGTGCACAATGATTGCAGTGGCACAGCTATCAATACCACCGCTTAGAGGGAGGAAGAAACCGGCGGCTCCACATCTCCGAAGATAATCCCATAGCCAGCAGGCAGGTCCCAGAGCAATCTCCTCCTCGGGACAATGGTATCGGGGCTTGATAGGCTGAGCAGTCGCGAGGCTAGGCGCGGCATCTTCATCCCGGCGAGAAAGTCTGATATCAAGATCAAGGCGGACATAGGGCGACTGCTTGCTCGCTTGCATTCCACGGCTTGCGCTGCACCGGTAGGTGCGGACTTCTTCGATGTCGACCGTTGCAGTGATAACTTCAACATCGTTCAGAGAGAACTGTGAGCCTTGGGCCACGATATCACCGTTGACGACAATCATAGCACATCCGTCGTAGTACAGACGATCGCCGTCGCAACCTTGCTGATTCGCATAAAGGTAGATTCCACCGCTCTGTGATGTGTAAGGAAAGTGCTGTCCTATAGTAGCGTTGTCTTCCACTTACCAGTTTGGTAGCTTGAGTGATCAAATTGATACGAGTGTCAAGCTTCTTCAGTTCGTGGTGGCTACCCGAAGAATTGGAGATGATCTCAACACCTAGTTTGAATTAGACAATGATCGCAGTCGTCTGGACATTGAGACTCACCAGCTAGACCATATGGAACGTGAGGGCTAAAATCAGTTGTTAGTATCCAAAGCCACATAGCGAGTTCAACACCTACCCATTGGGGGTAAACAGCTCCTCACACGTCTCAAGACCCAGACATGTATCTCTCGTACTGATAACGGCATCACCGAATGGAACCTTGTACTGGCCAGTAACCTTTCCAACAATTGATTCCAGATAGTAGTCCTCCACCTCTTGCGGACGCTGCCATGGGGTAAAGTGTCGGTGTTCGCGATAGTTCCCATCTAGAATGAAAATATCAACAACTAATTTTCCAAGTATAGAGAGCAATTGAACGAACCATTGGCAAGCCACATCTTCGGCCTGATCAGGACAATCTTCCGGTTGTAAAAAATCACGCTTGAGAGGACATATCAGCTAATGCAATACTAGTTGCATCAGAACCACTCACCGGCAGTTGTAGCGCACATTGCGATGACGAACTGGCAATCCCACGTCAACCACAATATCCTGACAATCGGGATGGTCGATGATGCGGGCGAGCATTTCCCATGAGTGCAAGAAGGTGTCGCCCTCAAGGAAACCATCCAGAACTCCATAGCCGGTGATTTCAAGCTCTGGCCCAACGCGCAAAGTAGCGCCAGCAGCCTTAGCTTGCCGAATGCTTTCAATGATACGCTCCGCATTGCCCTCAAAGTCGAGAGCCCACTGGTTGAGAGAGCTAAAAAGAGTTAGCGCTGGGTCCTCTAGTAGCGGAATAGTAAATCGGTCAGCCATACCATGTTGCTAGAGTGACCAGGTGCCCCATGATGCCTAATATGACTGAGACGTCTGTATCTTGTGCTTCGCACAGAGGCTCATCGGCGATAAGAGTCAAAAGAATGCGGTCACGTGTGTGGGGAGCTCATGTTCCCCGCTTCACTGGTAATAACGTAACTGTAAGTTACTGTAATCTATTCTCCTCTTGGCATTATCGGCTTAACTCCGACCAAAAACTTGTAATCCGTCTGTATAAACGTCCCGAGGCTCCGGTCGCTGATTAATGCTATTCCTCTGCCCTCCAAGGCTGTCTGTGCTGGTTTCCGCGTTTCTTGATATCTTGGATATAGACTCATTGTTGATTATTTTTTTTTTCTTGTTATATACTTACGACATTAGATATTCCTCGTTAGCAACTTTGCTTTTACAGAATGAGCACGACCCCTCAGATCCCCACCCCGGCTCATATGCTTGCGGATTCCATGTTGTCCCGACACTTCGGTAAAGAGACAGTCAATTACTTTTCCAGTAAGAATGTCTTAAACTCGCATATATAGGGCGGAGCAACGCTAAAGAATCTACAGGCTCTCCAATCAACCGTCTATCATTCTTGCGCTCCGACCACCCGTTCCTGTCTACGGCTCTGAAACACCCTTCGGCCCGATTTGTGCTGTTGAACAACCTAGCGCCGTTGACCCCGTCGCCGGCACAGCTATACTATGCCAAGTATGAAGAGATCCGCAAGCTTGTGCCCCAGGATACATTCGATACATCCGAGGAAGACATGATCAAGAGTTATGATTCGCGCAAGACACACCCGACCCTTATATTCCTCGGACTAGACGAGAGTCGCAAGGAAGGAGGGATGGCGTGGAAGATCTACTCTGGCACGCCGTACTTTGCAGTTGATGTGACCCCGAAGGGCCCTGAAGAGCAGCAGACTGCAGCGAAGGACATCATTGGTGCCATGGAGGCGAAGGGACTATCTTTCTTCCAAGCACGGGTTGTCATGTCCTTCTCCGCAGATGAAGGTATGCACACGAGATCGTAATTTCTAGGTCGACAAGAAGTAACTAATTAATTCGGGGTAGCTGCTGTCTACGCGCAGGCACGCGCGCTGATGGACTGGAACACTCGCAACACCTTCTGTGGCACATGCGGCCACCGTACCCTGGCCGTGAATGCAGGAACCAAACGTGCCTGCCCACCGACAGATGTTGCACGAGCAACTGAGGGCAAGGAGGAACAACGACCGGAGTGCAATACCCGTACTACACTGTCAAACCTTTGCTTCCCCCGTACTGATCCGACTATCATCGTGGCGGTAGTTTCCGCCGACGGCAAGCGGATTCTGCTCGGACGCTCCAAGCGATTCCCGCCAGGGTGGTACTCCACCTTGGCTGGATTCATTGAGCCAGCCGAGTCTATTGAGGATGCTGTGCGGAGAGAGGTCTGGGAGGAATCGGGTGTCACTTTGTCTCGCGTTGTTATTCACTCCTCGCAGCCTTGGCCGTATCCGGCCAATTTGATGATTGGTGCTATTGCCCAGGTCAGTGACCCCGCCCACGAAACGATCTCTTTACAACACGATCCTGAGTTGGAGGATGCGCGTTGGTTTGAGATTGAGGAAGTTGAGGAGGCACTGCGTATTGGTGTAAGTGACTTGGGCGCTCAGGCTGGTCCGGAATACAAGGGCGGTTTGCGATTGCCCCCTCCTACGGCCATTGCCAATCAGTTGATCCAGGCTGCTGTGAGCGCAGAGTACTTTGCGGCAGAGAAGCAGTCTAAGATGTAGAATCATGCTTGTCATGATAATCGTGCCAAGCGCACCACCGTATATACCATTGACGAATATAGACATTTACTATTTCTCAACACCGATAGGATCTATATTAAAAACACATTTTCTACAATACAGCGCAGAGTTCTTACCGGTCCTCTCTTTTGTGCTCAAAACTATGAAGGAATATGACCATCTTTGGTTGCCAGGGTTAGATCCTTGTTACCCTCACATTGCATTTGGAAAAATACAGTATCATGAGCCACAGTAAAACAAGTATGTTTCGTCAAGCTCCCCTTTGACGACATTAGTAGCCTATTTATGAGCATTAGAAAAAGGTTCACTATATATCTATAGTCAGCGCACTCACTATGGCATCTTTGAATTCCATGACAATTGCTTCCTCCTCCTTACCGCGGTCCCCTTCCATGGTGCTATATATATTAGGGACTACCTAGGTAGGTAGGACTTCTTCAGCTTACCACCTTCATGATACATATGTGTTGGTGGATTTGAACGAGAGATATCACCGAATAGGTAGAGGCAAAAACCTTTCCTTGAAAACGATCTCTGTCGGCTTAACATTGTCGAATTTCATAGTTTTGGAAGTGGTTTACAAGAGGAAATTGTGGGGGCGTTAAATTGCGGTCGTCGCCTTGGCAAGGGTCCAGCAATACATCAATCCTTGTCTTCACAATTTCCTACACAATTGGGACTTTTGCCCGATCTACAAAGTATTCATATATATTTAGACAATATGACCGCAAAATAGGGAACACCCCTTATACGGGCCTATAATCATTCCCGTCTCCATAGCATAGCTGAGCAGGGCCTCTTCGAATTGGCCCAGAACCAAGAATCAGGAGGGTCACCTGTGTCCGCTGTACATTGTTCGCCGGTCGAGCGCAGCCACTCCGGTTCCATTCTTGAGGGTACCTAATATAAATACGCGGCAGCGGATTTGATGTAGTCAACTGAGACGGTGATGTTATACCAAAGTCCGGGGGAAATGGTGCTGTCTGGGTAGTTCCATACGACATGTATGATAGATGGGATGGGTGATAACACAAGAGAACAGGCAGGTACATGCGACATTTATTCCCAGAGAATAGAGATGCCGATATGTGTCAGTATTACAATTAAATAATTTTGATTTGTTCATATGAATTCATTGGTTTTTACTCCGTAGGTACATGGGAACTGTGACAAGTGCCATGTCAAGTATCAAGATGTCAAGACGACCAGTTCAAATATTGGCATACAATGTGCCATCCCGTAACTCGTGAACACTGCTGTTTCCACTGTTTGGAGACCCGACCTCAGTGTAGCGAGTGCCATCCCGGAGCTCATGGATAGTGACTCTTCGATTGCTCTTGCGCTTGCGCTGGGAGCCACGCTTGGAATCTGGACTTCCTGACTCGCTCGGCACCTGACTGCTTGGTGTCATATCGCGCTCCTCGCTGTCTCTCTCGATAGCTGCCTGGAGCATATGGTCTGCAACTCTATCCGAGCCAACTTCAACGTACCATCGACGCAAGCCAGACGCGTAGGCACGTTCCTGCGAGTCATATTCAACAGGGGGTCCGTTCGTTTCGGCATCAGGACCCGAACCGTCAAATACTGCCCATGCGCTGGAATCTACACTGACAAGCATCACGGTGTGATCGAGGCTCCGAACCTTGAAGTCGCGTAAGAGTACGGCGTTACCTTCTGCCAATGACGGCATCGAGGCCTTGTAGCGCCGGAAAATCTGAGCACGAAGAGTCGTGCCGGCCATGGAGGGATCGGTAAGTTGGATAGTCATGAACCAGTCTTTCGAACCGGATTTGGCTCGGCTAATCGGCGAAGCCTCGTGCACGATCGAGATGGTATCGACTAAAGCATTGTAATGATCAATGAGTGTAGCAAGCGGGGCGAAGTAGGAAAGCTTGCTACGTAGTCCAGAAGCATTACGGTCAGGGATCGAGGGCCGTGAAACGGGAGCTGTCGGTGTTTTTGGAGATTCGGTGCTAATCACAACCTCCAGAGAGCGCCTAGGTTCGGGCGTCGCTGGGGGTTCCGCGGCTTCAGCGAGTTCCGAAGTAGGCATGGCACCATCATGTCCATCAACGTGGGGCTCTTGCCGGGTGCTTTTTGCGGGGTCGGCCCTGAGACCATCGCCTTGGTCGGGCTGCGAAGTTTTATCCAGACTAGTAGGAGCTTCATTTTCTTCGATTGTGGATGAAGTGTCGGGTTCAAGATCATGGGCTGGTTCACGCGTGGATGCATTTTCCTGGGTGGGCTCTGGAGTTAAGAGTTGTCGCTCAGATGGAGGCCTAATAGGCGCCGAGACTCGACCGCCGAGGGGCTCAGGTCCTTCGACTGTCGGCTCATCCCTCAACAGAAAATCGGCCATGTTTCCAGCAGATGAAGGAATATGCAAATCAGATTGTCCGTCCCCAGTGAGATAATGCCCAGCAGGACTTTTGACTACTGAGGGTGGATCTTGATGATGAGATTTAGGCATATCAAGCAAATTTGGATCAGTATTGCCTGATTGCCCATCGTCAGAGACACGGTCAACCGGCACTTCTGTCTCTGCTCCAAGTTCGGCTGCAGCATAAAATTCATCGTTGTCAGCTTCTTCGATGAGCTCCGCATCTTCCATTTCTTTATCTTCGTCTTGCGCAGGTTTGGGTGATCCCACTTCAGATGAATGGTCCGTTTCGTAGTGGCCTTGGGACGACTCATCATCGTCCATGTAGCTCTCGTGAACTCGGTCATCTTCTTGATTGTTTTCGCGCTCTTCACTTTTCTCCGCTCCAAGCTTGGTCACATCATGATTTTCATCGGTGTCAGCTTCTTCGATGAGCTCCGCATCTTCCATTTCTTCATCTTCGTCTTGCTCAGGTTTGGGTGATGCTACTTCGGATGGATGGTCTGTATCATAGTGGTCTTGGGTGGATTCGTCATCATCCATGTCACTCTCGTGAACTCGATCATCCTGCTGATTGTATTCACGCTGTTCTCCCTCTTCGCTCTCTTCGCTTTCCTCACTCTCTTCGCGCTCATCAATATCGGAACCTTCTTCCACAGCCCCGTGATAGCCACCATCTCCACCGACATACCACGGCTCTGGATATTCCTGTACACCTGTTGCAAAATCGGCTGCAGCTGGAGAGACAGCTGGATGTCCGGATTCAAAGCAGTGCGAAAGATCCTCTCGTTCTGTTGACTGGGAAGCTGGGGCGACCGGATAATTGGAAGCAGGTTCATCATCACTGTCGCTGTCGAGCACGATCACTTCATGGTTTCCCGTCTGCGGAGGTAGGTTCTGTTCCTGCTCAGAAGTTTCATCTCTGGATCCAATGACACTGAAGTCATCTTTGGCCAATCGCGGATCACAAGGGAAATGGTCGTCCTCTTCACATTCATCTTGTGAATCATAATTTTCCACTGACTCCGCATAGTACACTTCTTGATCCTTGACCATTTCGTCATTTTCTTCACCATATCCTTGACTGGGGGAACTATCGATATCATCTTCCATTTCTTTTTCCTCTTCCCTGTCTCTCTTCCTTTCGACTTCCTCATCCCGAGCGGTTATCATTCTTTCGAGGGCATTGATCGCATCCTGATCAAAGGCGGAGGTTGGTTCGGGATAGTTGACCGACTGAGGCTCTCGCTCAGAATCTTCCTCATGAGATCTATCCGGGGTTTGAGGAGATCCCACGTTGTTGCTGGCAGTTTCGATGGCAAGATCAGCTTGACCAAGATCTGAGCCATCCACCTCTTGCGAGGATTCGAGTAGTTCATCTTCCGCGCGCTCCTCGGGGCGTGAAGATGCTGCTGAATCATCGCGCCATAGGTAACTGAGATCAATGATCCGTTCGTCATCTGTAGTATCTGATTTTTGAGCTTCGTCGGTGGCATCTTCGGTACCAGCATCAACTTGAGCGGCGGCGGATTCATCGACGATATCAGGAGACTCATCCAATTCACCTTCCGGGGCCGAAATTGACGCTGGATGGTCGCGGGATAGGTTAGGATCAACGAAGGCATGCCCATGTTCCGCTTCATTTGACATTTGAGCTTCGTCGCCGGTGGAATTTACAGCTACGTCAGCTTCAACTACATGTGATTCCACAATAGATTCAGAGGAGTCGAGTATTTCAACTTGATCTTTTCCCGGTAAACCTTCCGAGCCCGGAGGTGATGCTGAATCATCGCGAAAGGCAAAACCGGCATCGAAGACATGTTCCTGCTGGATGGTTTCAACATCTGGATAAGTTGGTTCCGCTATCTCTGCGTGAATGGGATCGATGGCATTGGTATCCCGGACGTCGGTGGAGGATGCTGCGGGTATTGCTAGGGTGTCCATTTCGGTAGGAACAGATCGAATCTCTTGCGACTGGGTGGGTGTGGTCCATGGCAGGAAATAGCTAGTCGAGTCACCATGACTAGATATAAGGGGCGATGGGATCGGGAGCCCCGGAGAAGGAATGGGTCGGATCTGCGGTGTATCCGTTGGTAGATGAAAAGAGGTTTCAAGATTATCAACTTGTTCACGAGACAAAACATTCGACTCGTCGGCATGTCTTTCAAGGATACTCCCGGAAAATTCCAGTGAGGGCTTCGCAAACACTGGAACAGGCTCTTGTGGCACATCCTCTGTGTATGTTGGAGCTTGGGCGGCATCCATCGTTGGGTCATGGGAAGGCTCACTCGCCAAATCTGCCTCGTCGAGCTCTTGATCGATAGATTGATTCAAAGCCTGTTCCCAATCCATGGGGGCTTCTTGTTCAGGGGGGCTTTCTGGTTCATTGATGACGCGCCAGTCTTCCCTGTGCAAGCTGTATCTCGGCTTTTTCCTTCCTTTCCCTGGAACAAATCCATCTTCCTCCGTAAAAGGATCGAAATCGGAACGGATTGTTCCTCCGAATGAAGTTCGAGTAGACTTGAGGAATATCGGTGATCCCCAGGGGCGTGCACTAGAAGGCAGGTCGAGTTCGGGATTGATTGATTTCCCACTAGGAGTTGCAGGTGGTGCTATTTCGGTTTCGTGTGGTGCTGCTACTTGCGGCTCCACCGATATTGTCAATGGGGGCTGGGAAGATTGATAGATCTAGATGGCCAGGAGTAAGTCTCTGTATGACACAAGTCGAGTTTAAGAGCAACATACCTCGAGAGACACGCCATTCTCAAAGTGCGCATCCCACGCGACAGACCTTCCCGGGGTTTTCTGGACGCTTTCATTGCTGACAAACTTGGCGTCTTTCAGGGCTAGACAAACGGTATCCCCAATTCCGACATGGGATTCTGCGACTTTTTCTGCGACGCGTCCATGAAACGTGACCTTGATTTGTCCTTTCGCGCCCCTCAGGCGGAAATCCGGCTCCGCTAACAGGAGACTCACAGACTTGGTCGAAGACGAGTAAGGCCACACAAGTGCTACAGTTGCAAGGAAAGACTTCTCAGCCAATTTCTCAAGGTCGGGAGAAAGCTGAGCTATCGGAACCCTGGTCAAATGCGCCAGCGCATTCGGCGCGGGAGACTGCTCAATCGCATTCATTGCGCCGGTTTTCCCACGCCCGACAAGTATTTTGTCAAACTGTCCACATGTCAAACAGTAAGAATAGTTGAGATAAAATGAAGAGGTAAAAAAATGCGACTAAAGAAGACCGAGGGCTGAAAGGAAATGCAAAGGAATAATTCATGCAACAAAGAGGTGGAGCTCTGTTGGGTAATGGTTGGGTAATGGTACAGTAAGAACAGGAGGCGAAGGGCGTAATTAACGTATTGTGAAACTGAAAATTACCCCTTTCATTGGATTGTCCATGTCCAATGAAACTTGCTGATTGGTCGATTTCGTTGTAGAGAGATGTCTACTCCGTGCTGCTTTCGAATGTGAGTAGATTAAAATATCCTTATATTACACATATGAATATTCAACATGTCTTCATGGCTCCTGGGCTACAAGATACCAGCTAGCTATAGAACGCAGCTCCACTATGGCGAAAGCGCTAGGCATCTTCCGAGGGCACTTCCGTCTCCCAACCCAACTCTCATTTCTACCCACACAGAATACCCTTAACTCTGAAGACCGCCGGAAGCATGCCAATCACAAATCCTATTCGTCGAGTAGCTGTCATCGGTGCAGGGCCCTCTGGACTTGCTGCAGTCAAGTAAGCGGGGTTGTTACTACTCATCCGCAACATGGCATGATGCTAACCGACTCAGATATCTACTCGCCGAGAAATGTTTCGATGAAATTAAGGTATTCGAGCAAAGAAACTCCGTGGGAGGAGTCTGGAATTACACTCCAAGTTCCTCTAAAAAGGGGATGTCAATACCTGTCCCACATTTAACCCCTCATGAGCCAGTCGAGAAGCCGATATGGATCGATCATACTGAGGGGCGTGAGGCAACATTCGTGTCTCCGCTATACGATAGACTGGAAACCAACATCCCCAAAGAGTTAATGCGTTATTCGGATCAGGCTTTCCCATCGGAATCCCAGCTCTTTCCTAAACACTGGACAGTGAAGCAATACCTCGAGAAATATGCCGAAGATATCAAAGGCCTCATTCAATTTGAGACACAAGTCTTAGAAGTGAAACTCCAGGATGAGACCCTAAGCACCTGGAGTCTAACAACAAAGAGTCTTCCAACTGGCATCGACACAACCCATACCTATGATGCTGTGGTGGTTGCAAGTGGCCATTTCACGGTCCCTTATATACCTGATATCTCAGGAATTCAAGCATGGGATGCGTCACACCCCGGTGTGATATCTCATTCCAAGTTTTATAACTCTCCAGAACCTTTCCAAGGAAAGAAGGTGGTTGTGGTAGGAAGTTCTGCCTCGGGGCTTGACATTGGTGCCCAGATCAATGAAGTAAGCCAAGGCAAACTTTTGGTCTCCCAACAATCTGAATCATACTTGGCTGCACCCCCAAATGGCGATACAATCATCTGCCCGGAGATAGTCGAGTTTCTTCCTCCGACAGCCTATGAGAGAGGTGTAAAATTTGCGGATGGTCACATTGAAGAACACATTGACGCCATCGTTTTCTGCACCGGCTATTTCTATTCATATCCTTTCCTGTCTTCACTCAACCCACCGGCTGTGACCCATGGCTGGCGAACAATGAATGTCTACCAGCAGTTATTCTACATAGACCACCCCACTCTGGTCTTCCCCGTGCTTTCGCAGCGGGTTATTCCATTCCCCATGGCTGAGAACCACGCTGCTCTCTTCTCTCGTGTGTGGTCCGCGCGGCTTACACTTCCACCAAAAGATGAGATGAAAGCATGGGAGGATTCTGAAATTGACGCTAAAGGAGATGGAAAGAAGTTCCACCTGCTTCCGTTTCCCATGGATGCTGACTACCTCAATTTCCTCTACGACTGGGCGGAAAAGGCCGAGCCACGAGCTGGGCTATCTAACAACGGACAAGGCAAACTTGGTACTTGGTGGGGCGAGGAGGAAAGATGGATGCGGGCCAATTTCCCAGACATCAGGCGCGCTTTTGTAAAGCGAGGCGACGAGCGGAGCGAGATCAAGAATCTAGCAGAGCTTGGTTTCAGCTTTGAAGAGTGGAAGAAGCAACAAGATGAAAACTGATTATTATGGCACAAGGTCATTTCTCAACCAGTACCTACAGCGTTAACGGTGATTCAAATCCATTAGAAATACAACAATTTTGCATCTTTGAATTTTTATAGACACATAAGCTTATAACAATTTGACCAACATGTCATGTTAATATTCTCAAACATTGTAGATCTACAGCCGATAAGCGTTATCACGTGAAGCGGGCTCACTATCCGTCCGTCCGTCGCGCCGTGCGTTTACCCTCTTTCATATACCTTCGCATTGTTTGGGAAAGTGTTAGATGTTTCCCAGAATTGAAAATTGTATGTGTCTTGGATCAATGCAGCTCGTAGGAGCTTAACTTGAGTATTGACCCTACACTCTCATTTCACCCCCGTCATGTTATCCAACATCTCCCCGACACCAATCGCCCGCACATGTTGTTTCGGGAGCAGCCTCACCCGCCGAATCTCGATAGTCACCACAGAAAGAATACTGACCGGCTTCCAGCTGCAATTGTGGTTATTAGCGATAGCAGTGAAAGCAGTGACGGTAGTGACTCGGACGACCAGGAGTGGCCTATAAAGTGTATCCTGCGTGAAACAGACACCGAATATCTTATTGATTGGGAGGGTCCTTACGATCCAACTTGGGTGAGTTTTCGTGCCATGTCTAGACATAGAAGGCATCAAGGAAATACTTGCTGAGCCTGGACTAACAATGCGCTTGCCTTCCTTGTTTAGGAACCCAAAGAGAACGCGAGTGAGCTTGCTATACAGGTCTGGAACAAGCGGAAAGCTCGGCGATCAAACGAGCTAGATTGGAGATCTACGCGCGAGAGGGTTACTCAATCACCCAGTATCATCGAGGTCTCTTCCTCATCCTCAGAAGCAAACATAGGCCTAGAGGACCGCTACAGCACATCCTTCGACGACGAGAGCGACGCTCACTCCGATAATCGTCCAAGAGCTTCCTCATCGTTATTTGTGCGACAAGAGGGCCTTTCAGAGATAATAGACTCTCTTCAGTCTCAGTACATTAAAGCCTCGGGCTGCTTTTACGGGACCGCCTCTCCATCCCAATCTCTCTCTGACTGTTCCCCGCCCCTAGCTGCTCTATCCACAAGCACTCGCTCTCAGCCGGACGCCACGCTTTTTGAATATATCCCCGAGTCATCTATTCCACCCGAAGACCTGCAACCAGGTGAGTGGGACGACGTCAATACGCAGCAGCCCGATCCGACTTGTGACTTAAAGGGCGATTCGGTTGATAGCTGCTCATCATATCGACAGTACTCTGGGGAAATCAACAACGCGTTTGAATTCTCGTATCCGAACACACCGGGTCTTGGACTGAGCTCCAAGGTCTCCGAAATAGCTGAGACGCCTGCTCAGCCACCAGGTTCAGGAGCTGATTCCTTGTGCCTCGGCTCTTTTCCTCTTGACAATACTCTATCTCACAACAATTTGACTTCTCAACATCTTCTCTTGTGTGGCCCCATCGCCAGAGGTAGTGTCACACGCAACGTCAAGTTTTACATTGTGCTCACATCTCCACAGACTGCGAGTTCGCCCAGTCAACCTATCTGAGCTCAATTCCAGAGACTGTTTTTCATCACCTGTCACAGCACCCAGAAAGCCTCGGCTCTGAAGGTTCCACTCGACCAGTGCTATCATTTTCTAATATTGTGGAACAAGAACGATCTACCGAAATCATGGAAGACAAAGAGCCCAAGCTATCAGATCATTCTCTCTCCGATGCCACTGTGGACCGATACAGTCAATTGCCAGGGTCCACTCCGACAGAGAAGATGCAGAATGCCTGGGCCCAACTCAGCCAAGAGAATCAATCTGATCTATCGCGACCAGCTAACGCCGTTGAAACTCCGTCTTCTGTAGGGGATATTGAAGCTTCGATCCCTTTGTCTGTCCCCGACACAACTGCACCGCTTAGTGTTAGACCTGACACAGATTCATTTTCCCATTCACACACTGCAGTCCACCACGGCCATTCTGAACCTTTACTACCCCCATCAGAACTAGCTCACGGAGGCCATTTGAGCCAACCTTCACTCCAAACTATTCACCCCAGCGCGTTAACCGTCACAGGCATGGATGATGAGGTTGCGCCCGGATCAGTCCACCTTGGGCCATCTGAGTTTGCCGTCACCCTTCCGATGGATTCTCGTGTGAAAGATGACTACGAGCGAGTGCTATCAGATGCAGCTACAAGCATACGCCAATTTTTCGACAGCTTTCAGTCGAATACTCAGATTTCAGAGCCTGAGGTAAGTCGAAAGTCTTTCGTGAATATAATTCGTATTACTTACATCGTATACACAGCGAGAGGTTTTACATTCACATATGCGGGAGGTCATCCGGCGATTGAGTAATGTTTCAACTCATCCAGACCTGAACATCTCCGACCATTTGAAAGACGCCGATCCCGACCTTGCGAAAGAGGCATCCTGGGCCGAATACTCTAGTGCAAAGTTTCTGCTACTTGGTCACCTCATGGAGATTGTAGGTACAAACGAGCTCCATCTGATTCTTGCTGTTCAAGACGAGAAAAAACAGGCAGTTGTTGAGCGTTATCTCCAAGGGAAGGGTTTTACATACACCCGACCCCGTGGAGAGATGGGCAGCACCTTGGAGGTTTCCCTAGCCAAGGGGTCGCTCAGCTTTGGAATTCATTCCAGTGAGACCGCCCGTGAGCTCTACAAGCCGCCATCTGCTATTTTCGCGTTGGATTCGTATTTCAGACCCAAAAGCCCGTCCATGCAGCACCTACGAACGACCTATGCCCGAAACGGGAACTTGCTTCCTGTTATCTGGTTTCTTGTCGCCAACACAAGTGAGCATATCGAACGTTGCTTGCCTGACTCACCGGAGCCTGATCGATTACGGTTACTTGTGCACTACATTGCCCGTCTCCATGACGAGGTCGGTGATCTTCAAGATGATGCCCTCGGCGTACATGAAGATGCCGAAGAGATTCTTGGATACCTCTTGGATAGTGTTGCTGGCTGGCCATTGCCTACCATTGAACCTTTGAATCTTGTATCCCTTGAAGAGTTGGAGTGCTACAGCCCTTCATCCGACGACGCGATGCCGCCAGCCCAGAAACGCACACTGGTAAGTATCCCGCATGTTGATGCATCTGGATTCAACTAACACTTCGGGGCAGGATGAGGAACCAGAGGAACACTCCTCGAAGCGCGCACGGGTCGGTACCCAAGAGAACAGCCAGCTCACCGAGTCAACTAAGCCTCCCAGTCAAACTTTGGACCGCGATTTACAGTCACTAGAGAAGAACCTCATCCAGATGAAACACATTTATGCAAGTGAAAAGGCCCAGTTGCAGGCTGAGCTTGCTGAGGCAAATTCTCGATTCCAAGAAATGGAGAAGGCACTGGGTGTTCTGCAACACCGTTACGAGAGTCGGACAAATGAACTCCATGCAACTCGCCAAGAGCGCGATCGCGTGACTGAAACCAAGCCGTCACTGGAACAGCGCGTTGAGAAACAAAAAGAGACTATCTCTAGTTTAAAAGAAGAACGCGCAGAGCTAAAGCGCGAGCTCGATGAAGCCAGACAAGCACTTAAAAATGGCGGTGGCAGTTCCGCTGAACTGGAGACCGCACGCGAGGAAATCCGCCGCCTGGCCAAAGAAAATTCGAACCTTGAACGCAAGGCTGAGTTCGAGAAAAACCAATCCGAGTACACCCGAGAGCAATATCAAACTGCGTCTACGGCAGCCGCTCAGTCTGGCACAGAGAATCGTCATTTGTCTGCTGAGAATGAGAAACTAAAGCGCAAGGCCGAAAGCAATGCCGTCCAACTTCGCGAGCTGCACATGAAGGACGAGTCGGCTCGTCATCTAGCTCGAATTGAAGAGCTAGAATTAACTCTCGCTACGCGCGATGAATTCCTACGCAGGAAGGAAGATGAGCTTCGTGAAATCCGGAAGAATCGTCCATCAACTCGCTCGACTAGCACTCAGCCACGAAGCCCCAAATGGGCCAGCAGCCGTCCGACCAGCCCCGGGATTGGTCATAATGGTAACGGTAATGGCGGTCTTGGTGGTAGGGGCAGTGCCCTACGATACAGCTCAGAGATGCCTTTCTGAGACAATTACTCAACCTTCGCCATGCTTCCCCACGTCTTCATACCATTCGTCGTGTTCTTGTCGCGTTTTTGTCACACCAGCCAATCTATGACGTCTACACACGATACATAGATAGGACATATCCTCTTTGCGAAGCATTTCACAATCACATTAGCTAGATCTTGATTCCTTTCATCCGCTCATTACGACATTGCATATTCCAGGCGTTTCATTCATTGCGACTGTCCCGTTTACCCACGAGCGATTTTCCTTTCCGAAGAATAAAGCGGGTCTCGGGTGCAACAGTATCTGAGTCTTGTGTCATCATCAAAAACCTGCTGCTGCTTCATTCGATTTTCGTGGTAGTTCTTTTCGCCCCAGCTCCAATGACAGATATTTTAGTGTTTTTGTTCGATTTCTAGGCAGCAAGTCTTCCCAGCCTGTCATGGCTACAAGCCGTTCACAGTGTTGGATTTGTTCTAGTCATTCAATCAATGCTTTTCAAAATACAAACAACGCTTCCAAATATAAAAAGATCAATCTGGATTTCGTATTCGGTAATTAAATTATAACCCAAATGTAGCACAGGACCACAAATTATGGATTATGTATACACTGAAATAATAAAACAGGAGAGGAAAGAAAGAACATGGTCCTGGACAGCAGCATACAAGATGGACAGATGAGTAGAAGAGAAAAGGGTCGATGTCCAAATCTCCTGGAAATAGACATGTCAAAATGCAATACGTTCAAGCCGAAGCCATTGAGTTAGCAATGAATCTAGCCAGCTCCTTGGCCTTCTGACCACGAGTCATAGTGAAATGATTGGCATCCTCCATAACGGTGATGCCGCCAACATGCTTTGGTCCGACAAGGGTATCCCAGCCATTCGGACCGAGATCAGTGCGGTTGTTCAACAACCAGAGCATCTCACGAGGATCGGCGCTACCATCCGCAGCTGGTGCAGGGCGGGCATCACCTGGCTTGGAGCAGACACCATCCTTGGCCCAGACCATAAAGGTCTTGGGGAGCTTGTCGGCGTGCTTGGGGTCTTCGTAAGGGAAAGGAACAGCCTTGTAAGCGTCCAAGGAGTCGATGAAGGCCAGGAAATGAGGTAGGAGCCATTTAGGTGGAGGAGCTTTGCCCTCACCAAACAGTCCGATCGTGTCGAAGAAGCTGTAAAGACGGGGAGGTAGCTTCTCCAGTCCAATGGGGAAGGGCGAGTCCAGGAGGAGGAGACGCTCAACTCGCTCGCCTTCCTCGAAAATCAATTTGCGCGCGGCGTCGTAGGCACAGATACCACCGGCGGACCAGCCACCGAAGTTGTAAGGACCAGTGGGCTGGCGGCGCCGGATCTCAGCAACGTAAGGAGCTGTGAGCTCGTCCAGGCTGAACTTGAGGTTCTCGGGAGTACGCATGTATGGGCAGTTCAGTCCATAGACGCACACATCGGGAGAAATTCCAGGGATGGTAGCATAGGAGGTAGCAGAGCCGGAGCCATCAGGGAACAAAAACAAACTCTGAGTCGCGGTCTTTGGGTTTCCTTGCAGGAGGATCGAAGTGGCCGGTGGGTGCTGGGTGGCAGTGCTGTGAGCGACCACCGGGGCTTCAACAGGGATTTGTTCGGGGAGTCTGATTGGCTCAGCGGGAGCGAGCTTGGGCTTCAGGTCCAGAGTAGTCTCGATATCATCGAGTGTTTGGTTCTCAATGAAGAACTCTCCCGGGAGATCAAGATCGAGGTCTTCACGGATCTTACCGAGAACTGTGAGCGACATCAATGAGTCCAGACCCATTTCACCAAGGTTCGCATCGCCAAGGAGCTCCTCAGAATCAACACCGATTTCCTCGGCCAAGATCGAGGCAATCTGCCTCATGCTGTCATTTTGCCCCTGCAATCCGTGTGTCATCGACTTCTCATTTGCAGGGGTTGGCAGGCCACTGGTGTTTGGAGACGATAGGTCGGTTGAAGATGCAGCTGAGGACATGTCACCTTCGCTGCTTGACCCATCACTGCTTTCACCAGGGCCCATTTGAGCTAGGAGATGCTTAAAGTCTTTGACAGTTGGACTATCGACGAAGACAGTGGAGTCAAGGTCAAGTCCCATATCCTCGCGGTATCGCCCAGTGACAGTAAGCGAGAGCAGAGAGTCAACTCCGTAATCAGCGAAGTTAAGATCGTCAGTCATCTCAGATGCCGCAAGTCCAACCTCTTCAGCGAGGATTGCAAGAGCACGCGTAGCCATACTAGGCAATCCAGACTTTGGCGAAGGGGAAGCCTTTTTGGTAACACTAGGCTTTGCCTTCTGGACATTGATGGGAGCAGGAACACGCTTGGCGGCCGGCTTTGGTGCCGAGGCTCCACCGGGAGGAAGAGCCATGTCGAGGATCTTGCGTGCGAGACCTTGGAACTATATTGCATTTTGTTAGTGTTCTATTCGAGAATAGTGGGACGGTTGTTCAACATACCTTAACACCACCATACACAGCAACGACGTCGTCTCCGTCAAACATATAGACATCACCAGCCCAGATAGAGTCTTTCCAGGGCTGCATCCTGACATAGGTGCGGTATGTCACGCTAGGGTCGAACTTTTTCAAGCACCTCATCGAGTCCCATCCATGATTGACGAACACTTGGTTCTTCGAATCTGTATTATCACTAGCATTCATAATGAAGCCAGACAAGTGACCAATGCTGTCAATCCAGAATGGATTGCGATGGAAGTTGCCCGGCGGGGCCTCGAACTTGACCACAGCAGTAGCCTCGTGTTGCTCACTGTCAAGGATAACTTCACGCATAGATTTGTAGTTATCGTCATAGTCGACTAGAGAAGCAAAGAGCTTGTAGACCATTCCTCGCTTCATGCGATGAGCCTGGCCGGATATCGTGCTCTCTTGGAGATGTTCAATGCTTCGCTTGATGAGGTAAGAGCTGCGCTTCCACTCGAGCTCGTAAGGACTGGGATCAAAGAACTTGATGTTGCAGCTGGCATGGTCAAGAATCTTCTTTCCCTCTGGGGTCACTGACCACACCTGCACCTTGGCACTTTCTTCGGCCCAGTTTGCAGTGGCTGAGACGCGGAAAAGTTGCTTGCCTCCCTTCGCAATAAGTGGCTTAGGGACCATCATGTTGCAAATATCAAAGCCGCGATCTTTCCACTCGGGCTTGTAGTTCTGAACCAGATATTCACCGAGTGTTTGTGCAATATCGGCGTACAAGGACTAGATTCCGATTAGCAAAAAGAATATTTAAGTAAGAACTTGAGGGATATGCATACCGATGGAGTAAGACAGGCACCGTTCACTTTGTGGCCTGCGATGACACGATTGAGCTCGGGATCGGCAATGTCATTCTCAATGACGATAGATGCTGACGAATTATCACCACTCGTCTCCAGAACTCTCTGGGCTGCTGATGACAGGAACACCGCGACTGGTGCAGCCTCGGCCACTGGTACCGCCGGTGCACCCTTGAGCAGACAGAAGTTGTTCGTGTAAGGGATCCAGTAGTTCTTGAGATCCCACTTGTAGGAAGGAAGTGGGAGAACTTTGTGTCCGGCAGTAAAATCCTGGTGATACTCCTTCCATCGAAGCTCAATTCCAGCCATATATAGAGCCGAAACACTGGCAGAGAGAACCTTCCATGTGTCTTCCTGGCGACGGAGAGATGCCACAGTAGTTGCCTGAGGACCGAAGGTTGCCTTGACCATTCCGGAGCAGACGGGGTGAGAGCCAATCTCAATCCAGATTGTCTTATCGTTCATCAAGTTGGAGTGTCGGGTAGCTTCCAGAGCCCCCAAGAAATTGACAGTCTCCCGGCAGTGACGGGTGAGGTAGTTGGGACCAAGCAACTCGCTGTTGCTCTCGTTGATGACATCTCCAAGAAGGGCAGATACGAATGGAATAGAGGGTGCATTGAAATTGACGCCCTTGCCAATCTCAGAAAGGCTCTCGAGAATAGGTTCAACTTGAGCCGAATGGAAAGCAAATGGTACATTCAGCTTGGTAGCCTTGAAACCTTCGTTAGTAAGAGTTTGTGCAAGCTCATCAATTTTCTCGCGGGCGCCACTGATAACAGTCTCGCTGGGCGCATTGATACAGGCCACCTCGGTAGCATCATCAAGGAACTGCTTGACCTGTGCTACTGACGACTTGACAGCAAGCATAGCGTGCGTTCCGACCTTGATTTGCTCGGTGAGGAGTTGGGCTCGGCGCCCGGCAAGGTAGATGGTGTCACTTGTTGTCAAGACACCGGAAGCATTTAGCGCAGCAAACTCGCCGAGGCTATGTCCGATGACAAAGGCAGGGGAAATACCCAAAGACATCCAGTACTTGGTTAATGCCATCTGCACACAAGTGGTTCCTAGCTGGGTAACGACGGGGCTATGCTCTTCAATTGGCACACTTCCATCGACCAGGGACAAAATGGATGGGAAGCCCTGACTCTGACCAATACAATTCAAGTGTTCGATGTGGGCGCGGAATTGGGAGCAACTCTCAAACAACTGGCGTCCCATGCCTGTGTACTGAGCACCCTGTCCGGTAAAGACAAAGCCGATGCCAGGTGCATTGGCAGGGGCCGGGCTGATGCTGTCTCGGTTGACAATAGGGGCCAATCCACTCCTCACTTCATCCAGAGTCGATCCAGTGACAGCAACTCTGAAGGGATGGTGAATGCGCCTCGCCGTAGTTGTGTAAGACAGATTGGCAAGAAGGCTAGCCTCGTTGGAATTGAACAAGTTCTTGTTTTTGTCGATGTACTGCACGAGAGCGGATATGTTGTTCTTCAGCGCAGACTGAGACCGAGCGGAGACAAGCACAGGGTGGGCAGACCGGGGGTCTTCCACATTCTCCTCATCGAGAGGACCGTCCTCGACCATCAGAGCAGTATTGCCACCGGCGGCCGAGAAATTGTTGACGAAAGTCTTTCGTTTGCCGCCATTTGGCCTGTTCCATGGGGTAGGCTCAGAAGCAATGTGAACGTTGCGCTGGGGGAAGTCTGTTGGGAAGTTGTGGTTGATCTTGGTCTTAATGCCACAGTGAGGCGGGATCATGTTCTTCTGCATCATCATCAAGACCTTTATCAGAGCTGTGACGCCAGATGCAGACTCTCCGTGGCCAACGTTTGACTTTGCTGAACCGAGGTGAAGGGATTGAGCGGGCCCGCGACGGTAGTCAGGAGCGAAGACGTCGAGAACAGACTGCATCTCCACTGCATCACCTGCCTGGGTGCCTGTTCCATGCATCTCGATATAGCTGATCTCCTTTGGATCGCTGTTGGATTCGTTGAGAAGCTTGTCAAAGATGAAGGACTGTGCTCCCACATGCGGCCGAGTAATTGACACAGCCTCCGCTGAGTGGTTGGTGTAAGCTCCTCCAATGATGCCGTAGATCGGATCGTTATCTGCCTGGGCATCTTCGAGTCTCTTGATGACAATGGAGCCAATTCCATCTGCTCTGCAATAGCCATCAGCCCCATCGTCAAAGGTGGTACAGTTTCCGGTCCTTGAGAGGAAGTGCCCACGGTCGAGACCAGCATGATTGTCAGGGTTTGTCAGGATATTGACGCCACCAGCCACGGCAGAATCACATTCATTCCTCCACAAGGAATTACAGGCGACATGAATTGCCGCAAGACTTGAGGAGCACGCTGTGTCTACGCTAACACTAGGGCCGCTAAACTTGAAGTAGTAGTTGATGCGACCAGGAGTAAAAGCGCGGTTACCACCGGGGATGAAGTAGGTGTCAATGTCCTGGCCACTGTTGACCTCACGATAGTCATCACTGGTCATTCCATAGAAAACACCCACGCGGTTCTTCTGCGTAGAGGGAGTACTATCAGGGATGAACCCTGCCATTTCCAAAGCCTCATAAGCAGTAAGAAGTGCCAAACGCTGAGCAGGGTCTGCTTGAAGCGCTTCGCGGGGAGACATATTGAAGAATCGAGGATCAAACATCCCCGCGTCGTTATACCAGCATCCATATTGAACTTGGCTGGTGTTTCTTATCTTTCCATCCTTGTCGACGTGAGCCTTAACATCCCATCGCTCTGGGGGGACCTCGCGGTGAACGTCCAGTCCTTTTTTCAAAAGATCCCAGAATGCTTCAGTGTCAGGGGACTCTGGGAATCTTCCTGAAAGACCAATGATTGCAATCTTGGACTGCTCAGCACGGCCGGTCCGGTTATCTCCCTCAGAATCCTTTTGGACATCACCGATTGTGCTATCAACCTCAAGATTAGAGACTCCAGCCTTTTTCAATGAGTTGAATAGACTCTGGGTTGCAGTGCTGGAAATTGGGAACAGAGTGCATGTTGTGGCGAGTTCCAAGGTTTCCTGGCAAGATTCAATGACCTTGTCCCAGCAAAGCTGTCTTTGCAGAATCTCCTGAAGAGACAATCTCAAGAGCTGCTCAAGGCTCTCGGCTTGGAATTCCTTGCCTGTTTCACTCGAAATCACGGGGATCTGAGGCACAAAGGTCATGAACTGTTCGGTGGGCCAAGATTCCAAAATACGGTTAATATCCCTGTCATCATACAGATGCGAGGCATGATAGGGGCCGTGGATTGGAACCCGTGTGGGTTTGTGCTCCTTTGAGACACTGTCCTCAATGAAACGGCTCAGGAAAGTCGGAGGACCACTGATCGTAAGTCCGTTAGGGCTAACTGCGCTGATATATGGCTGAGAAACGCGGGGCAAAGCCTTTGAAGATATTAATGATGATCCATTTTAACTATGAGCCAATTTTCTGAGGAAGACACTTACATTCTTCTTCGCGTACTGTTGAATCAAATTCTCAGCCTCGGGCTCGTGCATGCCAGAAATTAGGACAGACCAGCTCGGTGTTGCGGATTTGCTTGGTTCTATGAGCTCTTGTACTTTCAAAACACACATTCCGAGTCTCAAGGCAAGAACCACGGTCTCAATACCAGCTGATATGAGCTCTCCGATGGTTCTCGAAGAGCTCACAGCTGCAGATGCGAGCTGACCTGTGCAAAGACCAATGATGCAGCTCTCATCAGCAGACGGATAGGCATGGCCCAAATCGCCATAGTAGCTAACAGATTTTGTCAGCAAATTTGGTTTCAAACATCGCTTCTCTACGAGAAGATCGGTAATATGCTTACTGAATGAAGCATCCCAGTTGGTGAATCGTTGTCAATGCGCTCTCTAGAGCTGGGTTCGGCCCTGACTCTTTGAACCTCGCGAGAAGATCAACGATACTAGTAAAACGGGGGAATCCCTGACGCTCGGATGGCGGAAGAGACGTAATTTCCTTGCGTAGCGCATAGTAAGACTTTTGGAAGAATGCCGCCAGCAGCGAGTCATTCTTAGCATGCAATAGGCGACGAAGACCCGAGTCGAAATCCGCAGTCTGGTCTCCGAAGAGATACACATGACTGGGGCCTTCCATAATCTCCCCGATGACAAATTAACGGGTTGAGAAATATATGGAGAAAGAAGAAAAGTTCACGTCCGGCGCAAATTGACGGATATCATACTTTATAGAGGATGTGACGGGAACATTTTCCATCTAGTGGGTCAGTGGTCGAACATTGTAATAGACTGGCTTTCAATTGTCTTGGCAGAATCTAAATAGGAAGCGGAAGCATTTGGGTCCCATATTTTTTTTCGTGAATCAGGATTCTATGGTATGGTAACCCAGCTAGAATTACGAAAAATATAATCCTGCGGCTCATTCTCCAGTATTCAGGGGAAGCCTATAGTTTGGTATTTCTGGTATTGATGTGTATATGACCGACCTAAAATGGACCAATGGTACCGTTACGGCAGTATATTCCACAATGCCTCTAAGAGTTCGGTATGTCCGTCTGAGCAGAGCGTAGGTGGAGATGGGCTGGACCGAACTGAGAGCTTCGTTCCCTGGATAATCCTATTGGATTCTGAATCATCAGCTTGAATTACTAAAGATACCGGCAAACCGATGATAATTCCCGGATGCCCGAATGCTGTTTGCGGATAAAACAGGCAATAACTCGAATAATGAAGATTTGAAATGGCATGTAAGCCGGACTACCCGTGGCAAATCTGCGATAGTGCAGTAGCATCATAGACAATACAGTCTTTGTGAACAAAAGTTACAATGAAGTTGCAATTCTGAAGTCGCTGCATTCGGAAGGTTACAGCCGCTGCATCCATGTGTCACGTGACATGACTTGCCCTACGCAGATCAGCCATCAAATAATGTATCAAGTTTCTATGGAAGGGTTTAAGGAGGCTTATTTGCCTATAATTCTAAAAGCTATATGAAGGGTATCTTAACTATATCGGAGCCCCCTTTCACAACATAAAGTCGTCAAGATGTAGAATACATGATTCGAATGCAAGAAACTGATTATCAACAATAATTGCAGATATCTTGCAAATTCAGTAAAAAATGTAGATCGTCTGAAGGCATCATCGTAGTGTTTTCCATACGTCATGACTTCAACTTTATAACATGCTTTTCTGAGACATCAAGTTTTGTTTCAGATGGTCGCAGCCTAGAAGATTGCGCTCCCATTTTTCCGGTGACATCTAGGCGATCAATAAGATATTAAAATAAAATGTGTACAATGTCTTCGATATCAGCCACTAGATCGGTAATCTGGAATGAGCCATCGATCACACACGTGGCTCTTCATCGGACGATCGCCCCATGGCGACCCAAATGTTCTCAACAATCGATCGATCGAGTGGACCCAGATCATTCATTGGCGACGGCCCGAGCTTCCGCAATAAATGACCGCAAGCGGACTGTGTTGTATGAAAAAGGAGAGAAACAATGTAAACAAATAAATCAAACCTTAGTCGAATCCTATGTAGCTATAGCCGCTATCTTTGTGTATGGCTGGATAAAAGAAAACACAAAGGTATTAGTACTAACATGACCCCAGAACACAGTCACCTACGAAGCCAGATCAACAGGCGGAGCGAGGCGCTTCCTACATTCAGCAGGCATGAGGAGACCACCCAGGGTCACCAATGATACCCACATCCTCGCAATCGAGCTCGCATCCCCAGCGTTAAACAACTTCAGACATCCCGTCTACAGCTGGGGAGTCTATATGCTTGCCTCCATGGAGTAGCATGCTGGTATGATATCAAACTGGGGACTGCGCGTTGCCCGAGCAACGTGTGGACCAGCAGTCAGTTTGCAATTGACCCTAGCTAGGAGTCTGGGGCTGGGGGCTCTCGTCCACACCATCAGGGATCCAAGGCCATACATCAATACTTTCCAATAGAGCCACGGCTATTCCATTGGCCATATGAGTATAGATATGGCAGTGGAAAGTAATGGTCTAGGACTGACAACCTAGTACCTCACCATCATCCATCTTAGTCCCTTGGGTCCATCAGTACCGAAAGTATCTCTCATTCAGGGGCTGTGCAATTGGGAGAACCCAAGGCGCCTAACGTAAGCTTCCTCGGCACTAGACAAATTGAAGATGCCAGGACCAACACCAAGAACGAAACTCTTGTTGGAGTGCTTGTGCATCATATGAGGGGCTTTGGTAACAGGGCTATTGGGCATTTTACCAAACTGGAGTAACAGATTGACCCAGGTCCCGTTCTTAATTCGGATGATAACCTGCGGCTCCAAGTGGTTCTTTGCGTTGATGTCGCAAAGAATCGGATCTCCCCAGTTAGCCATCACATTATACAAGCCACTCCCTAAAGTAACTTACCCATGTGTAAGACAAGCTCAAGTAAATGGTGGGTTTGACAAGCTGATCAGCGGTCTGGGGGATAGTGACATCAAGGTAATTCTTGATGGCCCTGTTTTCCAGGGCAACGACGGAAGCCGATGTATTTCGACTGTAACTCGCGTAGGGCAGAGACGGGTTTGTGTGCTCAGAACCCCTGCATTTCATTTTAGTGAACCCAGAAGAAGTACTTGATACCTGTAAACATATTTTCATATTTTGACAGAAAAAATGATTGAGCAGTCTGCATGCTCGCCCGGAAATGTCAAAGGTGGCCGGGGAAGTTTTGGCTTCCTACAACTTTCCATTTCGAGATGAGTTGACCCGGGCTGAAAGTCTCCCGAAAGCCTGATAAGTGGGGTTTCTGGTCAACATCCAATTCGAAGCAAGGGGTGTCGTTGGGTGGTCCGGAAACAGTAAACTGTTTTTGCGTGGCTGGAGATTCCGTGACCACCGCGAGAATGTGAAAGTCTCCAGATCCGGCAGCCTAGTGCAAAATAGCATTGATCATCCAATTTTCCAAGTTTTCAAGTCGCACAACGTATAATGTAAATAATTTAGCAGCTCAAATTGCATTCAAATTAATTCTGCCTTTGATTGGTCACTCGAAGCGATTTTATCATGGGGGAGTGTGCATGGATCGCGATATTATTAGGTCTCCAAGGAACTCACTTCTCTACAGGTTTACAGTCTGAACTGAGGATAAAATTGTTTAAGACATATTTTATTGTGGGGAGTAGCCACAGTGAAAAGGGTCAACGTAGAACTTCGGTTAGTCAACGATCACTCATCTGGAATATGTACGCAGGTAAAGAAAGGGTTCATGAAATATGCGACAAGTGATATACTAACAGTCCGGACTAAGGTCCTAAGTAAAGCTTGGGGGTGTTTGTGATACATAACCGTGCCAAGCGCCCAACACACCATGCTGGTGTTGGTGTGCCCCGGTCAATGATAATCCCCTATCAACGATACATTTTGAAAATAGGTACATTTTGTATGGCGTACTCATACAAAAGTTACACAGTATTCAAAATTCATAACATCCATCTTTATCAAGATCGAGCCTCCTAGATGATAAATGAGAGTAGTAATACAGAATATATTGAATGGCTTTGACGCCAACGTCATGTCTAATGAATTGATATAAAGCGTGAGAATCATATCAAAAAACACCACATAAAGATTTTATACAAAACTTCAACATTCTGTTAATTTGAGTATATCTTACCGATATTCATATAAAGCCTTGTCAAATCACTTTTATTTGATCCTCGGGTCGATAACGAAGATGGGGAGGCTAGGTGGTTAGTTGCCCGTTTGTGGCTCGAGGGACCCGGGGAGGTGGTATCGCTTGCCAGCCGTTTATTGGAGCTACGCAGGGAGAACTGCCGGCCACTCTTGCTCTTACCCTTCAGACCTAGGTCTTTGTGGTTCAGCAGCTGATTGGCGAGTCGCTCAATGGTCTCATCACGATTATCGACTGACGGTGAGACCTGTTGCTCTAGGAAGGGGTGGTATTGTGTAGAAATCTGCGGGAGGACCTTTGTGGTATTGTTGAATTCCATATATCTCTGAAAGATGTGGTCCATAAAGAGTATCCATGTACGCTGATCCTCGCGTTGGCCGAGGCGGTGGATCCGCCCAATGGTCTGAAAGAGTGAGTTGTGATTCAGCGCGGACTCCATGAGGATAATTCTGCTGCGCTGCGAATGCATATTGAGACCAGTTGCTCCACAGTTGTGTGAATGAGCTGGAGTCATTGAAGCGAGCAATCGCATTGGAACGGAGATTTGTAGGCATGCCGGCACGGATCACCACAAAGTCAAGCGGGAGAGTGCTGAGGAACATTTGCACAACCCACAATGTCAGAGGCCAATGGCAGAAAATGAGAAGCGTGGTTGGGAGCTGACGGAGTCGAACACACCTTGCTGGACAAGGATGTGCAGAAGATAGCGGAGTCGGGGGCTCTAGTGAGCGAGGTAGCGAGCCATTGCAACGCGATTCGTAGGGACAGAGGCTGAGGGGTCCTCAGTAGTGCGAGACCAGAAAAGCCCAAACCCATTATCGTCGCCGCGCTCGTTGAAACGAGCGACATCAGCCAAGAGAACTCTCGATGGGGACCGTCGGAGGAAGCAGTCGAGTTTGGGGGAGACCAGAGCTCCGCAAAGCCCATAAAGCCCATAGCTCAGCCCAACCCAACCCGCGAATGCTGGGCTTTGGGCCCGGGATAAAAGCCCACTAGGCTTTAATGGGGGCCCAATGGGCCCCAAACAGTACAAACATGCCGAGAATTCAGAAGTTGAACCCCCGTTTAGGGATTTTGAAGTTACCCTTCGTTTTAACCCCGTTTCTAAGCCTTATTCTAAAGGTGATATTTTATTGGTTTAAATTATTTAGAATTAATTACTGGTTATCTCTTTATATCACGTTTAAAACGCGAGAAAGCGCGTTATTTAGATAATTTATAAATTATAGAAGTTTACTTAGAAAGTAGTAGTACTCCCGTCTAGATCCTAGATATATATCGAGTATTAAAATATTAAAATAATACATTTTTCTAGTATCTCAACCTCTCTTAATCAGATTTTTTTTAAAATTTAAAATATATTATATAACTATTACTATTATAAACCCAGAATTTAAAATCTATATAACTAGTAAAAGGGTTAGAATCTAATATTGTATAGCGATTATAAGATGCCGGGTAAACCCCCCTTAATAGGCTTGGATGGGGGCCTTATGGGCCCCCACAAATGGGCTGTGGGTTGGGTTGGGCTTCGAAGGTTAGGCCCATAGCCGACTACTGGTTGGGCTTTGCGGAACGCTAGGCGAGACAGCAAGGTGACACAGCATTCGGAACGTCGCCCAATTCATGATTGCGGGATTGTCCGCCGATGCAGCCGACGGAGCATTTGCGGCTGAGGTATTACTTGGAGGGCCATAGAGGGACTCGATGAGAAGGTTAAGACGCGGTTGTGGATACCTTGGGTGAAGCGAGTGTTCCGAAGCTTTACAGTCGACACATGGAGGCGTGGAATGTCGTCTCCAATGACCACAGTGGTACCGTTGGGCCCGATTATTTGATTGCCGGCCTCACGCATCAGGCTGCTAAGGCGGAGGACAACCGGAAGCGCGAGGAACCCATTGACAGCAGACAGTTTTCCGCGACGGGCGAGAACCACCAGACCTCGGGGATCTAATAGGTAATACGGCTGTCCCTCCAAAGTAAGTTTACCATATGCCGACCACCAGATATAGGGATCCAATGGGTCGGTCATAGTAGCCGGGGAAGGATCGGTACCAGGAGGGTACTTTGCTGTACTATCTACAGGGAGTGCAAACTTCTTCTTCCATAGCAACGCAAGATAGCCGCAGTAATCTAACGCACGATTCCACATCGGTGTAACTGTGATACACCAGGTGGAATCCAGGTTCAGGAGGGCGACAGACTGGTGCTGGCGCGAGTAGATAGTCTTAAGACGGTGGCCCTCATCGCAGATTATACGGCAGAAGGATGCAGTTAGATAGGATCGGAACAAGCGGCGCTTTTGCGATTGGGACCTTTTAGTCAAGGGCGGATCAACCTCTTGTTCTTGGAGCTTGCCGATTTCAGAAACAGCTGCCTCGATAACGACGGGAGGAGGGGTCCTCGCACCGCCAGAGGTAGCTTCATCATAGGATTGGTCGCTGTCGTGAGGGGGGGTTTGTGGGGGACCTGTCAGACTAGACTCGTCGGAGGGTAACAGTTTCACTGTGTCATCAGGTTCGGATAGATCTTCATCAACCATAGCTTCTGCAGCGGTGGTATCAAGCGGCATTGGGTCAAACTCCTTGCGTGTGGGCTTAGAGCAACGGTTTTTTAGGTTACCATCTTCGTCCACCTGATATGCTGTTGGCTCTTTAGATAGTATTATTGTTCCACTCGTAGGTGTACCAGACTCGGGTGTTCCTGACCTTCCGCTATCGCATCTGAGCATAGGCTTAGAATGAGGTTTATTAATGGTAAAGTAAGTCTACTCAGTGTTATACATGCGATCGAGTTACAGAGAGCTAGTTAGTTTTCTAGAGATATAATAATACTTATATAAAACATTAGATGTATCTACAAACTACTAGCCTTAAGGCACACTTTCGTTAAAAGAAAACAAAACAATTGATCCTTAATTTTTGTCTAATTAATTTACTTTCTGTTTACCTACTAGGTATATGTTTTTAGCCAATACTATGCAAGTCACATCTCATCACGTTCAAAACTTCAGAACCTGCGTTGGACAATTTCAAAGGCGAATCTGCACGACATAAGTACATACATGACGCGCAGATTACATGCACACGACAACTCAAACTCGACTGAGCTAACATGTGGATCACATTTACACTAACAGCTAATTAAATTTCGACTGTCTGGCCTTTGCAAAGGACAAAAACAGGGCACATCTGCATTGATGCTGTCCCCTCATTATTTCGTCTCTCCTGCGTTTTAAGCATGCAAAGCCAACTCAGTCTTTGCTTGCATTTCCTATGTATGGGTGGGAGGTATTCATTCGGAAGGATCCAGAGCATCGATGACCCTTACGGGTAGTCAGCTCTTAATGTTGGATACGCCATCTCTGCAGCGCAGCAGCAGGGAGCAGGCGAATAGCATGTACCCAAATCGAAGTGACGCAAAGACTTCATTCTACCAGACATGATCTTTCATGGATCGCCCACTTATGCTTATTGTACCAAAGCAACGCATAGTAGCTGCACCCTGAATGCAGAAGGTAACTGTAACACTACCCCATTTCGCGTAATACTACAGTTTGTAAGGGGTTTAGTAATTAGCAGAAGAGTATCTCCAACGGGCAGAGAGCTCCAGACTGTACCGCCCAGGCAGAGGTATACATATATATAGGTGCCGTCAATTCTCAAGGTCCTCGAGTTTGTCTCTAACCCAGTATCCTACATTGCTATCTATCTGAGCATCACAGTGACTATCTTTCTACCTTGAGTAATCATGTCTGAAGACTTGAACAAATTTTATGCTCAGTTTGTGCTCCAAGCTAATTCCAAATGATGTCGCATTGTTCACTAACATGCATCTTCTCAGAGTCGATAAGCTCGCAGATGCCGAATTTATTGACAAACGTAAGTGACTCTATTTGCTTGATATTTGAGTTTGTATCCCACACCGAATTTAGGACTGGCTACGGCTATTTCCCACGAGTCGATTTCAAGTGAGGCAAATAAGCGCCCAGATGTCGTGAAGGTAAGTAATCAATGGCTCAGCAGATACGGATATGCATTATCGAAAGTTGACATCCTTTCCAGATGGAAAAGTTCCTGGAGGAAGAGCTGGGCAAAAATTTCGGTGCCGAAGTGCAACCATATTGCATGGGCAAGCAAAAGAAAAAGAACCCAACAGACCCAGACCTCGATCTGCCCCCGATTCTTGTGGCCTGGTACCCCCCGAGAACCAGCGCTTCAAATGACAAGAAAACCCTTCTCATATATGGCCACTATGATGTTCAGCCAGAGTTGACCGGTTGGTCGTACCCGGCCTTTCAGCTTACCAGAGTCCAAGGCCCTAATGGGGAGCGACTATACGGACGGGGCTCTACTGATGACAAGGGACCGGTTCTGGGATGGCTCAATGCGATTGAAGCCCACAAGAATGCCGGAGTTGAAATTCCTGTCAATCTCATCTTCTGCTTTGAAGGCATGGAAGAAAGCTCGTCGGAGGGATTCACTGCTTTTCTTGAGAAATATGGCAATGATCTCTTCAAAGACGTGGACGGAGGTGTTATTGCCGACAATTACTGGAACACCGCCAAATGCCCATGTCTGACCTATGGGCTTCGAGGCATCAACTACTTCAGGGTCGCCATCACGGGCGCCCCCAAGCAGCTTCATAGCGGCATCTATGGAGGTGCTGTTGCCGAGCCTATGACAGACCTGTTTAGTCTTTTTTCGAAATTAGTCAATAACGAGGGGCAGATTCTGATACTTGGCATCAATGACCAGGTAGAACCGCTCACCGAAAAAGAGAAGGAACTGTACAAGAAAGTCCGTTTCACGTTGAAGGATTTCACCGACGCAATCGGCGATACAAAAGTGCCGCTCTACCAGGACCCAATTGACATCATGATGCACCGGTGGAGATATCCATCGCTCTCGATCCACGGAATCAACGGGGCGGATGCAAGCGACGACCCAGGCACGGCAATCCCGAGCAAAGTGACAGGCGCGTTCTCCATCAGAACCGTGCCAAACATGGACAGCCAAACCGTCAATGACACGGTGACAAAGTATCTCCAAGATGAATTCAAAAAGCTTGGCAGTAAATGTCAAATCAGCATAGGGGTTTTCCCCGAACACGTTCCATTCTGGAGGGCCAACTACGAGGATCCCAATTTCACAGCGGCTGCCAAAGCTACCAACGAGGTTTACAAGACTGATCCAGACTACACTCGAGAGGGTGGAAGGTGAGTTTCAACTCAAAAGGCCGATTGAGATTGTTTACTGATCTTCGAAGTATCGGTGTTGCATTGTATCTCCAGAATATTCTGGACAAAAAGAGTCTTCTGTTGCTCCCGATGGGTGCGTCGGATGACGGACCTCATGGGCCCAACGAGAAAATCGACAGAAGAAACTACATCGAGGGAACGAAGCTGTTTGGTGCCTACTGGCATTTCTTTGCTGGGAAGATTTAGCAGGTGCATTCCATACTTGTTTTGCACCAGATAGTGATAGAATGGGCGAATTGAAACCAATTCATTTGGATGCATGATATCATGACTATCTATGGCTTCTCTGTTAAGCTATATTTGAAAACTAGATATTCTTGTTTTGAAGAACTACCATTTGCCTTTGTGTAGAGATATCATGTAGGCAGAGGTAGGTGGTGACAACGAAAACGATCATTCTCTCCCTGGGCGCCTTGAATACCATCATGGAACGTCGTAGATGTGTTCTGAATCGACATGGACATGACAGCATACCCTCAATTCCGCGCTGCAAGTATTGCCCAACTCAACAATCTGCACGGGAATGGGGAGTTGATGAGGTTCAGCTGGCGAATATTCTCCACCAGACCCCTCATGTTGCATGAAATAAACTCATCTTCTCCAGCTGGTAGGTTTAGGGTGGGTTCACCCGTCCAACCCGCTCCGCATGACACTTTGTCTCCATAGAAATATTTATTCCAATTTGCTTTTCTTCGATTTCTTCTTAATCCAATTGGTTGTTCCATCATCCTATTGTAACCGTGTATGTTGGAGATGAAGCAGTGAATGTACATCCAGGTGGGGAGGAAACCTCATCCTTTGGATCAACATTTGTCAACCTTCCCTCTCTTCCCCGATCTTCGCATTCATTTTATTGTCTAGAACAAGTCGATCATTCTTTCCTGGGGTTGTCATGGAGAAGGGTGCTGATCATTCCCAAGAGTCAATTTTGAACCGCTGTTTCGAGATGTTACACAAAACACACATCAACACATAGCCGTCAACAGCCCCTCACTTTTTTTCTACACCTCATTGCGTGAGCGGTGTACGAAAATACATGAGAGTCTCGTCATGTCTGAATTTCGTTCCTTGGTCGAGTGTCAATTGTGGGGTGCCTGCGTCGGGCGGAAAGCAAATGCAGCTTCCCCGTCCTTCCGCACATGCAGGTTAGGTTGCCTTTGATGTGTCGCCGCAAACTACACACTGCATGAGTAACCGCAGCCAGCCAGCCACAATATTAATGTCAGACTTGTTGCATCTATCGCCATCGATGCAAGAAAATAAAATGGGCCAGTCCGTGGTTGTGCTCTGCATCTACATCATGACCCATCCAGTCACATAGCTAATGTCGACATTGTGGCCTTGATTCCCACTGTCAATGAGCAACCTACACGGGATGCTCGGAGGATGAGACTGCTGTCTAGAACAAATGACGCCGTAGGTGTGATGTGACCACCAACCTGGCGCCGTTTTCGATGGTCAATATTATCTATAAAAACCTCCTTCTCTCCGGACTTGTTCTGCAATCCAGCCTGAGACATTACAATTCATCATCGAACTTCTTTCCCCGTGACATTGACACTTCTCTTTATCCAAGAAATCTTTCCATGGACTTGCCCATCATGACTCCTTCCAAAAACATCAACCAGGAGAAACCCATTACCTACACGCCTAAACATCCCATTGTTCGGGACCTGATTGATTTTATCAATCGGCGGACCCCGATTCGCAATACCAAAGAAACGAGAGAGGGGCCTCTTCCTCTCAAGACGGATAGATTATCCTTATTCAACTTGGCCATTGCACAGGCAGTTGAAGGGGGCGCACAGGAAATGCAGGCTGAGGGCATCTCGGATCTGGATGGCTATCTCAAATTTGTCGACCATTTCGTTGAGTGGACTCCCACAGTCAGCTCCACGGGAGACGAAGTCCTGAGAAAGCTCCTTGTGTTCTACTGGCCATTCAACCAGCAGGCACTCAGCGACCTTCAAACTCCAATCGCGCCTCAATTCACCAATACCGATTTGAGATGGCTTTCCTACTGGCTTGTTGCTTTTGGGCGCCGATTTGGCGAGTACATGGCCACGCCTGAGTCGGTTGGAAACATTTGGAGTTTCTACACCAGTCAGAAATATGGGCAAGGTCCTGGTGATGAAGACAAAGGCACCAAGTACGACAAGGGAGATCGCTACGCGCAGTGGAAAACCCCCGAAGGAGGTTGGAAATCTTTCAATGAGTGGTTTTCACGAGAATGGGCCGATATCAACTACTCCCGCCCACTCGATGGAGAGGGTAATGATAAAGTCATTGTCCAGGGCGCGGATTCGGTATTCAACGGCCACTGGGACATTGAGAACGGGACTGTCCATATCGACCCGGATGATGTGAACTCCGCCGAGGTGGCTGTTGATATCAAGGGTATCACATGGCCCATCAGAGACTTGGTCCGATCCATTAGCGAAGATACGCCGTATCACAACGGTAGCTTCACGCACGCTTTCCTCGGCCCAACCGATTACCACCGTCAGCATGCTCCTGTGGAAGGAAAAGTCGTCGAGGCCAAGAATATCCAAGAACAAGTTTACCTTCAAGTCTCCCAATCCACAACCAAGGATGGCAAAACGACCATCCACCCCGAGCGAGGTGTTGTCATCAGTCCCCAGGAGCAAGAGCGACGGTCGATCAACACTTCGAACCTTGAGAAGAAAACCAATTCCGAAAGTCAAACGAATCTTCTCGCGCTGTATAGGAAGAACAATTACCTCGAAAAAAATCAGTCTGAGCAGCCTGCTGCTAACGGTCCGAAACCTGAGGCCGGTATCACTGCACCCGACCAGGCTGGTTATCAATGGTGCCAGACTCGTGGCCTCGTTGTGATCGACACCAGCTACGATAGCCAAGGCAAAAAAAAATCCACTGACGATGGCTTGGTTGCTGTTTTGCCCATTGGAATGGCTCAGGTCTCTTCGGTCATTCTCACTGTGAAAGAAGGACAGTTTTTGGAGAAGGGACAAAACATTTCCTACTTCCAGTTCGGCGGCTCTGATATCGTGACGGTCTTCCAGAAACGACCTACCTACCGGACTGATCTCCAAGCTGGCAAGACCAAGTTGCACATCCGAGAAAATGTCGCTGAGTGGAAGTAATGAGCGACATGCAAAGATGATGTGGGATTGGTTCTCTGCTTGAAGCAACCTTGGAGGTACTTGAAATGATCATGCTGTGTAGGTAGACTATCATCCTGCAAAATTACCATTTCACCCATTGCCTGAGTGCAATGATTCATTCGTTAGTAATGAAATGCATTTCATCTTCTTGCCCACTGTTCTCGAAATGGGCCGAAGCCTGGTTATGTAATCTATAGACACGTACAAAATTAACTCGTTGAAGAGGCAAGTCTCGTTAGTAGGGCGACAGAGTCTTATCTCGGGGCGAAGATAGAGTCCTTACTTCTGCGCCCAGAGCGTTGGCCCATAGAATGCCGAAGTAACCAAGATCATCGCTGCATATCATGTCAGCATAGATATAACCTACCGAGTATTCTATCGAGTATTCCATGGGTTGATTTAATGACACTATACACAGCTATCTTCATACAGCCATAGGTTACAAAAAGTGATTGTGGTCAGAGGTGGCTTGGATTTTCTTGGCCATTGCAAACTAGCTTACTTGAATATTCTATGTCCGCGGTGCTCTCCTTGGATATCGTATCGAAATTTATGAAATGATAATAATATGCTTGACATGAGTGATTGGTATGCTAATGAAGGTCTAACTGCGTACAACTGCGAAATTACGGAGTTTATATAACCTTCTCGATATGCCTATCGTATACTGGAAATAGAATTGTATCCTGGCGAGGTCCCAACTGATAATGGATATAGGTTGGTCAAGTCGGCATATCATATCAATCTTGGGAAAAAATACTTTCAGATTCCTTAATCAAATGATGCCAATGCACGGAGACCTGGACTGCAATTATACCATCCTACTAATTCAAATCACGCCAGCTGTACCATAAATGCACATTAGAAGCGACCTCGACACTAAACACACTTCTTTCATATTCAATTGGGTTCTGGAGAAGCCTAGATCTAATACCCTGGGGTCTCTCACCCTTGGAAGGCAGTCTCCAAGATTAGTTGTAAGCATAGTGGAAATTAAATAAGTGGAAATAAAGATATTCCTAGTTCGCCGGAGACCCTCTGTTCTCGAGAGTACCAGGGTTGTTCGACACTGAACCATGGATCGGCTACGGCTCCGGCTTTCATATAAGTTGCATAAAATGGGGGCATATCTTTAAGTGTTTGAGTACTATAAACTACAGTACTCTATGGCTTGAGTTGAACACATTTGAATGAATATATACAGGCCCATGACCGCTAAGAAGAACAGCCTTGGACGATCATGCTTGCGTATAAGACTCGGGGAACAGGACATATTACATAATACTCATTAAGCTTATCGATAAGGCAGCACTCCGCCACTAGTCCCGATCGGGCCACAAACAAACAACCCCAGTCCCAGTTTACGCCCCAAGTGTCGTCTTAGGCCTCACCGATCTGAACCGCTCTGCCTTCCCCCCACGTCTTTGCAACCAGCTTGTTGGCCCCATTCGGTGCAATTCAATCTCCATTCGCTAATCCTTTTTATTTCGAACACCCAATTAAAACCTCCTTATTCTTTCGACAATGCTGATTGATTGAGCGATCGTTGCTATCCCTGCGGCCGTGTGGACCTTGTCACTCATTTGACCAAGCTATCGTATTGGGTTCGAATCAACAACAAAACCTCGTCAATTGATACCTCACTCTCCTACCTTCCCTAGACGTGGCCTTATCAAAAGTGCGCCAGGTGTCGAAATCACTTCTTCGGTCGATCCCGTGTGTTGCGCTCGACGAAGCTGTGTTCAAGTCACCACTATGGCTCAGCTGCCAATGCGATTTCCATGCTGGTGCCGAGCAGTATATTCCTGGGGAGGAGAGACTACACGAGACCTGGGATTTGTGGAGGGTGACTTGATTGAATGCTTAAATGCAGGCGACGGACAATGGTGGATGGGACGATTGCGCCGTGACAGGCGCGCGGTTGGATTGTTCCCGTCAAATTTCGTCGAGCTTCTGAGTGAAGACTTCGTACCCGTCAGTCGTGATACAACTAGTCCGATGGTGCTAGGAGGATCTTCTCCGATCAACAATCCCACGTCAGCTCCCAAGAAACAGAAGACCGTCTGGCGGAAACCATTCCAGGCGCACAAGGAAGCCGTATCACCAGCTTCTGTCGCTCGGCGAGCAACCGCATCTGGTCCAGCGGCGCCCGCGATTCCACAAACACCACCTCGCGACGGCAGCGTCCCACGAAGTACCAAGCCATTGCGTACGCACGCGACAGCAGTCAAGAACCAAGGCTCACTATCTCGACCCACATCATCCGGATCGCGGCCTTCTTCACGCGGCGTCTCTCCTCGTTCGTCTGCGGAGCCTGAAAGGTCCCCATCGATGCTGCCGAGGGGGGGTGTCTCATCATCTCGGCCTTCATCCCGCGAGCAATCTCCATTACAAACGCAAGAACGTTCATATGCAATGACGTCGAAGGGGCGCATTTCATCTACCCGTCCTCTGTCCCGCAATCCGTCTCCGTTGCCAGTACATGATCATTCATCTGGCATGGTCCCACAAGGCAGTATCTCATCTTATCGCACTTCATCTCGTGAGCCATCTCCGTTGCAAATGCAGGATTATCCACCCCCGACCATGCAACATGGCGGTATTTCATCTTACCGTGGCTCGTCGCGGGAGCAATCTCCACTACAAATGCAAGAATATCCGCCACCTACTATTCCCCATGGAAGTAGCTCATCCTATCAGTCACAATCGCGTGACCCATCTCCAATGTATATGGACGATCATCCACCTGCAAAAATGCCACATGGTAGTATGTCATCCTACCGGGCTCCATCACCATTACCAATGCAAGATCAATCATCTGCGATGGTCCTACATGGGCGTATGTCATCTTACCAGGCTCCATCGCGCGGGCAATCTCCGCTGCCAATGCAGGATCATTCTACAATGGTTTCACATGGTAGTATGTACAGGGCTCCATCGCGTGGGCCATCTCCGTTGTACACGCAGGACCACCCACCTGCACCTATGCCACATGGAAGTATGTCCTCCTACCGGGCTCCATCGCCATTACCAATCCAGGAACAGTCATCTGCGTTGGTCTCTCGCGGTAGTATGTCATCTTATCGGGTTCCGTCTCGTGAGCCTTCTCCGGCGCAGATGTATGGGGAGCGGGAAGACTCTCCCCCTCCCCCTCCGCCGCCTCCACACCGAGTTGTCGTTGCTCGTACAGAAACCCGCTCCCCTCAGCCCGCAATGCATTACCAGACACGAAGTCATTCGCCGCTACCACCCATGCACTCATCCCAGTATCGCGCACACTCTCCTCAGACGCCATCACACTCTCCGCACCGATCACGATCCCCCACGCCCCTAGTTATGAATGACCGTTACGCGACATTTGATCGTACCCCGTCCCCATCTGTAGCCTCAATGCACTCCGCTGTTTCTGAAACGTCAGCACAGTCAGACATTCATGGGAATACACCATCTCCACTGAGAGATGCTATGGAAGATGTAATGACTTCACTGGAAGACATGGGTCTCCCTCGCGAAGCTCAGTCGCCTTCTCCGTCCCCGGTATTCAACGACCCCTGGGCCCCTGAAGAGTTTGACACCTCGCACGAAAGAACCCCCCAAGGTAACAGACGCCGACCTTTGACATCACTAGGCTTTGATGGAGACAAAGACCAACCACAGGGCGGACTCGTTCACCGCAACAGCGTTTATAGCCATGACCATATGGATGGTCCGCCTCAATTGAACAACTATGTCCAGAGGATGGAGAGCCGCCTACGTCAGTTGGAAGATCAGAATCGACCGCCTGAGGATCGAAGAGCCGGTCAGGACGACGACAACGGACCTCCTCCCCCGCCTCCAAAACATGCCACCTATCACCCGCGAAATAATTCTATACCAGGGCAGTATGCTCCCCTCAAGGCCCGACGTTCCGGCCATGATCTGCGGGGTGACATTCTCAACCGGTCATTTACCAATAAGTCCAGTGCCACCAATTCGTCCAGTGGAGTGCAAAGCAATGGCACATCCATGACAACGAGCACAGACAAGACCAATCAAAGTGTCATGAGCGGTTTCTCTGCGGGAGGATTTAGTGCGACAAGTGCGGGGAGCTTTGCCAGGAGAGGCGGGCATGAGAGGCCAAATACCGCTATGGACACTGTGCGCTCTCGAGGATTCAGTGATGTACGCCCGGAGACGCCTTTCACCGGCGTTTCATACCACTCCAGTCATAACTCGTCTCGCCAGGGTGCATCGTCGGCCATCCCGTGGTCGTCTACCGGTCTCGACGCGACTGATCACAGCGGAGTTTTCGGTGGTCTCTCCACACCAAAGAGTAAAAAGCAAGGGTTTTTCAAAAAGATATTCGAAACCGCTAAGACTGGTGCAGCCAGCGCAAGGAGTAGCATTTCGGTCGGTCACGGGGAGAGATCAGGTTCACCAACCAAGAGCAACAGAGGAATAGACGTTGTGTCACCGGCTCCTGCATCTCACTCGAATCGTGATAGTGGTCGTGATATGGGGCTCGGGGCTGGCACCATTGACTGGGTTCAGGTGCGCCGGGATGTTAACAGAGCGTCGTCTCCTAGTCGAAACGAGAGGATCGATAGGGCAGAACGATGTCAGATGATGGATCACCCTGTTATCTACTCCGTGGAAGAGCTGTACGATACAGCGGAGGGCGATGAAAGCATCGATGGGCAGCCGATCACCGAGCCAACGAATTTCCATGCAGCCAATCTTACCCTTGTTGATAAAAGCGCACGTTTCATCAGCAGTCTACCTCCAATGACGAACCCCATGAGCCTCGCCCAAGCTTACATTTGTCGACCATATAAGAGTGACGTTCAGCGTCTTCGGGCCATCTTTACCTGGGTCAGCGAGAAAATCTCGTGGGAGGAACCCGTCGACGGCCTCGAAGTTGACATGAAGAGACTTCTGCAGGCTAAACGAGGTACCCCAGAGGAAATTGCAGTATTGGTGCATGAAATGTGTGCAGCCGTTGGCCTACACACAGAAATAATCCGAGGATTCCTTAAGAGCCCCGGTGACGCCCTTGATCTGGAAAGCCTCTCCCGCCCCAATCACTGGTGGAACTCTGTTCTGGTTGATGGCGAATGGCGCTTTATGGACTGCGCACTTGCAAACCCCACGAACCCTCTACGCAGTAAATTTGTTTCCAACAACTCTTCCATAGCAGAAAGCTGGTACTTCCTTACGCGGCCGATTGATCTCTGCTTTACTCATGTCCCTCAATATCCGGAAGAACAGCACATCTGCCCGCCAATTTCACCAGATGTTTTGCTCGCCCTGCCCACCGTGTGCCCGCCATTCTTCAAGCTTAACGTCCAGATGCCAGATTACGATACAAGTTTCCTCCGTATCGACGGATTGGAGGTCATGCACATACGAATGACAGTCCCCACGGATGTTGAATGTGCCGCGGAAGTCGAAGCCCCGGGATTCGCCCGCGACGCAGATGGCGACGTCTTCGAAAGCGGAGACATTGTGCGCAAGCGCGCCTTGGTCCAGCCGGACTGGATCCGCGGCCAAAAACGTATCACAATTAAGGCTGTACTGCCAGGCGATGAAGGCCAGGGTGTCCTCAAAATTTATGCAGGCAAGAAAGGGCTGATGCACACAAGTCGAGACATCCCCCATCCCCTAGCCTTAGCCCTACCGATGACCCACACCGGCGAGAATCCATCTTACGACTTTGTGCTGCGCCATCCTACACCACACGCCCAGCGACACGATTTGTACATCATGCAGCCCCAATGCTCTCGCCTGGCAGTCAACAATACCTTCGTCTTCGCCGTCCGGCAACACCCTGCTTCTCCCGGGTCCGCCAAGGATGAGGCCTCCAATGGCCGCAGCTCGCCCTCGTCCGTCTTCACTCGTCCGTCCAGTGCGTTGAGCATGGTTTCCAGCACAGCGGGCGGCTCCACTATATCGGGCGCCTCAAACGAGTTCTCTGCATCGACCTCGGTTATTTCATCGACGAGATCTGCTTCTGGGCGGGACAAGGCCGCGAAATTAGCGATCCAGTCCCCGTCCGGCAAGATCCTTCGTCTCACCCGTAAAGCTGAACACATGATCAGCAGCGACACTGGTACCGAATCCGTCACTGATGCCGTCGCTGAGGGCAGTGTTTGGGAGACTGTCATTAAGATCGGTGAGCGTGGTATGTGGCGCGGTCTCGTGCTAGCTGACCGAGCTGCGCGCTGGTGTGTATTTTGTGAGTGGGAATGTGTTTGATTTTTTTTTTCCTTTACATATTACGGGCGTTTAACTTGAGGCCTTCTGATACACCAAATTCAGGACGGGGGGTGCTATCTAACTTTTTTTTTGTATTTTGCGTTGTCTTCTTGCGGGTTGCATGTCCTTTCGTCATATTGTCCTCCTGGCATACTAGCATTTGCATGAGGTTAGCTTGGAGCATTGCATATATTGCATTCTATTTGTTTTGTTTTTGTTTTAGAGATGTGGATTTCGGTGTTAGAGTTTAAATTAATTTTGCTTGCACTCAACAAACTACAAAGCAAAGGTCATAGATCCTAATGAGCAAAGTGAAATCATATACTGGCCAAGGGACCTTCTGCCGGGTACTGTACTAAAAGTCCGGGTGTTCACAGTTGGCTAACTCATTTCGCGACTTTCTATTCCAATGAGCCTGTTGCTCATACAACCATTGATGAGAAATCGACGTCATTGATCACCGGCTTGGGCACTTGTCGACAGAAAACGCAGACTGTAAGACTGGTTTCTTGTCTTTTGTTTTCTTTTTGGGTGTCCCTACCCTTCTCTTCTTCCTCAAGTACTGATACTACATATGCCGAGATTCAAGACAAAACGTCCACTTTTCTTCATCGCGCACTCGCTAGGCGAACTGGTTTGTGCCAATGCGCTTTCACGGCGTGATACTGCAGATTCCCCCAGCCAATATCTTATATTATCTACAGAGGGCCTCATTTTCCTCGGTACTCCTTTCCAAGGCTCGTCCATAGCAGTATAGGCCAAAATAAGTGAAAAGTTTCTACGGGCTTTCGGGGATACTACTCACAAGACCATCACCGACTTAGAAAAGAGATCAGTACGGCTGAAGCAGATTAGTAATAACTTCCATACACTCCTATAAGAATGCTTAGAGTCCACAGAAACTAAACCGATTCAAGTCGCGTGCTTTTTTAAGACCAATACTACTATAGTGAAGACCGGGCTCATCAAGTCAGACCTTGGTCTTAGTGTGACCGCAGAGTCGGCGAGTTTACAAGGCTATAGTTCAATTCCCATCAATACAGATCACCGCTCCATGTGCAAGTTCTTTTGATCAGATCGATGGATATATATCACTGGCAAGCTCAATAATATGGTATCTAAATTGGTGGACGACGGGGATTAATTTCAGGTGATCATTGAATTTGAAATTTTTGGCAGGAGGTAGTCACTAGTATATATATTTGGCACAGAACTGGAGAACAATTCCCACCCTCGTCAATATTCGACAAGGAGACAATGTTCAAAACTACGGCATCGTATCTGGAAATATCGTGGGCCTCGTCCGAGATTCAAATCACCTGAGTACATCGAACACAGTACGTCTGAATACCCGTATAGATCGCTCAAGCTAATGTGCTTTAGTTAAAAGTTCTACCACGGGGATTGCAAGGGACAAAGAGATGCTACGCAACAAAGGGAACATTGGGAGCGATATGAGTTCCAGGCATAGAGAGCACGGAGGGACTCTGCCTCAGCGCGCCATCTACATGGACCCTTTCCAACAATTGCCTGTCGAGCTTGTGCTCTGTATTCTGCACGACACAGGAGATTTCCTTGGAGTTGACAGCCTCCTCCAAGTCTCTCCCTGTGTCCACGCAATCTTCCAGTCTAATTTTCTCCAGACCATCAAGCATCTCTTGACATCCTGTCCAACCACTGCACACGAACTCCACCACCTCTTCCACATCACCGCCTTGATCCACACCCCGTCCTTCAACCCTGTCAATTTTGAAGACCTTGCTACTGCTATCTCGCTATCTCTACTGCTTGCAATGGCACTAGTCTTAACAAGGATACAGCCCGTCTCATGATCTCCATCGCTGCCCAGATCCAACACCTCGCATGCGCCTGTCTATCCACAGGATGGGATAACTTCCAGACAGCACACCGCGCCATCCTCCCGGAAGAATGGCAACGCCGCTGTGAGCCGTTTTCATGGATCGAGGAGTTCCGTGTCCACCGTGCTCTATGGCAGCTCCGGATCTACTCCGACCTCTGGAATATAGCCGCAGAGAAAAAGAGTCCAGTGCCGGATCCTTATCCCTCAGCCTGCACCAGCCTCAGGAAATGGACTTGGTCACCCTCCGAAGCCGACAAAATCACAACCCTGGCCATCTTCGACCTGTCACCCGTCCAATCTTACGAGATCCACACCGTCGCAGATCTCCTGAGGCAGTTAGGTGTGCCTTCGCTCTGCGATGACGAAACCCCTACAATCGATGGCACAGGTAGTGGTAGTAGCCACCTCATACCACCACCACTACCCCTCTTTGCCTCTCTGCATGTTCCCGACATGAATATCACACGATACTTGACGTGGCCATCACCAACCACCCCCGAGGAGACAGCGCTGAATTTCCACTGGGGCCGATCGCCTGATTGTACCAGCGGCGCGTCCAAACAGGCCACGTACTATGGCACCATGCAGATGGACTTGGCCTTCCCACCTGGCCTTCACCCCACGGGTCTAGATGATATACAGCCGTTCTACAGACTGGGGGTGTTTGTTTGGGATACGTGGCGGATGTACCTGATGGGGTGTTTGAGCATGGGGCGTCCGCCATGGATAAAAGAGATGATTCAGACGCCGGATGGGAGCTATGTCTGTTCTCTGCATGTGGGCATGATGGTTTTGGAGAAGAGGTGGTGTGCGCTTGTAGGGAGGAAGACGGGCGGGTCGAAGTGGAGGCGGGAGTGTATGGAAGTGACTAGGCTTTTCTAGACAAGACAGACAAAAGAGAAATGACAAGTATATTCTTTGAAATGAGGAAAATAAAGTCAAATAGGCCAACAAGAATCTGGCATCTAGCATCTAGCATCTAAATATAATTCTTCTATAGATCATTTATAGTTTAGCTATGGCTGCCCGCAACAATGGCGCAACCTGCTTCCTACTCCCAGCCGCGTTGGTTTGCACCCAGAGTTTCATCCAGATGGGTGATTCGTCGTTTAATGTAGAAAGACAATCTCCGGTCAGCTCAGGGATATCCTCCCCATCGAGCGGAGACCATTCTATGAGCCCAAGATGGTGAGAGGATTGCTCAACAAACCTCTTGGCACCCGTAGCAGCTGATTCATTGTCACTCATCACACCGACGAACAGCTCGCGACAAAACTTGTCCTGAGTGCCCGTAAACGCCGTCATAATAACAAAGACATCCAACTCTTTCCCAGCAGACGCCGCAAACAAGCGCACGTCATCGAGGAACTTATCGGGACCACCCGCCTTCTGCACAATCCATCGCATAGGCTTAACAGCAGAGCAGAAGCCCATTTTCACGGTCTTCCCCGTAGACTGTGATGTCTCAGTCCAGTCTTTGTAATCACGTTCGAACAATTCATCCAAAGTAAGAAGATCGAGACTATTCTGCTTAGCATGAAGGATGCTCTTGTAGAACACCTCTAAGTCCCAATTGCCTGTAGAATTCACTGCAGCTTGTGACCCCCGCTCGATTTGAGATTGCAGGAATTCGACCGCCATACGATCTACATCGGTCACTTTGCCTTCCGCAGTGAGGTTCGAGGTATCAATCAGCACCGCAGAAAGAGCGAGCTTCGCAACCTGCACCATCTCCGGCGTCTCGTCCCAGAGGTTCCGCTGTTGCAACTCTCGCGTGATAAGCGAAGCACACGACCCAGGCCCCGGCTGAATAATCATCGGCTGGCCTTCTGGTAGTTCGTCAGGGCTTGGCATTGAGTCCTCGTCGATGTGGTGGTCGATACATCCAACAGTCCGGAAGGAGACGCCCGATAACCCCGTCAGGGATCCCGAGCCCTTATCGGCCGAGGGGCGCGGGAACGCGTTCCAGTCTACCAGCGTTGCATCGGCGAGTATCTGTTTCCACACGTGCTGGTCTTGGAGTGACTGCGCGAAGTCCGCGACGGTCATAACATGCTCGCGGAGGAAACTCCCTGCAGATTGTAGAGTGTTCTCGAATTGCTCTTCACTTTTCAAGGTGGGGAAATTGGTTGATGACCATAGTGCAGCTGAAAATTCCGGTCTTAGACGATACAACTCTGTCCCAGCGGGAAAATTGGGTAAGTTTAAGAGTGGGATATGGGGCCGTGGACTTTTGATCGGGAGATGCTTGTTCGCGCAGTAGGAGTAGATGATCGCCGAGACGATGGAGTCGAGATCGGCGGATGGATTGCCGATTACATAAATTGGAGGCTCAGATAGTGTGCCCGAGAGGAACCGGTGGTGTAACTGGCAGGCTTGCCGTAAAAATTGGAGGAGAGTCATGTTTGTTGGATCAAATGATCGCACTCGTTCCATACTTATATGCCCGCGGCGGGGAGATAAGCGACGTCATGCAATTGCTGACACATCATATCATATTGGTGCCTGGCAAATGGGGCCAAACAATAATGTAGTTACCCTCACATCCCGCTAAAATGTACTCCACTTCTTTTGTAAACACCAGTTACTTTGGAAAAATTTACACTCCCGGATTATTTTGCCCTAGTATCCACCTTTTAAGTATGGATAGTGTTAAGAAGACCGAGGCCATCTGAAGCGCTTTCTACCTCTCTTCCAGTGCTAGTGCTTCATTGCCCCATGATCAAACTTCGAATCCAGCATAATTACTTTCTCTAATAGATGCAAGGACATTAATGTGATAGTTGAGGGCAAAATCACTCTGGTCTGTGACGCTAAGAAAATGGAAGGAAATTCTATTCAACTTCAGATGTTCATTCATATCAAGCTCAATCTATCGCCGCTCATCCGTTGACGACCACGCCGCCATTAGGATGCAAGCTTTGCCCAGAGATGAAACTACTATCCTGGCTCGCAAGGAAAACAAAACATGTTGCAACCTCGCTGGGCTGCCCTGGTCGACCCATCGGTATGTCGCTGAACTGCTCCTTGGCGGCAGTAGTCATAGTTGCCGGAATGAGAGGTGTCCAAACTATTACCCGATTAGCTGCTACAGTACTATGAGTGTACGCGAGTATTTTCACTTACCTGGCCCAGGACACACACAATTCACTCGAATTCCATTTTTGACTTGCTGGTTGGACAAACCCCTTGTGAAAGCGACAATTGCCCCCTTCGTTGACGTGTAGTCGAGCAGATCAGGGCGCCCAATATAGTGGTTAACAGATGCACAGTTAATAATGGTAGAGCCGCTCTTCAGGTGAGGGATCGAGTATTTTGAGAGATAAAAGATAGGGTGGATGTTGGTGTCGAACGTGCTTTCCCATTGAGACCTGTGAAAGCATGTCAACATAAAATACTCGACAAAAAGAAATAGAAAATACATACTCTTCTAGATTCTTGATATCGTCGATCATCGTTTGGGTCCCGGCATTATTGATTAGGATATCAATACCACCTAAGCTCTTGAGGGCAGTGTCAACCACGGCTTGGCAATTCTTTTTATCCCTAAGGTCGGTAGCGAAGCAATGACAGCTTTGTCCGATTTCCTCCACCCGCCTTTTGGTCTCTTGCGCATCTTTTTCCTCCTGAGGCAGATAGGTAATTAGACTAGACGCTCCTTCCATGGCGAATAGAATAGCAATTGCGCGGCCGATTCCGGAATCGCCACCAGTGATGATGGCCTTTTTCCCCTGAAGCTTTCCCGCCGCTTTATAGGTCTGATACCCACTGTCCTCAGTTGGAATTTTGCTTGATGTGGGCTTAGGGTCTTCCATCTCAGCCTGTAGGCCGGGCTTTTCGTGATGTTCAATGGGAACTTGATGACCTACTTCCGATGAGACGTGATGCAAGTTCACATAATTGTACATCGACTTACCTTTTTGGAACTGAGATTGAGGGCCCCGAGACGGCTTTACCACTTCCTTTTGCATATTGAGAATTCGTGAGTGGATTGTTGCTAAGGGTTGCGATGATGTTAATGTCCTAGGGACGCCGAGGTGTATGGAAAATAAATCAAGCTGGATATGTAAATTTAGCTTTGTCAGATGGCTGTTAAAGTAGTAACACGTTTTATATCGTCAATGTGACGTTTACTAGCGCCAGGATTCCAGAGAATATTCTAAATGAGCCCAGTCCGCTCTTTGGGCGCGTTCTCTTCCAGAATCGTGCTTCGGCATCTTGCTCTCTTGGCTCGATGATGTAAGAACCCCCCGTGATATCTTATGATTGAACTTGTTAAAATCGAAGTGTATGTATTTGAGATGAAAATGAGTTTCATTCCTAGTAAGTTTCTTAATTCGTATTCACTCATTTTCATTCCAGTCGGCCATTTCCGCGTGTTGTAGGAATCCTCGCGACAACCGGTGGATACTTTCAACTACTGTGCAGAAGGAGTTCCACTGGATCTGAATGGCTTGTACTGGGTTTTTGCACGACCCAGTAGTCATCGCTTTCTTGAAATATATCTCAAAATCTCTTAAAGCACTACCCTCACTAGGAAAATGATATGTTTTCGTCGACCATTCGAATGTTTGTAGACGACGTCATAATGACATGATTTGGTATAAATGTTATTGAACTATACCAAGAGGATGAACTAGATTAGATTAGTTGAGATTGATGTCTAGCCCCAGATTCAGGTTCTTGTAGGATATATGCCCCTGTCGGAAAGGTCTCTGTTGTAAAGGGTCAATTGGAGCAAGGCTTTTTTGTCTATTATGACCTACAAATGATAGCATTCACATTCACAGCAGGCAAAACGCGTGTAAAACAGGTTTAAACCTTCAGTCTAGATCTTGTCATATGGTAGTTTATGGTCAAAAGTTGCCCCCCCATCTACGTATAATTGGGTAATTAGCACTACAATCGTGTCCTGATCTCCCAACTCAATTCAACTCTTTATCCCGACAGTCTATATCAACAACCATCAATCTCTTAAACCCGACTTTATACCTACTCCTCTCACTCACACATAATCTTGTCAATTGATTTTCTATCTTAATATTTAACTTTATCTTTCGTTCATACAAGATAAAATGGATTCAAAGCACAACAACCAAAGCTTCAGGCTGGAGAACCTGTTCAACGTGAAGGGCAAAGGTAAGCCATCCAATCGAGGAGAGAAGTTGACTCAAGTCTGACAAAAAGATATAGTGGCCCTGGTTACTGGTGGAGGATCCGGCATCGGTTTAATGGCAACACAGGCGCTGGCTGTCAATGGAGCCAAAGTCTATATTGCAGGTCGGACAGACGAAAAGCTCGATCGGGTAGCAGAGCTCTACAATAAAGACATCCTAGGAGAGATCATCCCGCTCTCTGCAGATGTCACCAAAAAAGCCGACATTCACAATCTCACCGAGGAGATAAAAAACCGCGAAGGCTACCTCTCAATCCTAATCAACAACGCGGGAATTTCCAGCCACGCTGAGACAACCGAACACGAAGACGCGTCCAAGCTGCGCAAGTCGCTCTTCGACGACGAAGCTGCCGACTTTGACGAATGGGACCGCGTCTTCCGCACAAATGTCTCCCAGATATTCTTCATGACTACCGCATTTTTACCCCTTCTACAGAAGGGCTCGGAACAAGAGCGCGGGTGGTCGAGTACTGTTGTCAACATTACTTCGATCTCGGGGATTGTAAAGGTCTCGCAGCACCATTTCGCGTACAATGCTTCGAAGGCTGCAGCTATTCATTTGACAAAAATGCTAGCTCATGAAATTAGCTCGTCGAACTTGACTATCCGAGTTAATAATATCGCGCCAGGGGTTTACCCTAGCGAGATGACAGCGGGAGAGAGTGATGAAAAACAGAAAAGCTTTATTCCCAAGGAGAAGTATGAAAAGAAGGTTCCTGCGGCCAGGCCTGGGAAGGATGAAGATATGGCCAGTGCTGTTCTTTTTGCAACTACGAATCAGTATTTGAATGGGCAGACTGTTGTTGTTGATGGGGGGTACGTTCTTGCCGCTGGGTCTTTGTAAACTTGGCGTGTGTTGACTGGAGGAGCAATATATGTGAATAACCTTCATTATTTATCAGATATATATATATATCTACGATCCATTACTGATTATCATAATCAAGGACGTTTCTTACAGCCGCGATGAGGCTCTCGTGGTCGTATACGTATACGTATAAACGATAGTATAGCTCCATATCTAAGCTAGAAATAACTCTACTACCGGATCGCGGGCGTACGCAATCTTACTAATAAATTCCAGGTTCTAGGAACTATCACTAGTATATGGTTTTCCCTTATTAAACTGAGATAATTATTTGCCCATTAGACCAAAAGATCATAATAAATATGCCTCTTACATTTCCATACCAAACCACTTTCCGGTACGTAAAAACCGGTGGGTACACGTGAGCATTGACCATCGGACCAACGTGAGAGGTCAAGAGGGCCCTACTGACCTGAGTTCTGGGTACACCCCAACTTGATCACACCAAAAGCCATGCATAAAATAATGTCTCTTCCGGTACAGCTACCAGAAGCATTTGCCCAGATCCCCCGCTATAACATCCTATACTCCCATCCCTCCCCCATCCACCCCTTACCCTCAATTGCACCCCCAAGACTCTCCCCGCACCACCCCCTCATCACCATCCACGCCAAACGAGAAGACCATTCCTCTCCACTAGCCTGTGCAGGCAACAAATATCGGAAACTAGAATACATAGTCCCAGACATCCTATCTCAAACACCTCTCTATCACAGCCATGAGAACAACCCAACACCCCCAGGCCCGTTGCAAGGCGCAGCAACAACCCTCGTAACAGAGGGCGCAATTCAAAGCAACCACACCGTGCAAGTCGTCGCTCTCGCGCGGAAACTTGGTCTGAAAGCCCTAATTCTTCTACACCGCGGCATAGGCGGCGGACTTGCAGCAGCTAGCGACAAGGAAGCCTTCCAACGCAGCGGGAACGTGCAAATCAATCACCTTCTCGGGGCAGAGGTTCGCTTCTGTGAAGAAGGAGATCCGCTAGCACTGGATGCGACGCCTCTGCTTGATGAGTTGAGGGCGTCTGGGCAGAATCCGTATTGGATCCCTGGTGGCGCGAGCTTGCATCCGCTTGGTGGGCTGGGGTATGCGCGGGCGGCGTTTGAGATTGCTGTACAGGAGCAGGAGATGGGGCTTGGGGGTTCGGGGAGGTTTGATTATATCTTTGTTGCGTGTGGAAGTGGGAGTACGGTGGGTGGATTGGTGGCTGGGTTTAAGCTTCTGGAGAAGATTAGGGGGTCGGATGTGTCAAAGACGATTGGGGAGCCGAGGAAGATTGTTGGCATTCTCAACTCGCCGACTAGACCACGAGAATACCATGAAAAGCGGGTGCTTGCTTTTGCGCGGAGGGCAGGCGAGTTGATTGGGCTTGATGGGGAGCGGGATATTGGGGTTGACGATGTGCGGCTTGATGATCGGTTTGTTGGGACCGCATACGGTGTGCTTGATAGTGAGAGTAAAGAAGCTCTAGAGACTATGGCGCGGACGGAGGGTATGGTACTGGATCCGGTTTATACAGCCAAGGTTGCGAGAGGCATGATGCATTGGGTGAATGAGGGAGAAGTTGTGGATTCTGCTAAACTCTTGGATCAGGTCAATGTATTGTTCATTCATACAGGTGGACAAGCTGCTCTAGGAGCTTACGCAGATGTCGAATAGAACATATCGATAAGATGTTTATAGTCGGAAACATAAATAAGAATGGTTGAATTCAACTAGTATTACATGGTGTCGGCAGCAGCAAAAGAAAAAGCAGTCGTGACAGACATAGTCTTGTGGTATGGAAAAACAGAAAAGCGTGGAATCGCTGGAAAACACCCCCGGACTCGCCAGTCCCTTCTCTTGTACACCCTTTTTTTTAAAGAATTCATCCGAACAGAACGATAAAAGAATAGGTGAGGCGAGTAAACAGAAGACTGAAGGTAACGCAAGAAAAGTAAACAAAGACCGAAAAAGGTCAAGTTTTTATAAAAACAAAAGATTCATTGAGAAAACAAAGTAAGACTCGGTCAAAGTTCCTCGTCTTCAAGGTCTCCGTTGGTGCCATCGAGTTTAGGCTCACCGTGCGGTTCACCAGGTTCACCATTTTGAGCCGATTCCTCTTGAACAGAGCCAGCACGACTACTGCCATTGCTGACTACAAGGGCCTCCAGAGCCTCATTAGCATGAGTGTTCTCCATCGCCTGATTCTCAGCGTCAGGATCAATCTCCTGGTTGGTCAAGTCGGCAAATACATCATCCAGGTTCTGACGAGGGCTGCTGCTCGCGAATTGAGGATCATGACCAAAGCGCGGAGGACTGAAAAGGGAAGTTTCTAGATCTGGCTGGGGAGGAGGGGAGCGCGGCAGGAATGAGGGGGACTGAGAAGCGGCTGCGTGGGGGAGAAAAGCTGAGGAGGAGGTAGGTGCAAATGCGGGTGTGGAATCGCTCGCAGGCAAAGAATAGTTTGCAGAGAATGGATATGGTGCAGCGTTTGGATCTGACATCTGAGCCAACGTTGGACCTGTGGTAGGAGGCTGTCCACTACTGGAAGTCGGCGGTGCTGGTTGCATGGATGCAGGTTGACTAGGACCCGACTGCGATTGAGCGTCAACAGATTTCCGTTTGGTTACGCCAATATGCTTGGGGCGAAGATGCTCCGGGAGATCCTCTGGACGATTCACCCCAAGTTGGGCCATTATTTTCTGTTGCTTGGTCGGTCGCGGCTTTCGTGTTGACAGAGATTGCTCTAGAATTGGAGGGGGTTCCGGTGCGACAGGTGCCCATTTGTGTATCTCCTGCCGGAAGAAATTGGTCTCAAAGGTGAGAAGAACCTCAGCGCCCTCGATTTTGCGGAGGTAAAATATCAAAGTTGGCACTTCCTCGGTGGTTGTGCAGGCAGCATTAGTGAAGCCATGCAGGAAATCACGGAAGGCTGTCGCTTGATTAATGATACTCTCAAGGACTTCTTCTTCCTCGGGTTGGAAAGGCAAAGTTGCGATCTCCGCGTGCCAATCTTGCAGGTCCTCAAGCTTTGGACGAGCAGCATCGCGCGGAATTTTTTGACGCCAATCGCAGATTGGGCAAGTGTACTTGTCAAATTCCTTTACTTTACCCCGAGCAATCTTCAAACATTTGCCATGGTACCTACATAGGTCAGTAAACTAAACCACAAGCTTAAGGTTTGTCGACTTACCATTCGTGGCAGACTTCACATTCAATCATCATTCCAGCTTCAGAGTGCCTGCAGATACAGAACACATCTCGCTTTCGTGACTTTGGGCCCCACATATTGGGAGGATTGCCGGGATTCTCAAGCAAACCCTCGGGCGAATTGTCTCGAGATGAAGGCTCAACAGGCGGTCGGTAACTGTCCTCTAGGTCGAAACAGTACGAGTTCCGCTTTTCGACGTACTCCATATGGGATCTCAGAATATGAAGAGGAGCATTCGCCTTGCCGAAGAGCTTTTTTCCTTTCCTCATCCAGTCTTCATGCCGCTTTTGTTCACGTTCCAAGTCGATTGCCCCGATGGGTCGACTCGTCAAATGCTCGAGGGATTCCATGAGGTCACGGATGTCCTTGTACTTGGGCCGATTCTTCATCTCCGGGTCTTTGCTCTTTTCATACAGAGTCTGGATCCGTTTCTGCGCCTCACGCTGCTTGGTCAATATAGCATCGACGGCCGCGAGAGTATCAGGTGAAACTGGAAAACGAGATGCCTGTGCAGAGAGAGCTTCTAATTGCTGGTAGTGGACGGCTTCAACGGACATTAATTCCTTGGCCTTCATTTCCCACGCATCCCCATGACGAGCAAGCTCCTTGAAATGAACCAAGTGTTCATTGGTATCGGAAAGGCCGAGCTGCTCCGCACCAGCGAGTAATTCCCGGCAATCGGTAAGGGTCATGTACTGGTCTCGTTTGCGCGTAGCTTGTTCAATCCATTTGATTTGGCGAGAGACTTGTTCTAGGTGTTCCAGTTCCGGGACTTCGACGTTGAAGTTTTTGCCGCGTTCGATTAAATCTTCAATCTCCTGGAGAGGCCGGGTATGCGGATGCATGAGAGCGTTATTAATATCCTGTTGGAATTTCTCGATTTCGCGGGTTTTCTCTTCCAACGCCGCCATCTGTGGACAGTCGAACGAAAGTTTATCAGCCTCTGCCTGAAGGGCGTAGATATGTTCAATTCTGCGGACTTCGCGATCGCGCTCGTCCAGCTGCGCTGCCTTGGTACTGGCTCTGCGCCAAGCCTTCTCGTTTTTTCTCCGGTTCTGTTGCTTCCGGGTAATATAGTTATTGGCTTCTTCAACCCATTTATCGCAACGCTGGACGAAGGCCGCAAGATCTTGAAGGCCTGGCAAGTGGTATGGGATTTTCTCACCTTCATTGAGCAAGTTATGAAGGGCCTTAAGCTGAGGCTTCGGTTCATCTTCCAGGGTTTTGTCGAGCTTTTCAGACCATGCTTCGGGGATTCTGGCGCGTTCTTGGACTTTCTGCACAAGCCCCTGCAATTCATCATCACTCATGCGATAACGGAGGGTGTGTCCTGAGCCGCACAGCTTCTGAGCAAAAGTTTCGCCACAGCAGTCATAGGTGTCAACGTGCGACAAACAAACAGTCTTGCCTGACTTATGACAACGGAACTGAGTGAGGTAAGCGTAGGCCTTGCAATGTTGGCACTGGTAATCATCCTCGGGAAGGTCTTCATTCTCAACTACGAATCTCGGCTGCGCATCGTCTTTCATGGAATCAGGACCAAAGCCCGGGGTGCGAGAAGACACTTCCTTTTGCCGGTATAGGAAAGCAGCCCGTTCACCAAGTTCACGAGTGCAGGTTCTTGCTAGTGCAGGCGCGAGCCACTTGGCAGTGGCAATAGAGGTATCACGTGCAGCGGCGGTAAGAAGCAATTCATCGTGGGAGAAACATGGGTGCCTGCGGAAGTTCTGAAGACGTTCAACACCTGCCGCACCGTATGGTTCCCAGTCCGTGGGCGCGAAGT